ATTCGTCGTCCCAACAAAGTTTATTTTAAAATTCATCCTGCAATGGAACCTCAATGGGTTATATGCCCGATTACCGTATCTGCAAGTTTTAACTACTCAAACTAGACCTTCTATTATTTGCCTCCAGGAAACTAATCTAAAAGATAATAAGCGTTATGACATGAACAATTATGCCACTTATCATAAAAACAGAACAACGTCTATTATAGCTAGCCGAGGAGTCGCCATATACGTTGAAACCAGCTTCCCGTCCTACGAAATCCAGCTGACTACAGAAATAGAAGCAGTGGCGGTGGTGGTACACATGAAACAAAAATTTACAATATGCAATGTCTACATTCCTCCTTCGAAGTTACTTACTAGTCAAGAACTCTGCGATCTCTATCAACAACTCCCTCAACCGTGTCTCATAGTTGGGGATTTTAATGCGCACAATACCTTGTGGGGGTCCAGCAGTACTACTCGAAGTGGAACTGAAGTTGAAAAATTTATTGACTTATGTAACTTATGTCTCCTTAATAACGGAGAGCCTACAAGAGTGAACTTGGCATCTGACAGTATGTCAGCCATCGACTTAAGTTTATGTGACCCTTAGTTACTTGCCTTTTTCACATGGTCACCTTTTCCCGACCTGCATGACAGTGATCATTTCCCTATTCGTATAGATAACGACTTAGAGCAGGAAATATCACACACCTCCTCTGCCAGATCGATGTGGAATCTACCACAAGCAGTTTGGAGTAAGTACATGGATGCTACAACTAATGCACTGGATTCGTTTCAGCCAAGTAGTGACATCAACACTACTATCCACCAGTTCAATGCGATTTTGCTTGATGCGGCCTCTAAATATATAGGGAAGATTACATCCAGTGGGCCCCATAAACAGGTAGCTTGGTGGAACGCTGAATGTAAAGAGGCGATAAAAAAAGTAAGAGAGCATACAATCAATGGAAAAGACGCCCAACAGTTGAACATTTAGTCGAGTTTAAGATATATAGAGCTAAGGCGAGATATTGTATGAAGCAGAGCAAAAAATCTTCCTGGAATATCTTCGTATCTACGCTAACTCCTAGGACGCCGCCAAAAACTTTGTGGAATAAGATAAATAGACTTAAAGGAATCGCCTCTTACCAAACACCGCAAGCGTTATTACACCACAATACGCTCACCAGAGATGAACAAGAACTGGTCGAACTATTCGCCGAAAAATTTGAAATGTCTTCCCAAGATTCAAATTACGACCCGAGATTTTGCCAACTGAAAAAACAAATTGAATCGCAGCCACTCTTATTAGACGATCTGGAAACTCATCCTATTAACGCCCCGCTCTCACTCCTAGAACTAGATGAAGCATTAGCTACCACTCGAAATTCCTCTCCAGGCCCTGATGATATCCCTATCGTCTTCCTCAAATATCTTTCTCCACTTGGAAAGCAAATTCTCTTGAAAATCTTCAATCTAGTCTGGCAAACTCTGCTCTTAGACTTGCGTTCGGCGCATTTCGAACGTCACCGGTTTCTAGCTTACATTGCTTAGCAAATGAACTCCCTCTCATTGATCGTTTCCACTATCTTCGCCTCAGTTATGTGGTCCACATCGCTAGAAACCCGAACAATCCTCTTAGACGACCAATCTTAAAATCACCAATTGACTCAGCCCTTCAAAATCCTTTCAGCAAAAGACTACGTAGTGATCTTCAACAGCTCGACCTACCCGGCCTTCCTCAGACACTTTCTCACACCTTTCCTTCGAATCCTCCATGGGTCAATTCTCCACTGCCAGTCAATACCTCTATGTCTATCTACAAAACAGACACCACACCACCTTCCGTCCTTCAGGCAGAGTATCGAGCTTTAACATTCCAATTCCCGGACCACACACATCTCTTCACGGACGCTTCTAAATCATCACAGGGAGTCGGCGCTGCGGTGAAGACCCCAACCGACGTCCTCCAATTTTCACTTCCAACTTACAGCAGCGTGTTGACTGGGGAATTATACGCTATCCTGGAAGCCCTTAACCACATCGTCAACCTCCAAGGATTCCACTTCGTGCTCTTCACGGACTCCATGAGCGCACTGCAAGCCTTCAAGGCGTTGTTTCCAGTCAATCCACTCGTAGTTCGTATCCAAGAACAGTTTCAACAACTTCGACTTCAGGGCAAAGAAATTCTCTTCTGCTATATACCCTCTCATATGGGCATAACAGGCAATGAAATGGCAGACACCTTAGCTAAGGAAGCGATACTTTCAGTCAATTCGAAACCTCTTCTAGTTGTCACATCTACGGATATTAAGAGTCTCTTTCGAACTCGAATTGTAGCATCCTGGCAACGCAAATGGGACGCGCATCCCTCCCATCTACGCAAAATCCAGCCCAACGTCACAACACGGTTGCCTCTACCTAGTACTCGCCAGGGCCAAGTCTTAATCTCCCGACTCCGGCTTGGGCATTCCAGATTGACTCATGCTTAGCTGTTCTCACTCGATAAGGTCCCACCTCAGTGTACGAAGTGCAAGTCAGTACTAACAGTGGAACATATTCTACTCCACTGTACAACATTTCAACAGAACCGCATCCGCTGGTCACTGCCACCATCACTTACCGAAGTTCTGGGTGATCTCCCATCTGTAGAAAATCTTTTGCAGTTCCTCTCAACAGCGGGACTTCTGCAGTTAATCTAAGGATTGATCATTGTATTATACATCTTATATTGTACCGCCTTGTCACTAATAACCCTTCGTGGTTGATGTGACAATAAACATTTATTTAAAAAAAAAAAAAATCAAATGCCAAATAATTCCACCATAATTCCATCAATTCCACTTAATTCCACAATTCAATTCCCTAATTAGCCAAATACACTGACGTCATCCGAGGTCACCAAGATGGCAGCGTTTGACAACTAGCCGGTTTTCTCATAAGAGTCAATGCTAATATTTTCGGAATTCATTTAAATTTGAGAGTGTGTCAACTGTGTTTTTATAGTTTGGTAAGTTTGTTACAGTTTCTAGACTGTGTAGATATCTGTAAAACGCACCATAACGTTTGAATATCCTTAAAAAATAATGTTTTCCAATGTGATGTACAGGTTAACTTCGCTGCATTTTATATTATTTGTTTTGCAAATTAATTCTGTGTTAATGTACATCAATGTTTTTTAAATACACTAGCATCTTAATATTATACTATTTTGTATTTTAGGAGAAAATGCCTACATTTTATGCTGTTGTGGGTTGCGCGAATAGAAGCACCAGAAATGCGGACAAATTTTATTTTCCTTTCCCAGCAATTAGCAACAATAAAGGTAAATATATACAGGATGGGGAAAAAAGGCGGAAGCCTTGAAACGAGTGGATTTAACGAAGCCAAAGTAAAGTATTCCTATATTTGTTCGGATCATTTTATTTTAGGTACAATAACTACTTATTAGATTTACAGTTTCTAATAAATTACTACATTGGTGCTCTTTTAGGTAAACCTGCAGATTTGTCGGTTGTGGACCACCCTGATTATATTCCATCACAAAATTTAGGATATCAAAATAAATCCACTCAATATTTGTAATGCTGAAAGACACAGTCGTTTAAAAAAGAGAAAACTGAATAAATGGCTCTAGACTTTTGAATGCACGAATTTCAATGTGGGTTATTTTACTTATTCCAAAAATAAAAAAGTTTAGAATGGTATTCATTGTTATGGTAGGGACATCGTCTAAACACAAATTAAAATCACTTGCACTCATTATATAAGGATCTACGCCGTTTAAATTGTTTAACTTTTGTACATATCTGCTTTTCTCTTTGACGGAAAGACATCGTGCATAATCACTTAAATTATCCATACTTTAAAAACAAATCACACACCTTCACTTAAACCCGTCACATTAACCTCAAACGAAAATATTAATTTCCGATTTACCGCTTAAAACACACGGATGTATTTTGGGCGACGAGGAATTTAGACCAAAACAGCGTTCTGTATTTTTATTTTTATTATGTATTTTTAAACTCAAATCGCCAAAAAAAAGCACCCTGATACACAGAAAAGATATGAAAGAAGCTATTCACGTGTTTATTTTCTAGATAAATACCCACACTTTTAAATAAAATGCGAAAATGTTAACATTGTCGCTTATGGAGTTTCACGGCGCTTGTCAAACGCTGAGTTCCCGCCACAGCGTGACGTCACGTGTTATTGGCTAATTCCAGTGATAGTGTCCAACCTAATTCCACAGTGACCAACCCCTCGGAATTAATGCTGTCAACCAGAAAAATGTCCCCCTTACCACAGTAGAGATAACAATCAGTAGGGACGGCTCGCCGTTTTTCGTGACCCGTTTTCGTGGATGGTCGTTCGCTTTATGACCGAATGAGGGCGCCCAACTGACGTCTAAAACAAGGCCGACTGAATTCATGCGTTATAAGGCCTGCTCACTTTGCAGAAAATTCGGTTCTCAAAAAGTAGGCCGTGACGTTTAGAAAGTGGCGACATCTGTCTGCCAATTCTAATCAGTTACTGTCAATCCTTGGCGCGAAACGTAAATATCCTTGTCAGCGTAATTTTCTCAGTTTATTATTTTCTTGCTCCATTATTCATATTTCGTGTTTGATTTAACAATTTTTTCGTGTTCAGTTTTTTACTTTTCGTGTTTCATTTCTTAGTTTTCGTTTTTATTGGGTTATAAACAATTTATGTTATTTATTTGTTATTTGTAACAATGGGTAGACGCTGTGCCTTGTGCAAAAATAAAGACTTACCTTTGTGTGAAATACCTCAAGATCCCAACACTAGAAAAGGGTGGTTAGAGTTCTTCAAAAAACATTACAGTAAGTATTTTTTAATCAAATTTACGGTACACACTTTTCTGATCCACTTGCAGATGCATTCGAAATAACAGATTTCACTGTAATTTGCAAGAAACATTTCAAAGAAAAATGTTTCAAGAAAGTTGCTACAGGATATCGTTTAATCAAGGGATCCATTCCTACCATATTTGTAAGTATAGTGCGGTAAAAAAATTTATTTTTAAATATTGTAATTATTTTTTAAATTTACAGTAGTTTAGACAATAATAAAAAACATTTTAATAATTTTAATTCGTTTTAAATATAATTTTTGTTGAAGGATACTGATCCTGTTGTACCTGGTCCTTCTTGCGCTTCCATTCCCGATTCAATTCACTTCAACGATCCCAATTTGTCTCCCACAAACGAAATGAATAATTCCTCCAGTGAAATGACAGCTTTGCATGAGAAATGTAAAGCCTTAGCGTTAGAATTAAAAAAAGAAAAACGTTCTCATGCACGCTGCTCTGCAAAACTTAAAAACATTGAGCATCAACTGAAGAAACATTCAAAAACCATAGACGTACTGGAGCAAATTAACAGCGATGCTGACAGTTCTGATGAAAAGGCCATTTTTCTACTAGACCTAATTCATAATTATAAGAAGAAATCGCCAAGATGGTCTGAAATGTCTGTTCGATCATGTACCGTGTGGAGATACTGTTCACCTAAAGGATACGATTATTGCCAAACACATTTGGTCAAATTACCATCTCGGGCAACCATAGACAGGCATCTTGGTCACTTCAATGGACAAAATGACCTTATCAAAGAACGTTTGTCTGTAGAAATTGCACATTTAGAGCATCCTGCACAACGATTGTGTTCACTAATTATTGACGATATGTCAATTAAAGAGAAAATGTATTATCACAGAGTTGAAGATCATATTTATGGCCTTAATACTTGCAGTTCTGACTCTTCTATTGGAAAAAAACCTAAAATAGCGAACAAAATGTTGTGCTATGTTGTACAAGGAATATCAGCAACATATACCATACCATGTGGGTATTTTTTCCACTCATCTATGCAAGCCAAAGAATTTCACTCTTTAACCATGCAAGTGATGAAACTATTAACAGATTGTGGCTTCATGGTGTTGAGGATTGTTACAGATAATCATCCCGGCAATGTTGGTCTATTTAAAAATTTAAGTGGAGGAATATTGCAAAACTGCATTAACAACCCATTTCTACCGATGCCCCTCTTCTTATCATTCGACTTTTGCCACGCAATCAAAAATGCTAGAAACCTCTTCTTAGACCATGACATGAACTCGTCAGCTGGTGTTATTTCGTCATCATTTTTGAAAGCTTTATACGACTTGCAAAAGGGGATGCCTGTAAAGCCTGTTAGATATCTAACTAAAAAACATCTATACCCATCTAATTTCGAGAAGATGAATGTTTTGCGGGCCATACAGGTATTTTCACCAACCGTTACCGCAGCACTGAAGCTCTTAAAAGAAGATAAATATGAAGATTTTGATAATAGCGATGGAACTATTTTATACATGGAAAACATGTTCCTCTTTTTCCAAGTCCACAATGTCTCAAGCAGAAGGCACTACATACATGCATTAAACAGCAGTATTGCACCATATATTGATATTTGTGATGAACGCCTGCAGTGGCTAAATAAGGACTTCCAAAATTATGTTGATGATATCCAGTCGATCTCTGCATGCACAGGGTACCAAGGTCTGAGCAACGAAACTGCTCACGCACTAAAATTTACAGCTCAAAGTACTTTTTTGTGTATCAAGTTTCTCCTCAAAGATGCAGGATTTTATTATGTTTTACCTCGTTGTTTCAGTTCCGATGCTGTTGAAGCAACTTTTTCTCACATACGCTTGAAAGGTGGTTCAAATGATACTACCGATGCTCGTGCTGCCGAGTATGGTTTACGGCAAATTTTGCGCTCTGGTATTTTAAAATCATCGACTTCTGCCAACACAGCAAGAACTATAAGTAATATAAGCCGTAACCAACTTTCTCGTGTGAGACCACAAAATATTGATGAAGACTTTGAAGAAATACTTTTACCAGCGACACTACGAACTAAAATACACAATTTAAAAAAGAATGAAATACCAGAGCCAAATCTATTCTCTGCCTCTGTCGCTTTCCTGTCGGGATACATTATTTTAAAGCTGCAACAAAAAAAACAATGTGACGACTGTGTAGCACCACTGCTCTCAACTACATTACCTGGACCTCTAATGAAATTAATCACACTCCAAGATCGTGGAGGTTTACTGTATCCCAACGAACCTTTTGTAGGACTCGTCAAAAGAATTGCTGAAATAACACAAGAGGTGTTACCACATTTAACTTTCAACAGAACATGCGGTCAACTCATCAAAATATTGGAACCACATTTATTACAAAACCCATTATTGTCTTGCCAACAGCACCAGAGTGAATTTTGTGTGATGCTAATTGTTATAGTAGCTAGACCAGTGTTATCCAATATTTGTCTGGAAAAAACAGACTCTTTAAAGAGAAAAATGTTGGATAACAAACCCTCGAGTAGAAAGGTATTAAAAGTTTAATATACTTACAAGTTTTCTGTGTATAGTTTTCGTGTTTTAATAATTTGTGTTTCTATCTATCGTTAGTGTTCATAATAGTATTATAACTTATTATCTTCTTTGTAAATAAAAGCTGACAAATTGACATAACCTATTGGTTAATTTACTTCGTTGTTTTAACTACTAACGACAAATGATTGTCACAATCACGTCATAATATTTATAAAAAAACTCACAAGAGCACGCCACTTTCTAAACTTCTGACAAGAACTTTTAAAAAGCCCGAGTGAGCAGGCCTTATAACGCATGAATTCAGTCGGCCTTGGTCTAAAATATTTGAAATTTGGCAGTTTTGTTACAATATTTTTGCCGGTTTTGCTTGTTTAAGACTGCTTTTCCAGTAGAATTGTACAAATAGTATAAAAATGTAATTTTCACAATAAAAGGTAAAATCTTCGTCCGATGAATTTTCATAAAGGATCCCTGTTGTGCGCCTGCCTTATTCTCTCCCTCGTGTTTGGAATTCTTGGAAAAGATAGTAAACATAACACACTTTTTGTTTAAAAAGTCGTCGCAAACGAACAACAACGGTGGTTATGAAATAAATATAAAAAATTTATTATATATGATTCCGTTGTTGTGGTAAAATTAAATATAAAAGTAATAAGAAACAAACTACACGTAACAAAAAATTATATAAGCAGACCTTCACTCAATAAACAATTTTTTTATTCATCATGTATATATATATTTTTTTTTTGACCTACACAATCTTGAGTTTTATTTTGAGACGTTGCTTAACCCATAAGCAGTCGCGCGTGGGTAAAAATGACCCAAGCCGTACATTTTGTCAAATATCTTTTTTCGCTTAATCCCTATGGACTTCCGGTTTCATGAATTGCTTAATTATTCTTACCTGCGTCGACCCATACCAATTACCTGCACTTTATGCGAGTCGACAAATATGTATTTTTTTTTGTAATATTTTTTTTTTAAATAAAAATTTTACTTTATATGATATTACGCTTACGGGTTAAGTTGTTAGGTAAAATGCGATTTTTTTTCGTAAAATTTTTGAAATTATTAAACAATTTAACAGGTGCTGTTCTTATTTTTATATTTATTCTTGTATAAAGTAATTACCATAATTACATTATCATGCCTGTCTGTTTATTTCTCTACTTTTTTTTAGCCTTCTACATACATATATAAATAATATGGATTTAATAACTAAAAGAGTCTATTCTCGAAAAATATTTAGTCCTCATAAAATACTCCTTTACCTACGGTCCATTACAAAGTGTACCATTTCCGGATTAACATTTATGACTGTATAAGTAATAAAATAAAAACTGTAACAAATCATCGTGTTTATAATTTAAATATCGACTTTTTTTTTCTTATTGCGATTCATGATTATACGATTTGAGCAAACTACACAGTTTGCAATATTGCGTACACGAATCAATTTTTGAAATTTTAAATGAAGTGATACTTTTTAAATTGGGTGGCGACATCTAGGAATAGTTTAGGCAACGACCATCCATGACGGCTTAAAATTCGGGTCAGAAAGAACAAAGGCGCCGACACGAGCTGTCCCTACTGATTGTTATCTATGCTGTGCCCTTACTTTATCAGGAGACTTTCCTTCAGGTTGGCAGCACTGCGCTTTACCGCAACACAGAATATCATATGATATTCTGTGACCGCAATTTGATTGGTTAAAAACTCAACGTTAACGGCAAGGAATTACGATTAATCGTTTACAATAATTAAGTGCCATCGTGAAGTGTCGTTTGTTATAAAAACGGAACATAAATACTGTTTGATTTAAGTGCAGTTATTTTAACTGGTCTTAGATAAATGATGCCTCATATCTTTTCCCAATATTCCCTCTTTTCTGAAATCTATTTTAGTTTTCTCTCTTTGTTACCTTCTATGTCAGAAACTTGATAAGTTATTCCAGTTCTCAAAGATTTTTCAAGAAAAATTGTATGTCGTATTTTTAAAGTTGAACCACAGATTACGGATACCAGATAGTTCACTCAGCTGTCGGCACTTTGAAGTCGGTGTCCCGAGATTTCAAGCGGTATTCACGCTACTACGCACGCTCTACCAAAATTGGTTCGCAAGGTTTGAATTTAAAAGCGCGGCGGTCAGAGAAAAATTACAGCGATGATGCAAGGGATGAGGTTCTAAGTGAAGAAAAAACGAACAAAATGCTTATTTGCCTTACACAAAATGATTTATGGTTATTAGAAATGCTTAACATTTCACAATTTCCTCTGAAAAGAATTGCGGACACATGCATCGGCATTAAAAAATTTTAGAGCGTAAAAAACACGTATTCTCGAATATAGTGCTAACAAGAAAGTGGTGTTAAAATTTTTGCATGGTGAATAAACGTAACCTCTTTAACTATACGGCTTAAACGGTTACCGAAAGTTAGAAGAATTGGAGGGAATAGTTAATGAAATTTGCTGCGCTTGCATTTCTGAACTTTGTTGTTACAGTTTTCTAATCTACTCGTCTTTATAGTGATCTTCGATTTTTGGTGGTTATTTAAGACTGAAACGAGTTTAAAGGAAAAGAAGGGAAAATGTTGTATTCTCTTATTCATTTACAAAATCAGGCATTATAGACAAGATATATTTACTAAACGATACTATAATACAGTTTAATGCAGGTAGGTATTTATTTAACTAATTTTCTGATTATTTTAAAACTTTAAAAAAATCCCTTCGTAACCAAAAACGTAGAAATTAATCCTTGTAATGTTATTTATTCCCTGAATTATTACCTAAACTTTTATTCTTATATCTGCTTCATTGTAAATATTATTTTGCGTGTTAATCTGTCGAACCAGTTTCAAAGAGATTTAAAAGTGCCGAACCAATTTTAGTGTCATGCGCACGGAAAATTTGCGGACAGTTACGCCCACAAGTGAACCATCTGGTATCCGTAATTTGTGGTTGAACTTTATTTCCAACTTTTAGGCAACCAGTAATACTCAGCTACAATATAAGAAAAATATTTAAAATAGCGATATAGACAAACCGTGTACTTATCTGAAGGGTTCTCTGATTAAAGTTCATTTGTATCAACCGGTATATCTCCTTTAATTTTGTTTTAAACTCAGTTTTTACGACGTAGGTAACCTCATAAGGTAGCTCGTTTGTGTATAATGTATTATTCAGTGGTTTGAAGTAATTGTAATGCATTACTTTTCAAAAAATGTAATGAGTAATGGTAACGAATTACTTTCTTTGAGTAATTCAGTCACTTTTACAATTACTTTTTGCAATGACATACATTTAATCCAAATATAAGATAATTCTACCTGACCTGGTGGTATTTTTATACTTGGTCCGTCCCCACAAGGAGAAGATTAACCCAGTAGGGAGTTAAAATCTAAAACAAATTTAGCACAGAATTTGTTAAGAAAACAGGTAACCATAATATACATAAGCTCTTCATCATTTTAAGGGTGAGCTAAAGCATATTTCAGCATAGGGAAACACCAGTGTTGGGCAGTATCTAGATACTTGTATCTAAATAAAGTATCTAGATACATTTTTGGGTATCTATATAGTATCTGTATCTAGATAAAATAGATTTTAAGCACAAAATATCTGTATTTAGATACAAAATTAATGACGCAGATACAGATACATTTTTTTATTTCACTTTTTTTTCAGTAGTTATTAGTTGGGTTGTACTAGTAGTAATTTTTGATACTTCATGTTGATGATTTGGTCACATAAACAAAAATAGAGGTAATAGGTCCATTAATAGTGTTCTGTCACGGAAATTTTCATGTTTTTAATACCATCATTTCCTACATTGTAGCCTTCAGTACTTATACATCTTTAAATATAATCCTGAGGGGTAATAAATCTAAGCCATGGTAAGATGGTATTTTAAAAACCATAAACCACAGTTCACTATTCACTGCGTTTTACGCTTATAGGGGCAATGCATTTTATCTGTGTACCTGAGCAACCCGGGTCCGGTAGGCCCGCTGGTTGTATTTGTGTTATTAAATAAGAGTAATTTTAATAGTAAAAATACATAAACATGTTTTCAGTTATTTTATTCGTTAAAGCTTCAAAACGTATCTGTTTTCTTGTATCTGTTATCTAGATACATTTCGAAAAAATCGAAAACAATCTGTATATAGATATTTTTAAAAGTATGTGTCCCCAACACTGGGAAACACATAAACTTGTGCCCAAATTTTTGCCAAAAGTATACGTCCGATTGTAATAAACTTCACACCGTTGAAATGAGCGTAAAAAACCCTACCCAGATTGCTTTTCCGTTTTTTAAATTTTGTTATCAAAAAAAAACTACAACGCGTTAAAATTGTGATGAGTGAGATTATCTGGTTTTCGGTATTTATGGATCAATTTTAAATTTTCAAAACAGTACATTGGTAGAAATTGTATTAGAAAATCCATTGCGTTTTACAGAAATAAAATATCTTAATAAATAATTGAGCAAACAGGCACACAATATTTAAAATTTGTGGGGGGATTAAAAGCGGTCATTACATTGCAATAAGTGGGGATTAAAATGGGAGAAAATGGGTCGGTGTTGAAAAAAAACATTTATTACTGTTGCGTTTAATAAATAATAAATAATGACAAAATGAACGAGTTTCCAAAATCGTAAAAAAAATTAATAAAATAAAAGGACAAAACGGGAATATAAAAACTTGAAGTCATATTATTTCCTCTTCTTTCAAATGAATTGTCTTGACGTGATTTCTCAAATTAGTCTTATATTTAGTTTTAAATGAACACTCTTCACACTCATTCCACTTAACATTTTCCTCATCCAAATGCTGCGCATTTATGTGTCTATTTAACGACGACTTGTGTTTACCTTTAAATTGGCACTTTTCGCATTCATACCATTTAATACTTTCCCTATCCAAATGTTGGGTGTTTATGTGACTTTTTAAATGATAATTCCTTTTAGTTTTGTATGGACACTGTTCACATTCATACCATTTAATATCTTGTTCGTCCAAATGCCGCACTATCACGTGCCTTTTATAATTAGAAACATCTTTAGCTTTGTATGGGCACTCTTTACATTCGTACCACTTGGCATTTTCTTCATTCAAATGCTGCGAATTTACGTGTCTGTTTAACGACGACGTATTTTTAGCTTTAAATGGACACTTCTCGCATTCGTACCATTTAACGTTTTGGTTATCTGAATGTCGGTTATTTGTGTGTTTTTTCAAATCTGACTGTTGTTTAGCTTTGTATGGGCACTTGTCACATTCGTACTGCTTAATATCCGGGCGATTCACGTGGTGTGTGCTTATGTGTCTTTTTAAGGTTGAGTTTCCTTTAGCTTTATATGGGCATTGCTTACATTCATACCATTCGATGTCTTTTGCATCCAAATGATGCGCCTTTATGTGTTTTTGTAAATCTGAGTTTCTTTTACCTATGTATGGACACTTGTCACATTCATGCCAAATAATATACTGTCTGTCCAAATGATGCGTGTGTATGTGGCTTTTCAAATAATATTTTTGTTTAGCTTTGTATGGACAACTGGTGCAGTGATACCAAAGCAGTTGTTCATCTTTCAAGTGTTTTAAAATAGTGTGTTTCTTTAGAGAATCTTTCGTTGTATATCTGTAAGTACAGTGATCGCAGTTGTACCACACGTTTCCATTGAAGTTTTTTTCTGGACATACTGTAATGTGTTGAAGCCACTTGATCAAGAAATGAGTTTCAAAGCTACATTTGTCACAAATATATTTTTGAATGGTGAATGCTTCTTTTGAGAGGTCGCTGCTGTGACGGTGTTGTTTAAAATGGAATAACAATTCTGTGCGGAAGTTGCAATCACTGCAGTGATAAAATTCAAGATTTGTGTTTTCGCAGTTGAAGGGCTGCAAGGGCGAGTGGTGACGTCTGAAGTGGTTTGCCATTAAAAATGAGGGTGTTGTGGAATGTGGCAATTTTGATGATTATTCCATAACTGCCTAAAATGATTCATTAATAATTTTATGTAATGAAGTAATACTGGGTGATTCTTACCTCGTTAATTCTTTACGATATTTACTGGGTGTTTGTATCTTTCCTTGACTAAACTGTGAAGTCAATAGTTCTGTTTTTCGTTTTATAAAGTGTGGGTCATGTGCATGTGTAGGTAGGATTGTCTTTTTTAAAAATAATTCGTACAATCGTACATAACCTCAAAAAACAAGTTGTCGTATAGGCAACACACAATACTCGGCTACAAATTGTGAAAACAAAACATAATTGAAAATGTGTACTTAATTACACCTTACACCAGTTGCGGCCTCCTCGACTTATGTTGGCAACAGTGTTTGTTTCTAACTAGGAATAAAATTAACTACAATAGAAAAAAAAAATGTCATAATATTTTTAACGACGCGTTTTACTTTACAATCTGCTTTTACTGTTTCCTTAACTTTAATTCAGGTCACACGAATTACAGTTCGTCGTCTGAGAACTTGTTTGATCTACAGACCAACGCGCACTCAGGCCAATGTCGACTCTAAGCGTTCGGAAACAATTTGATTTATAAGCCATGATACACATCCTAAGCGGTTTCGACCATAATTTCTTGCTGTTTCAACTTTCGAATTCTTAGTTTTTCGAAATTTTAGTTTGGAGACTTTTCAGTTTACTCCTGTCTATTATTCAATTTTTGGATTTTACAATTTCTCATTTTTTCAATTTTTGACTTTATAAACTCTTTTTTTGATTTTTCGATTTCTCAATTTTTCGATTCATTGGATCCTCAGTTTTTGAATATTTTAGTTTTGGGATTTTTCATTTTTTCGATTCGTCAGTTTTTCTTTCATTTTTCAGTTTTTCAATATTTCAGTTTTGGGATTTTTCAATATTTCTGTTCTTCGACTTTTCCATTTTTGACTTCTGGATTTTTCGTTGTGTCGACTTTTTACTTTTTCGATTTTTAAATTTTAGATTTTTAGATTTCACGATTTTTCATTTCAGCTCTTTCATATTTCAATTTTTCAAATGTTTCGATTTCTCAATTTTTCGATTTTTTGACTTCCCGGTTATAGATTTTCTGTTTTTCAATTGCCGTTTTTTCAAATTTTCGATTTTTGAATTTTTCAAATTTGACTTTTACAAACTCAATTTTTCGATTTTTCAATTAATCGATGTTTTGATTTTCCCATTTCTTGACCTTCGAGTGTTTCGATTTTCCTGTTCTTCAATTCTTTAATTTTTTGATTTTTCAAGTTTTTAATTTTTCAATTTTTCGATTTTTTAAGGTTTCTATTTTTCGACTTCACTTTTTTGATTTTTAGATTTTTCAGTTTTTAGATATTTCGGTTTTAGGACTTTTCAATTTCGGCTTTTTTATTTTTGACTTCTGGATTTTTCGATGTGTCTACTTTTTTACTTTTTCGATTTTTCAATTTTACGATTTTTAAATATTTCGATTTTTCAATTTTTGACTTTTATAAACTCTTTATTTGTCGATTTTTCAATTAATTGATTTTTTAAGTTTCCTGGTTTTTTAATTTCTCTATTTTTTCAGGTTTCGATTTTTCAACTTCACTTTTTTGATTTTTCGATTTCTCAATTTTTCAGTTTTTTAATTTCTCAGTTTTTGGACATTTCAGTTTTGGGATTTTTCAGTTTACTTATTATTCAATTTTTTGATCTTACGATTTTGCAGGTTTTTGATTTTTCAATTTTTCGATTTTTTTTAGGTTTCGATGTTTCGACTTCACATTTTTCATTTTTCGATTTCTCAATTTTTCGATTCATTGAATTCTCAGTTTTTGGATATTTCAGTTGTGGGATTTTTCAGTTTTTCGATTCGTGAGTTTTCCTTTCATTTTTCAGTTTTTCGATATTTCAGTTTTGGGATTTTTCAATATTTCTGTTCTTCGACTTTTCCATTTTTGACTTCTGGATTTTTTTGGAACTGTGGACTTTTTACTTTTTCGATTTTTAAATTTTTGATTTCTCAATTTTTTAGTATTTTAATTTTTCAATATTTAAAATTTTAGATTTTTCGATTTCTCGATTTTTCATTTGAGCTCTTCCATATTTCAATTTTTCCAATGTTTCGATTTCTCAGTTTTTCAATTTTTCGACTTTCCGGTTTTAGACTTTCTGTTTTTCAATTGTCGTTTTAAATTTTTCGATTTTTCAATGTTTTGATTTCCCGATTTAGTTTTCCCATTTTTAGTTTTTCTTTCATTTTTCAGGTTTTCGATATTTCAGTTTTGGGAAATTTCAATATGTCGATTCTTCGACTTTTCGATTTTTGACTCCTGGATTTTTCGATGTGTCGATTTTTTTTTACTTTCTAGATTTTTCAATTTTTCGATTTTTAAATTTTAGATTTTTTAATTTTTAAAAGTTAAGATTTTTCGATTTCTCGATTTTTCATTTCAGTTCTTCCACATTTCAATTTTTCAAGTTTTCCAATTTTTCAAATGTTTCGATTTTTTAATCTTTTGATTTTTCAACTTCCTGGTTTTAGATTTCCTGTTTTTCAATTGTCATTTTGTCAAATTTTCGATTTTTTAATTTTACAAATTTGACTTTTATAAACTCTCGTGTTTCGATTTTCCTGCTCTTCAATTCTTTAATTTTTTGATTTTTTAGGTTTTTGATTTTTCTATTTTTCGAATTAACTTTTTTGATTTTTAGATTTTTCAGTTTTTAGATATTTCAGTTTTAGGACTTTTTAATATTTCAATTCTTCGGCTTTTTTATTTTTGACTTCTGGATTTTTCTGTGTCTACTTTTTTAATTTTTCGATTTTTCAATTTTTGGATTTTTAAATTTTAGATTTTTCAGTTTTTTGATACGTTAATTTTTCAATATTTAAAACTTTAGATTTTTCGATTTCTCGATTTTTCATTTCAGTTCTTCGATATTTCATTTTTTCAAGTTTTAGAATTTTTCAAATGTTTTGATTTCTTAATCTATCGATTTTTCGACTTCCCGGTTTTAGATTCTCTGTTTTTCAATTGTCGTTTTTTCAAATTTTCGATTTTTCAGTTAATCGATGTTTTGATTTTCCTATTTCTTGACTTTCGAGGGTTTCGATATTCCTGTTCTTCAATTCTTTAACTTTTCGATTTTTCAGGCTTTTGATTTTTCATTTTTTAGCTTTTTAAGGTTTCGATTTTTCGACTTCACTTTTTGGATTTTTCGATTGCTCAATTTTTCAACTTCTAGGTTCTCAGTTTTTGGATATTTCAGTTTTCGGATGTTTCAGTTTTTCTTTCATTTTTCAGTTTTTCGATATCTCAGTTTTGGGATTTTTAAATTTTTCGATTGCTTAATCTTTCGATTTTTCGATTTCCCAGTTTTACATTTTCTGTTTTCAATTGTCGTTTTAAATTTTTCGATTTTTCAGTGTTTTGATTTCCCGATTTAGTTTCCCATTTTTAGTTTTTTTTCATTTTCAAGTGTTCGATATTTCAGTTTTGAGATTTTTCAATATCTCGATTCTTCGACTTTTCGATTTTTGACTCCTGGATTTTTCGATGTGTCGATTTTTTTTACTTTTTCGATTTTTCAATTTTTCGATTTTTAAATTTTAGATTTTTTAATTTTTAAAAGTTTAGATTTTTCGATTTCTCGATTTTTCATTTCCGTTCTTCGATATTTCAATTTTTCAAGTTTTCCAATTTTTGAAATTGGATTTCGATTTCTTAATCCTTTGATTTTTCGACTTCCCGGTTTTAGGTTTTCTGTTTTTTAATTGTCATTTTGTCAAATTTTCGATTTTTTAATTTTTCAAATTTGACTTTTACAAACTCTCAATTTTTCGATTTTTCAATTAATCGATGTTTTGATTTTCCCATTTCTTGACCTTCGAGTGTTTCGATTTTCCTGTTGTTCAATTCCTTAATTTTTTGATTTTTCAGGTTTTTGATTTTTCTATTTTTCGAATTCACTTTTTTCAATATTTCAATTCTTTGGCTTTTCTATTTTTGACTTCTGGATTTTTCGATGTGTCTGCCGTTTTACTTTTTCGATTTTTCAATTTTTGGATTTTTAAATTTTAGTCTTTTCAATCTTTTGATATTTTAATTTTTCAATATTTCTTAATCTTTCGATTTTTCGACTTCCTAGTTTTAGATATTCTGTTTTTCAATTTTTCGATTTGTTAATTTTTCATTCCCGATTTATCGAGATTTGCTTGTTCAGGTTTTCGATTTATCAGTTTTTCAATTTTTTATTTTGACCTATTTCGGTTTCTCAGTTTTTCCAGTTTTCCAATTTTTCGTTTTTTGATTTTTCCGCTTTTCCAATTTTTCAACTTTTAACTTTTTCTCTATTTTTCGACTTTTCGACTTCATCACTTTTCGATTTCTCGTTCTTTTGATCTTTCAGTTTCTCAATTTTTCAATTCTTCGAATTTTTAAGTTTTTTGATTTCTCGATTTATCGAGATTAGGATTTTTCGATATTTTGATTGTCAATTTCTCAATTTATAAATTGTTCAATTTTTAACTTTTCGATTTTGGTCTATTTCGGTTTCTCAATTGTTCGACTTTTCGACTCCACGATTTCTTGATCTTTTGATTTTTCGATTTCCCGGTTTTTCGATTTTCCAGTTTTTCGATGTTTCGATTTCTCAGTTATCCGATTTTTTAAATTTGGGAGTTTCGATTTCTCAATTTTTCGATTATTTTAATTTTTCATTTTTTTTCTCACTGTTGATATCATACAGTGTATCAAAAACAACCACAAAAATTGTCCCTAAAAACATTTAAAAATTCAAACAAAATATAACGTTGGGTTACTACGATTTCAACAATATTCTTAGTTTAAGACGTTTTGCTAGTATAAAACACAAATAAAGAACTAATTCTTGGTTAAACAAAATATGTAAAATCATCTAAATATGTACCAAAAATATTCACTTAGTCGTTATAAAAACCGACCAAACAACTATTTCCCGTAGAAATTGTAGTCCAAACGAACCAAATCGCTTCTGAACGCTTAGAGTCGACATTGGCCTGAGCGTGCTCTGGTCTGTAGATCAAACAAGTTCTCAGGCGACGAGTTGTAGTGAAACAAGTTTTTTTTATTGGTATCGACTATTTAAATTTAGCGCTTGCCTTTGGCGGTTGAGGACTCCCATGTCCATAAGGGTGGTTTTGCAAAATCAGCCTGTACGTCGCATCTAGATTAATCTATGATATCAGATATTTAACTTATTTTCTTCAGTTAAACTATTATACTAGATTGACGTAATATTGGTTGCATACTTCGTTTTTTATGTTCAAAGTTAAAAATTGTCTTGGTATATAATAATCCTGTGTAATAACATACATATGTGCAATACATTTAAATACTTAAATATTTTCACATACAACGACAAATAATACAGTGTTATGATTAAACTTAAAACTACAATTGTGCAACTGAAAATGACTAACTTCAAAGTGATGACCTCTGACTAATATGCGATATTCATTTTCAGTCGCATCACATTTTATATTATATAGTTGTTTCGGAAAACAAGGACATTTTATAAGTACTATGAGTACAAAATAAATTTACTATTGATCTTGGAACTAATTATATCGCGTTGTTCTTAATACTAGCTAACTAAATTCTTAGCCTGTAAAACACTAAGGTTTAAAGCTTACAATAAAATGTTTGCATGTTTGCATTCCAGGGAGGGCATTACTTCGAAAATCAAAACATACTGTAATAAATATAACTGTTTTCTTTTAGGTTAAGCACTAGTATGGACAAATCTAAAATTAATTAAGATGTTCACCAACTTGTTCGTTGATCTAAAAATCTTGCAACAAATTAAGAAAATTTCATTAATTATAACAATAAATTTTTGTTTATTTAATTTCATTACAATGGTTTTTTTTATTATAATAAGAAAATTCGTTTGAATTTATATAAAAAAATGTACCACCACATTATGGCGTAAATGTAAGGGTTTTTTGGATAATCAGTTTCTTAGAAGGTGGATCGGAAGACGTGGACCAATAGAATGGCCACCTGGGTCTCCGGATTTTTATCACGTGCTGTAGTGAAAGTAAAATTCCATTTAAAATTTATCTAAAATTCATATCATTATGGGATTTGAAAATGGGATTGGGAAAACTGAGTTTACAACAACTGTTTTTGTAATTGAATGCTACCAAAACAATTACAAGTGTGTGGAAGATGTTGCCCTTTCTTGGAGAGTCTGTGAGAAGGTAAATTCAGTGTGCACCATTTGCTAATAAAAATTCCGCTACTTTCGTGTGTTGATTCTCGGATGCTCTATAGAGTGGTGTACAACCATCACTATCAGCGCGATTGATTTCAGCTCCGCATTTCACTAGACATTCGACAATATTTTGATTACCGTTCCGGGAAGCTGCGTGAAGCGGTGTCCGACCCGCATTGTCGGTGCCATTGATTTCGGCTCCATTTTTCACTAGACATTGGACTATGTTTTCATAGCCGTTCCAGGAAGCTATGTAAAGCGGTGTCCGACTCGCATTATCAGCACTATTGATTTTCGCTCTATGTTTCACTAGACATTCAACAACTTTTTCGTGACCCATCAAAGCAGCTACGAAAAGCGGTGTCCCACCACGTTTATTAGAGCGATTGATTTCGGCCCCACATTTCACTAGACATGTGACAGTTTTCTCGTGGCCGTTCTCAGAAGCTGCATAAAGCGGTGTCACACCATTACTATTTTCGCGATTGATTTCGGCTCCGCATTTCACTAGGTATTCAGCAATTTTTTCGTGGCCGTTCCAGGAAGCTGCGTAAAGCGGTGGCCGACCATCTTCATCAGTGCGATTGACTTCGGCTCCGCATTTTACTATGCATTCGACAGTTTTTTCGTGACCGTACCAGGAAGCTGCGTAAAGTGGAATTTCATCCATTCTACCAGCGCGATTTATTTCGGCTCCGTATTTCACTAGGCATTCGACAATACTTTCGTTACCGTTCCGGGAAGCTGCGTGAAGTGGTGTCCGATTCTCATTATCGGCAGTATTGGTTTCCGCTCCATTTTTCGCTAGAAATTGGACTATTTCGTTGTAAGCGTACCAGGAAGCTGCCCAAAGCGGTGTTCGACCCAGTTGATCAATGCGATTGATTTCGGCACCCCATTTGACCAAGCATTCGACAGTTTTTTCCTGACCGGTCACGGAAGCTGCGTAAAGTGGTGTCTGACCCTTTCTATCAGCACGGTTTATCTCCGCTCCGCACTTTACTAAATATTCTGCAACAGTAGTATTTCCCTTCTTGGAAGCCACCGACAAAAGAGTTTCACCCAAAGATGCAGTCCTAAAATTGACTTCTTTGTAACAAGGGCCAAAATTTTCGGAAGTAACCAACTTAATCACTTCCTCGTATCCTAACCGAGCAGAATGATATAAAATATTAATTCTATCATTTTTACTATACGACAGTTGGATTTGTAATTTTCCCGACTCTAATAATTGCAGCTCCGCGCCTAAACTTTCACTTTCTCGAGAACATTCTAGAGGCGTGATTTTAAATAATAAATCTTCTGACATTTCACATATGTTCAACACAAATAGCAATGCATCAAAATATTCTCTTGTTTCAAGTAAATCATTAAATCTCCTATTACCGTCTTCGATTACGTAACCATCATTGCTTTCATGTACATTTAAACGTGGATATCTTTGTCCCCAAGAACAAATCAAATGTAAACCACTTCTTCCACACTCATCTTTACGCTTTATTATTCCGTGATTAAAATTCCTTAATTCAGCAAAATCTCTGTACAAGATAGCGATGTGCGCTGGTGATTTTTCTCCAACTAACATGTCGAAGAAAAACCGTATATTGTTGTACTTCTGATCAAAAAATATGCCTGGTTGTAACACTTCAAAATTTCTAGAAAAATATAAGGATACAAAATACTCGGCAAAGGACGCGTGCACGAATTGCGGAATGCCGTTTGGTAATCCAGTGACGATACCAACAGTTGCAAAATCTTCAGAAACTAAATTTACATCTCGTGAACAGTCGATCTTTAATTGCTTCAAACTTTCTTCAGGAAACATTAACTCAAGTGCAAACTTTTCGTACTGCTTTAATTTTTCTTCTTTCTTCTTCCGGACGTCTTCTTCCCAATAGTCATCGTTTAGAGGCACCTTCCCTCCAAAGAACGCCTTAAATTTTCCGTCAATAAAATAACGATATAAATCAGTCAAGATAAACTTGTTGTTCAATAATTCTAAATATATTTCTTTATTTTGACGGAAGATCTCTGTAAGCATATATATCTGAAGCGGAATCCCCAGAATATCGATATGTTTTGTGAACGCAAACGTGGATTTAATTTTCTCAATCGTTCTTTCCATGTCGTCGGACGAAATAATACTGGAAAAACGTTTTCTAATATAATCTTCTTGCTCGGTCTCGCTGAACTGGTTAATACCCATCGACAGTACATTAAATTTTGTTTCAAGAAACGACATTAAGTGTTGTCGTGCGGTAACCCACTGAATGAAACCTTTCTGAGATAATATAAGAATCAAGTCTGAAACAACGTCCAAATTTATAGTTAAAATTTCGTCGAGAGCGTCCCACACGTAAACAACATTGTTTTGCACCAAACACATTTTGAAAAATTCTCGATCGAACCGTTCAAGATGTCGATATTTTTCGTTTAAGATAAATGATTCGAACCGATTTAAGTAATCTGATACGTCACAAGTTTGTAAAGTTTTACACAATGAATTAATGTCTTGAGGAGTCATAATCACCGTCCAATGTTTAGAACAACAGTTGTTTTTTAAACTTTTTGTCAACTCAGTTTTGCCCATTCCGGGATCGCCGGTTATTAAATTAATGTTGTTGTTTAAATCGAAAGACCAAAATTCTTTCTCGTTTTTGGAATGATCACTTAACTTATAATTTCGCAATTCACTAATGTCCCCTCTACTTCGGATCCATTCTAAAGTTTTGTTATTAAGAAAATTAAAATGATGCACAATTTTGGAGTCTATTATTTTGGAACATATTTTGTGAAATTCAGATTCGCTACATTTATTTTTAGTTATTATAATAACTGGAGTGCGGGAAATTTTGGAATCTCTGTTACTGAGAAAATCGTTTATATCTAGCAGAATGTGCTTTTTAGATACTTTTAATTGCTCCAAATTTTCTTCGCAGTTGAGAACGATAACAGTGTTTTGATTAACATGTTCTAAATATTTAATATCTATAATATTGACCGACAAATATCTATCGATATAAATATTGGGAAAAGTTTCCTTTTGCCCACCTATATAGCACGAACCGTTTGACATTTCTAAAAGTTTGTTCACAGTTACGTGCTTTAAAAAGTCTTCATTTTGCTCGAAAGCAGTTTCCAAATTAAACGCGTTTTTTCCTTGCAACGAAATAGTAAATTTTTTTAACACTTTTTCAAATGATTCAAGTTTTGACTCCAAATCTGACAAGTTGTGAAATAGGGACCGAACTTTCATCCACTTTTTACATTTTCCTTCACCAAGTAAAACAAACTTTGTATCACGACAGAGCTGAATAGCTTTTTCGACATTTTCGTGTTCTTTTACGATTAACGGACATTTGTCCATCAACCATAACAATTGGGACAGCATATTGGCGTCAAGATTTTCGACAGTAGATATATTAGCAGAAGAAAGACAATATCGTGATCGCACTTGGTTTAGTTCTTTGAGATCAATATTTTTGTTCAAGTCGCCCCATAATTTTTTAACTTCGTTGCTGCCTTCTTTTCCCAATAACGTGATGTCGAAATGACAAATAGCGTCTCGAAGGATAGTCATTTCGTCACTCACCGGACCAAAAGCAAGAGGTTCGATATGAGGAGAAAGCAGACGAAGTGCAATTAAACGTTGCGTTAATTTTTTGCTTAGTTTTTCCTTCGTTCCTTGTTTCATACTCCATTCCGATATGAATTTAAAATATGCGTTGAATATTTCTTCATTAGAACAAAACATCTTAGTAAATCTATCCATCGTTGATGTCGTAAGAGTTTCCAAAGGCTCTTGGTTGGTGTATAAACGAAAGCGGTCAAAGAATGTCTGATATTGATGAACTTTTTCTAAATTTTCTTTAGTCCGCTGATCTTCTATAATTTCAAATTTGTAGCAATAATTCACATTTTTAGAGATTTCTGAAACCTCGTAACTGCTTTCTGAAGGTAAAACTTTTTTCGATTCTAGGTAAAACTCTTCTCCTTCTAGTTTGAACTTTGGTTTGTCCGGAATATTCAATTTATTGTTGGTAAATAATATAAATTGTTGCGCTTTGTCCAGTAAATTTTGTGCAGAATTGAAATACTTGCTTATGCTAAAATCTCCCCTTTTGCTTGCTAGTTGTTGGATCGCTAAATTTCCTCGACTGCTGTGTTTTAATTGCATTGCTGTTGTTTCAATACCTCGATCTGTCTCAATTTGTATTACTACGTCATCGAAATCACCAAAACTTGCATCATTCGACGAAATGTTGAAATCGGCTATTTTAGTGTCGCTTACCATTTGAAGTATGACGTTAGCCATAATCATATCTTCGTATTTTTTTCCTTTATCGGTAGTCCCCGATCTTTTTTGAAAAGTCTAAAAATAAAGAAACATTGTAATAATTAAACTCAAACAAACTATAATATCTTTAAAAACATGGACTTGAATAATAATGAATTTCCTGTTTAATATATTTATTTACCTTCTCCAGAAAAGACTTATTTGTTGTTTCTGTATCTATTTGTTCCCCTTTCTTTGCATACATACTTTCCTCATTCACATCTTTAATGTGTTGATTGGTATCTTCTGTTGTGAAATCCGTCGACTGAAAAAAGTATTTTTAATTGTCTACGAATAAATAAATTTAGTATTAAATTTTGCGAGAGTTATTAATATAGCAGCGAATGGATTGCTAATTTTTTTCTAATTTTTAAAAATTTGTTCAGTTTTGCAATCTGAATTCACGTTACAAATAAAAATAATTATAGTACCTTTTTTGTAGAACGACTATTCTCATCAGTTTGCTGGGTGTGTAACACACCACTATTTCCCAGTTCTTGTATTTTTCTTCTTTGCTCTTTTTTACGTTTTAATTCTTCTTCAAGTCGTCTGATTTCTTCGTCCAAGTCCATGATGAAAAAGTAGAATATGTCTTCAAAAAAAAAAAAAAATCCCGTAACCAAATTGTCAAACTAGTTGCGGTTAGACTTGTAATAATAATCTAGTAATAATATCAAAGTCAGTTATACTTAGTACGAGATCAGTACCTATATCACATTATTATGTTATACAACCTAAATGTAATTTTCAACTTACCTGTCAAAATTTACAATCACAAAAACTTTTATAAAATATGTTACAATTTCAGTATTACTTCACAATCAGAATTTGTTAGTCGTGTATCTATTTCAATGATCTGTTTCATACGTTATCCTAAAGATGAAATTAAGATATCGAGATTATCAAGACCTTGACAGATAAATATTGGAATCAATATTGCGTTGCGATAAGTAAAAACTGAACGCGCAATAGTGTACCTTATTATCAACTAAAATCCTACGATTTGAGCTAAATTCTTCGTTAACTCATTTTTGAACCAATCTGAAAAATTTAAATAGTATTTCCATAAAAAAGGTGGAGGCGCCGGGATGATAATAATTGCATTTAAGCTATTTATGAATTGTTAAGAAACTTCGACATCAAATGTTACAATGTTTTTAAAATATCTATATGTACCAAATCAATGAACTTTTTCTAGATCGAATTGGCTAACTTTAGATTTTTTTCCCGAGGGTGTACGTAGCAAAGTAGCGATTGGAAATAAGAACAGATAATTGAAAAGGTGACAAAATTGCAAAGAAAGTTTATGTAGTGGAAATCCAAAATAGAGAAGAAAAAATAAATGTAATGAAAAGGAAGAACTTAAAAGGGTCGTCAATTTACATAAATGATGATTTGACGGAAACGGAAAGAAAAATTCAAATCAAAATAAAAGAAGAAGCAATAAAAAAGAGAAATAAAGGAAAAATGGTTAGAATGGAATATAAAAAGTTAACTGTAGATGGCAGAAATTTTGAATGGAATGAAGAAGAGGGCAGACTCGAGAAGGTAGAAAATTTTTTGTAAAGAGCCAAAAGAAAAGTAAGAAAATGAGGAAAAATGGAAGGAAACAAGGCAAAAGAAAAGGAATAAAAAATGCAGAGAAAAAGGGATGAAGGTACAGTTTTGGAATATCCAACGGTTCAGAAAAAAGGAATTCTGGGACTACGTGGGAAAATTTGTTGTGGTGGGGCTAGTAGAGACATCCCCAGTAGCAAGCAATATTTTTCTAATATTTATATAAGATTGATATAATATTAAATGTTGATTAGATATTACAAATATTTATATAATATTCATTTTATATTTATAAATTTATATATGAATTTCAACATATATTACATATTTATGAAATGTCTTTTTATCAAGATACCGAACAACAAAAATGAAAAAAAAGTACCATGTTGGGACAACTTGTAGGTAATTTATGTCATAGGGTTTTTATCGGAGCAATATTAAAAATTGATTTGAAAAAATACCACCTATTGTGAAATTGACACTATTCGAAATATCGTGTTGCATACTATTAATTGCTCATTAAAAAGTAATATTTTTTTTATTTTTGCGAACAAAAAATAATAATTTTATTCATCATTTTTGTAAAACTTACTTAAATTTGCGCTTGCTCTGCTGGAACGCGTTTGCGCAATGTGCAACATATACATATTTTCTGTTGTTGTTGGTGGTTCAAAAAGTATTTTCTGTAAGTTCATGGTGTTTGTTCTATTGTGAATTGTGATTATCGGTACTGCGATAAATTCAGAATAGTGTAGTAAATACCGTTTTGTCAAGAAAACAGTACTAATTCTACATAACCTCACTTCTACAAGCAATGCAGAAAATGCAATTTCTCAACACGTAAGTATATTTAAGAGGTTTAATATTCCTGAATATAAGCACATTATGAATGTAGAAACAAAATGATGAATGTCCGGGCGCAACCAAAAAAAAGAAGAAATCCAGTTAGAAATTGCGGGAGATACGCAGAAATTGAATGAATTGGTAAGCATTTATTATTCTTATTATTAACTCCTAGTATTTATAAACTAGTTAGTTTCAGACTGATAATAATGTTTATTTTCCAGGAAGAGAAGATGTAAAAAAACATGTAGGTACCTATGCAATTTTGAAGAAATTATTAATAATGAACCAAATTGCTTTCAAGTTTTCAGGGCAAGGAAAAAATAAGCTCTCTTTTAGTAAACTCACAATTAACAAGGCTACAATATGTAAAGTTATGTGATTTTTTAAAAATTACGAAATTTGTAAGTTAATTTAATTGTAGGTACCACACGGAAACGTCACAAAAACGCCACAACTGCTGAAATTTAAAAAATGGTAGGACCTCATTAAGCGCAGACAAAAGCAAGAGTGAATTCTCATCGAAAAAAACATGAGGTATGATTTTTTTTATTTTAATTAATTATATCGCTTTTCAATGAATCGGTTATAGAGCAAATAATTATTAAATAAATATTTCTGTATAACGATTGAAATGTAGCAGAACATTGTTATTTCCATTGACAATGTATTTTTATTTCATTGTAAGTTGGCAGTGTATTTTTATGTTTAAAAAATTTATATTGTGTTTCACATCAGGTGATTTTTTAAATTTCTGCCCATGAAGCTTATGCCAGCAGTTTCAGTTTCACTGCTGACATAAGCAGTGAAACTGAAAAAAAAAGCAGAAATTAAAAAAAAAATCACCCGGTACAAATTTTCAACGAATTGGTTCTAGGACAAATAATTTTTAAATGTATAAATATTGCCGCAACGTTTCAAATACACTGTCACTGTTCCAGTGACAATGTATTTTTGTATTTAATAAATATTATATTGTATTCCATACAAGTTTTTTTTTATATCCATACCCCCTTTCATATGAAGAACATTTATTAAATGTTCTGAACTAAATAAGTATTAAACATTGAAAATAAATATATATTCAATATTTAAAACCAATATTGATTTTTTAAAAAAAAATCTGTCGTTACCCATATTATTTAAATGTTAGAACTTCAATATTGATTACATATAAAATGTTACTGGGGATGGATACAAGGAGAAAACTGGGAGAAACTTGAAGAGACACTACCACAAGAATATGTGTGGGAGTGTCAAGGGGCGACAAAGGAAAAGAAAAAGGGGAGAGTAAGCGGGGGAATAGTAATGGGAATTAGAAAAGAAATGCAAGAATTGGAAAAGGGAAGTAATAATAAAAACGGACTAATGAAGAAAATAATACAGCTGGATAACAATCGATGGGAAATAATACCCGTTTATAGCAAGAAAATGGAAGAAACCAAGATAAACATAGAAAAGAAAACAAAAGAAAAAGGAGATGAAAAAAGACTTATAGTAGGGGATTTTAACGCAAGAGTGGGCGATAACGGGACAAGAATAATAGACAAAGAAAAGGGAGAGAAAAGAGGATCAAAAGACAAAGCAAATAACAAAGAAGGGAAAATATTGTGGAAGATAACAGAAGAAATGGGATGGGAAATTTTGAATGGAAACAAGGAAGGAGATGAAGAAGGAGAGTGGACGTACGTAGGGGCTAGGGGAGAATCAATTATAGACCATGGGATTGTCAACGAAGGGGCGTGGGAAGAAATAAAAAGTTAAAAAGTGGGGGAAAGGGTAGAATCAGACCACATGCCACTAGAAATAAAAATCAAAGGAATCAAGAGTACGAAAGACAAGCGAGAAGAAACGAAAGAAAAGAAATAGAAAAAAGAATATGGGATGGAGAGAGATTTCAAAGATACAGAAGTAAACTATAAGAAAGAAATTCGAAGTAAAAGAAGATATAGAAGCTATGATAGCAGAACTGATCAACTTAATTGTAGAAGCTACGGGAAAAAGAAAGATATACATATGGCAAGGAAGGAATAATGGATGGAACGGAAAATGTAGTGAGCTGAAGAGAAAACCAAGGGAAAATTAAGAAAATGGAAGAATAATAGCGGAAGGAAAGAAGAATACTTAAAAGGAAGAGAGAATTATAGGAGAAAATGTGAAGAAAGAAAAAGAAAAAACGAGAAGAAGAAGAGAAGACAATAAAGTCCCTGAAAACAGAAGAAGAAGTATGGAGATATAAGTATAAACAAGGAACGGAGAAGGAAGACTGAAGTCAGTAGGAGAATCAAAATACATGAATGGAAAAGACACTTTATGGAATTATTAGACGGGAAGAAATGTGGAGAGGTTCGGAAATAACAGAAGATGAAATAGAAAGACAGATTGAAAAACTGAAAAGGGGAAAGGCACCAGGAGTGGATGGAATCCAGAACGAAGCGTGGATGTTCGGGACAGGAGTGAAAAAAAGGATATGGGAAGTGGTAGATGGAGTTTGGAAGAGAAAAGGGTTTCCTCGGCAGTGGAGGGAAGGTATAATAATCCCATTATTTAAAAAGGGGCAAAAAAGTGACGTGAAGATCTACCGAGGGATCACGTTGCTCAATACGGCGTACAAAATATACGCAATGGTACTAGATGAGAGGTTACGAAAGGAGATGGAAGCAAGGGGTATGTTACCAGACGGTCAGACAGGGTTTAGGAAAGGAAGAGGTACTATGGACAATGTGTACATCCTGCGGCATTTAGTAGGAAGAGAAATAAGGAAAGAGGGTGGACGAATGTACGCATTGTTCATAGATTTCAAAGCAGCGTTTGATAGCGTGAATAGAAAGAAAATGAGGGAGTATCTGAGGAAAAAGGGAGTAGATGCGTACTTGGTAACGAAAATGGAAGAAATATATGAAGAAGCAGTAAGTAAGGTAAGAGTGAATGGAATAGAGAGCGAGATTTTATACAAATAGAGGAGTGAGACAAGGATGCCCACTCAGACCCGCATTGTTTGCAGCTTATCTTGGAGATATAGATGAAATGTTCAGAAAAGCAAGACAGGAGGTGTGATAGTGAACAAAGAGAAAGTGTGGTCGTTGGCGTACGTAGATCATTTTGTGATTGTGGCAAAGAAAAGAGAAGAAATGAAAACAATGATTAAAAGTTTAGAGAAGTAGGTACAAAAAAAGGAATTGGAAGTGAATGTAGAAAAAAAAAATGGTGGTGTTTGGGAAGAAAGTAAGAAACGAGAAGAAAGAGTGGGCATGGAGAGGGGAGGAGATTGAACAGGTGAAATAATTCCAGTACTTATGATATACATTAAAGAGCAAAAACTCAGATGGAGCGCATATTCAAGAAATGGTCCGAAAAGCGAACAAAGTGATAGGAATAGTATGAGGAATAGGAGGGAGAAAATTTGGACATGATTATAAGAGAAGAATGATGATGTTTGATAGTTTGATCAAAAGTGTATTTATGTACGGGGCTGAGATTTGGGAATGGAGGGAATATGAAGAAATAGAGAGAGTGCAAGAAACATACGTAAACTGGACATTGGGATTGGAAAAGGATATGCCGGGGTATATAGTGAGAGAAGAAACAAAAAGGGAGAAAATGATAGTGGAAGCGGGTAAAACGGCGGTTGGATTTGAAGAGAAATTTAGTGAGAGAGGTGACTGTAAAATATTGCAAGAAGAAAGGAAGGGGGAAAACATGTTTGGAACGAAAGAGACAAGTATTACGAAGGAAAGGGATATGCATGTGAAGAAATAGAGAGAATGAGAGAAATGGGAAGGAGTATGAAAGAAGAACTGAGTGTAAGAGATAAGGATATAGATAGGCAAGAACGCAGATCGAGAATATCGGAGTCTAGATACAATGCAGAGTATAGAAAAATAGTAAAGGATGAAGTACCAAAGTACACAGAGACAGAGAGTATAACGGAGAAAGAATGATGGCGAGATTTAGGTGTGGAAATGAAGAGAAAGAGAATAATTTTTAGATGGATGAAACTGACAGAAGGTGTAGGATATGTTGGAGAGAAGGAGAAACAATAGAGCATATGCTGGAAGGATGTACAGGACAGAGAATCGGAGGAAAGTAGGGGAAAATCGTTAAACGAGGATGGAAGAGGACCAGACTGGATGAAAGAAGTATAGAAGATAAGTAGAGAGCGGATATATAAACACAAAAAAATTAAGAATAAGCGCTTAAATAAGCACAACATTTTCAATAAAAAAGTTTTATTTTAAGCAAAAAAGCATTAAAAACAATCATATTACAAATCAAAGAACACTTCTTAGAACTTTGGATAAAATATTATTACAATAATCCTAGACTTTATATTTTAAACACGTATTTCAGTTTTCTTTAAAACAATTTATGATTGTAATATGTTCCAAGTTGTCCACTGTAAAATTTTTTCGCCGATCATTTAAAATGTGTTTAAAATTGGAGAATGTGCGTTCAACATCCACACTCGTTGGCGCAAATTTGAATTTTGCAACTAATGTTGAATCTAACTCCAAATTTTCCACCTTCTGGCCTTGTAAAACACGAGCAACGTCGGAAAGAACACCGAAACCTGGATTTTTATTTAACACTTCGTCTAGTTTTTGAGATACTCTAGTACCAATATCACCCCTTACTGCGTTTGCTTGTTGTTTAAATTCTTTCACTAAGTTTATGGCATCTACCAACAACATGTTGGGTTTTTCTAACTTTCCTATTACCTCACATACGAACTGATAATTGCTTCTTAGAAAAGCTAGATCTTGTCGCAAATCTTTGTTTTCCAAAATATTTATGCAATCTTTAATCGATTGAGAAGAATCTTCGCTAAACTCCGTAACTACTTCCTCAAATTCTTTCATATATTTGTCATAATAAAATGTCGCCTGTAACCATGTTCCCCACCTCGTTATAATCGGCTCTGGGGGCAATGGTATGTTTGGAAATTTTTCCTTAAAATGTTGCACACTTAGTGGGGCTTTAACAAAAATCTTTTTACCATTTGTCACGAATTTATTAACAGTAGGAAACTGCAAACGTATTCCTTCAGCCACTCTGTTTAAACCGTTGGCAATGCAAGTAGAGTGAATTAAATTGGGGTACAATATTTTTAGATTATTCCCTGCTTTCAACATATAACGAGCTGGATCCGAGATTATCAATAAAATTTTATTCCCCGGTACGGCATTTGGCAAAAATAGTGACGTAAGACTGTCATTTACGAATCTGGTAATCGTATTGCCATTTGTTTTATGTAACATTTTCAAACTTACTGCATACCCTCGACTAGGGAAATTTTCATTTAAGATTCCAACAATTAAACTTGCCACGTATCTTCCACAACTATCGGTTGTTTCATCGACAGCGAACCATAAATAATTATCTCCAATGCGATGTTTAATTTCGTTGTAAACTTGCTGAAACACTGGGCCTACATAATTTTTTCGGAGAGTACTTTCAACCGTAATATCTCGATTGCAGTGTATTTCAAGGAATTCTTGAAGAGTGCCATTCTCCAATTTTTTTAAAGGTATATTGGACTGGATCATCATTTTACATAAATCGAAATTAAACTGAAACTACTCATCTTTTGTGGAAGTAGATGCAACAGATTCATGTATGGTCTGCTGTTTAATTTTAGAAACTTCAAACATTTTCTTCCTTTCTACATGAAGAGTCGTTCTGACATGTTGCGTCACGTTATATTTTTTATCACTTTGAATCTAAAACAACGTACATATACAGGATTAACAAAGGAAAATAGATAAAAAAAAATTAGTGGGCTTACGGTTTTCACACAAGCTCTGCAGAATATTTTGTTGTTTTCTAATTTTAATTCTGGAAAATCCCTTATCCACTCATCCGGCGTCGATTTTACTTTCGGCATGCTTTTAAAATATTAGTAATATTACCAAAAAGATCTCAACATGTAACAAGGGAGAACCACGTATAACACTGTACTACGACAGATGCGATAGACTGATGGTTGTGAAATAAACGGTTCATTTACTTAAAAGTTTCCATTAGAAAAATTTTAAGGTAGGTAGTTGCGTACAATAATCCTTTTTTCTAGAAAATCTTCAACGGCATTGCCGCAAAATGCCGAAAAAGAACATCTGGTTAAAAGCTTTAATTCATTATCAACGGAAGTAAGGATTTAAAGTCATAAAATCTATGGAGTATTTTTCCAATCATATAATAAAATTTTATTACCCAAACGACCGGAACCTCACCTATGCACAGAAAGGGTCTTGAGTAAGTGTACTTCAATGGTCAAGTCCAGGTAAAATGCATACGACACGATGCGGCTAACTAACAAGTATTTGTCATCCCGACAAGGCCAGCATTTGAACAAAATATGCAATAAAACTCATATTCGTCGAAAAAAGCATTAAATAAGCATATAAGTTTTAATATGCATAAAATTGAAAAAAAATCAAATAAGCATAAAAAAATGTGTCAAATGGCTCCAAATTGTATCATAGTTACAGATATAAAAAAAGTTTTGAAGTGCTTACATTTTTCACAAAAAGCATTAAACCTAGAAATCCGCTCTCTAAAGATAAGGGAACTAAGGCAAGCAGAAAGAATAGAATATTATTATTATATAAAACCTGAATATTTATTGTATTTTATTTATTTTCATTGATTTACAGAAAGTTGTTTCCTCTGTTAGATACAGATGTTGCAGAACGACGTTTCCAGCTAAAGTACATTTTTCTGAAGTTCGGAGTGGTTGTCGTAGAACTTTCATCTGGTAATTGTTCAATGAGCGATAAGGAATTTGTAGTCTTAAGCTATGGAGACACCTACATTGTAAATGAAACACTATTTTTAATATTGTACCTAAATACCATAGTTTATCTGTGCCTTCCATTTTTTCCATGCTGTACAGTAATGGTCACGTTTTATCGGAACTCTCCTTTTTTGGCTTACCAAAAAATGTTTTACTAAAATTTTGTTATTAGATAAAGCAGAATATTTGTGAAGATGTACACTCACGTCAAGGGAAAACGTTGCAATCAGTGGAGTGAAGCAAAGGATATGGTTGTAAAAAAATTAACAATGAAATAAAAAAATCAAAATCAAAATCATTTTAGTTGGAGAAGGAAAACATCCAGAGCATTACTACGAAAATTATTTTACGAGAAAGTCTAAAAAGTATAAATCAATCTAGATATTGCTTCCACAATCTGCTCGTTGAACTAAAAATCTTGAAAAAAAAAGTCTTAACCTATTGCACAGTGAATGTAAAATTCCATTTAAAATTTAAGGTGTATCTAAAATCTTTAAGAATATAGAGTTTAGACAATGGGATTGGAAAAACTGAGTCAACAATTTGTCACAAGTTACGAAACAATCTGTACTAATATAACAAAGCCTTAAATTGTACAGTTCTTTGAGTACTATAGTTTAAAATTATTTTGCACCATTTGCTAATAAAAATTCTACTGTTTTGGTATGTTGATACTTAGATGCTGCGTAAAGCGGTGTCCAACCATCTTTATTAGCCCTATTAATTTCGCCTCCGCATTTCACTAAATATTCGACAATTTTATAGTGACCGTTCGAGGAAGCTGCGTGAAGCGGTGTCCGACCAATATTATTAGCCTGATTGATTTCGGCTCCGTTTTTCACTAAACACTCGACAATTTTATAGTGACCGTTCGAGGAAGCTGAATAAAGTGGTGTCCGACCACCATTTGTAGCACGATTGACTTCGACTCCATATGTCACAAGACATTCGACAATTTTTTCGAAACCGTTCAGAGAAGCTGTGTTAAGCGGTGTCCAACCAATACTATTAGCGCGATTGATTTCGGCTCCGTATTTCACTAGGCATTCGACGGTTTTATAGTGACCCTTCGAGGAAGCGGCATAAAGCGGTGTCCAACCATCACTATCAAAACGATTGATTTCGGCTCCGTATTTCACTAGACATTCGACAATTTTTTCGTAGCCGTTCAAACAAGCTGCGAAAAGCGGGGTTTCGTCATAATTGTTAGAACGATTGATTTCGGCTCCGCGTTTCACTAGACATTCGACAATTTTGTAGTGACCGTTCGAGGAAGCTGCGTGGAGCGGTCTCCAACCAAAATGAGTAGCGCGATTGACTTCGGCTCCGCACTTTACCAAGTATTCTGCAACAAGGGTGTGTCCCTTTTCGGAAGCTGCTAACAAAGGAGTTTCACTATAGCGTGCAGTACTAAAATTTACTTCTTTGTAAGAGGAGCCAGAATTTTCGGAAATAACCCCTTTAATCGCTTCGTCGTACCCTAACCGAGCAGAGTGATACAAAATATTAATTCTATCACTTGTACTATACAATTGTTGCAACTGTAACTTTCTCGACTGCAATAATTGCAGCTCAGCCCCCAAACTTTCACTTTCTCGAGAACATTCCAAAGGTGTGATTTTAAACAACAAATCGTGTTCTGAAATTTCACATTTGTTCAAGAGAAATAGCAACGCGTTAAAATATTCTCTCGTTTCTAGCGAATCACTGAAGAAATAGTCATCGATTACATAAAGATCATCTTCCTCGTATACCTCTAAACGTGGATGTCTTTGTCCCCAAGAACAAATGAGATGTAAGGCACTTCTTCCACCGTCGTCTTTACGATTTATTATTTCGTCATTATAACTCTTTAGTTGTTCAAAATTTCTGTACAAGACCGCGATGTGCACCGGTGATTTTTTAACAATTAGCATGTCGAAGAAAAACCGTACGTTATTGTACTTTTGATCAAAAAATATGTCTCTGCGTATCATTTCAAAATTTTTAGAAAAATACGAGGCAACGAAATACTCAGCAAAAGACGCGTGCACGAATTGTGATCCAGTGACGATACCAACAGTTGCAAAATCTTCAGAAACTAAATTTACATCTCGTGAACAGTCGATCTTTAATTCCTTCAAAATTTCTTCAGGAAATATTAACTCAAGTGCGAACTTTTCATACTGCTTTAATTTGTCTTCTTTTTTCTTTCTGACCTCTTCTTCCCAATAGTCACCTTTTAGAGGCACCTTGCCTCCAAAGAAGACTTTAAATTTTCCGTCAATAAAATAACGATATAAGTCAGTCAAGAGAAACTTGTTGTTCAATTCTAAACAAGTTTCTTTATTTTGACGGAATATCTCTGTAAGCATAAAAATCTGAAGCGGAATCCCCAAAATATCGATGTGTTTTGTGAACGCAAACGTTGATTTAATTTTCTCGATCGTTCTTTCCATGTCGTCGGACAAAATAATACTGGAAAGACGTTTTCTAATATAATCTTCTTGCTCGGTCTCGCTGAACTGGTTAATACCCATCGACAATACATTAAATTTTGTTTCAAGGAACGACATTAAGTGTTGTCGTGCGGTAACCCACTGAATGAAACCTTTTTGTGATAATATAAGAATCAAGTCTGAAACAACGTCCACATTTATAATTAAAATTTCGTCGAGAGCGTCCCACACGTAAACGACATTGTTTTGCTCCAAACACATTTTGAAAAATTCTCGATCGAACCGTTCAAGATGTCGATATTTTTCGTTTAAGATAAATGATTCGAACCGATTTAAGTAATCTGATGCGTCACAAGTTTGTAAAGTTTTAGACAATGAATTAATATCTTGAGGGGTCATAATCACCGTCCAATGTTTAAAACAACAGTTGTTTTTTAAGCTTTTTGTCAACTCAGTTTTGCCCATTCCGGGATCGCCTGTTATTAAATTAATGTTGTTGTTTAAATCGAAAGACCAAAACTCTTTCTCGTTTTGGGAATAATTACTTAACTTATAATTTCGCAATTCACTAATGTCCCCTCTACTTCGGATCCATTCTAAAGTTTTGTTATAAAGAAAATCAAAATGATGCACAATTTTGGAGTCTATTATTTTGGAACATATTTTGTGAAATTCAGATTCGCTACATTTATTTTTAGTTATTATAACAACTGGAGTGCGGTAAATTTTGGAATCTCTGTTACTGAGAAAATCGTTTATATCTATCAGAATGTGCTTTTTAGATACTTTTAATTGCTCCAAATTTTCTTCGCAGTTGAGAACGATAACAGTGTTTTGATTAACATGTTCTAAATATTTAATATCAATCATAGTGACCGACAAATATCTATCGATATAAATATTGGGAAAAGTTTCCTTTTGTCCACCTATATAGCACGAACCGTTTGACATTTCTAAAAGTTTGTTCACAGTTACGTGCTTTAAAAAGTCTTCATTTTGCTCAAAAGCAGTTTCTAAATTAAACGCGTTTTTCCCTTGCAACGAAATAGTAAATTTTTTTAACACTTTTTCCCATGATTCAAGTTTTGACTCTAAATCTGACAAGTTGAGAAATACGGAACGAACTTTCATCCATTTTTTACATTTTCCTTCACCAATTAAAACAAACTTTGTATCACGGCAGAGCTGAATAGCTTTTTCGACATTTTCGTGTTCTTTTACGATTAACGGACATTTATCCATCAACCATAACAATTGCGTCAACACATTGGCGTCAAGATTTTCGACAGTAGATATATTAGCAGAAGAAAGACAATATCGTGATCGCACTTTGTTTAGTTTTTTGAGATCAATATTTTTGTTCAAGTCGCCCCATAATTTTTTAAGTTCGTTGCTGCCTTCTTTCCCCAATAACGTGATGTCGAAATGACAAATAGCGTCTCGAAGGATGTTCATTTCGTCACTGACCGGACCAAAAACAAGAGGTTCGATATGAGGAGAAAGCAGACGAAGTGCAATTAAACGTTGCGTACATTTTTTGCTTAGTTTTTCCTTCGTTCCTTGTTCCATACTCCATTCCGATATGAATTTAAAATATGCGTTGAATATTTCTTCATTAGAACAAAACATCTTAGTAAATCTATCCATCGTTGATGTCGCAAGAGTTTCCAAAGGCTCTTGGTTGGTGTATAAACGAAAGCGGTTAAAGAATGTCTGATATTGATGAACTTTTTCTAAATTTTCTTTAGTCCGCTGATCTTCTATAATTTCAAATTTGTAGCAATAATTCACATTTTTAGAGATTTCTAAAACCTCGTAACTGCTTTCTGAAGCCAAAACTTTTTTCGGTTCTAGGTAAAACTCTTCTCCTTCGAGTTTGAACTTTGCTTTGTCCGGAATATTCAATTTATTGTTGGTGAATAATACAAATCGTTGCGCTTTGTCCAGTAAATTTTGTGCAGAATTGAAATACTTGCTTATGCTAAAATCTCCCCTCTTGCTTGCTAGTTGTTGGATCGCTAAATTTCCTCGACTGCTGTGTTTTAATTGCATTGCTGTTGTTTCAGTACCTCGATCTGTCTCAATTTGTATTACTACGTCATCGAAATCACCAAAACTTGCATCATTCGACGAAATGTTGAAATCGGTTATTTTAGTGTCGCTTACCATTTGAAGTATGACATTAGCCATAATCATATCTTCGTATTTTTTTCCTTTATCGGTAGTCCCTGATCTTTTTTGAAAAGTCTAAAAATAAAGAAACATTGTAATAATTAAACTGAAACAAACTATAATATCTTTAAAAACATGGACTTGAATAAAATGAGCCAGTTAAAATTATTATGTGCACATTAGAAATCAAAGATATTTATTATTGAAAGAGTCAGATACGACGTTTTATCTACGACTCTAAAGTGGGATTTATAAATTTGCTGTTAACGTTGAAGTTCCCGTTGCAGTTGCTGTTGCCGCTGACGTTGCTTTTAAAGCTGAAAATTCTCATTTATACGAAAAAGTGGAGGATTTAAGTTGATTACTACAAAAATGTAACATTTTAGACATGTTTTAAATTTCTTGTTGTCGAAATAAGTCTACAAATATTAAGAAACAAAGGCAAAATGTAGGCCCGCCCACCCGCCCTATCTCGATTGTGATGATTTTTTGCATTCGTTGTGAGCCAAGAGGGCGGAGCTTAACTGCAAAATCCTTATTTCTCTACGAGAAATTAAAAACATGTTTTAGAGTATCGTGTATATTTGAGTATAAGAAAAAAATAAAGCCAAAGATTAAGTCCCACCCATACCTGCCCTAATCTAAATAGTAATGAAGTTTTCATTCATTGCCAGACCTAGGGGCGGCCTAATTGAAAAATCCATATTTTCTTACAAAAATTTAGCATTTTAAACCTGTTTTAAGTGTCTAAGAATACAAAAATCATCACAATTGAGATGGGGTGGGTGGGCGGGGTTTATATTGTTCTTTTTGTTCTTAATATACCTAGTATTCTTTGAAACACGATACTCAAAAACATGTTTTTAATCTTTTGCAAAGAAATAAGTATTGTGCAATTAAACTCCGCCCCCTTGGTTTACGGCGAATAAAAAAGTCATTACAATTGAGATAAAATTTTGTTTTTTATTTTAGTATATGTAGACTTTTCTTCACAACATGAAACTTAAAACATGTTTAAAATGGAAAATTTGTATAAGGAAATATCGATTTTGCAATTAAGCTCCGCCCTATAATTGCGAAATCCATATTGCCCTGCAAAAATTTACCATTTTAACCATGTTCTAAGTTTATTGTTGTGAAAAAACGGCTATGTATATTAAGAAAAAAAAAGGCAAAATATAACGCCACCCACCCGCCCTATCTTAATTCTGATGATTTTTTTTATTCGTCGTAAAGCAAGGAGCGGAGTTTAATTACAAAATCCTAATTTGTCTACGAGAAATTACCATTGTGAAACATGTTCTTAAGTAATCGTGTTATACAAAGAAAACTAAATGTGTTAACGAAAAAAGAAAACCAAAAGATTTATTCGTCGTGAGCCAAGGGGGAGGAGTTTAATTGCAAAATCCTTATTTCTCTACAAGAAATAAAAAACATGTTTTTTGGAGATTCGTAATATACCATGTATATTAAGAAAAAAACAAGCCAAAAATTAAGCCCCACCCATATCTATTCCAGGCTTCAGGGGATTTTTCCTTTAGGTTGGCAGCACACGGCAACGTAACGACAAATGTTAAAAGTTGGTCATCTCGAACGTCACCCCAACGGCGTGCCAACTTTCAACGGCAACGTCAGCGACAGTTTATAAATCGACCTTAACACTTCTGAGGAAAATCTGGAGGTGGACTCCCCTATGTAGGAGTCAATGAAAGTAAACAATCTTCACAACGAGAGTTTTAGAGCTGGAATACAGGGATCCTCTCCAATTTTTTGACCCGTCATAAATAGGCAACCAACATTACAGAGTTCGAAGTATTTTTGTGCATCGATAACAATTACAATAGTTTTGGCCGTTTTTTACGGTTTCCACATTTCTTTGCTTCCAAAATGAAAAATGTAAATTGTAGTGTGTAATTTAGTGTTTTCCTGCGTTTTCTTGTTTTTTTTTTTTTTCAAACGACAATCCATGTAGCCACAAAAATTTATTAATGGCACTCTATTTATTGAATATATCTTGACCACAACTGGCTTATTAGAAAAATGAATTTCCTGATTAATATATTTACCTTCTCTCGAAAAGACTTATTCGTTGTTTCTATATCTATTTGTCCGCTTTTCTTTGGGTACACACTTTCTTCAGTGGCATTTTTAGTGTGTTGATTGGTATCTTCTGTTATTAAATCTGTCGACTGAAAAAAAATATTTTCACTCTTAGTAGGATTATTTTTTAGTAGTTATGTTGAGGAATGAATGAATGAACGAATTATTTTTGTTATTACAAGTTCGACGACTTTCGTAACGAAAAAAATTCACACGAGCTTTTCGAAATTAGTTCGAAATACTTTTTCGTCCGAATTTCAAAGGTCCAAGAACTAAAAGACGTTACAGAAGTGCTTTGAATACGTTATTTCTAAAAAAATCCATGAAGTATTTCAGAATTAATTTTCCGAACTATGTAGTTGTCAAAAATCGACCCCTTCTTAGTCTTCCATTAATTTTAAAAATTTCCCATTGCCAATGTCCAAAATTTCAACGGAAGGACGTGAAAACGCACTTTTACTACTTTGGTAGCCTTGACATTTGCACTTTCTAATAGTTAGAAATTTTGGGCTACTTGGAGCTTTAAGAACAAAAGAAATGTATTTATCCGAAATCAATCGATCATAACGAAATTTTGACGACGTTCTTGTCAGCTATTGTTCTATTCTTAGTCTTCAGAGTCTTGACTACTCCTTACTTCATAGCATTTCTAGTATCGTCAAAATTTCTAAGAATTTTTCAAAATTAATTCCAAATGTTCCTTTTCACGCAAATTTCAAAAATTCAAGGCTAACAACAACTGGAAGACGTTGCAGAATTCCTTTGAATATTTTCAAAGCCTTTGAACTTCCAAATTAATTTTAAAAACCACTTCAAAATTTTATTGAATTTGTAAAAATAATTATAATACCGTTTTTGTAGACCGGAGCCTCTCTTCAGATTGCCGAGTTTGTGAGAGAGTAGTATTTCTTTGTTCACGCTTTTCTCGTTTTCTTTGTTCTATTTTACATTTTAAGTCTTCCTTCCATCGTCGAATTTCTTCGTCGGAACCCGAGTCCATGATGACAACGTTGAATGTGCCTGCTAAAAACATAATATTCAGTGACTAAACCGTCAATTAAAAGCAAACTAGTGGTATTTAGAAGTACAAGTCCGAATCAATTTTAATGACGTAATCTCAAAATTTTGCATTGGTTGCGTTTTGAATTTATAACCCTGTATTACACAGCCTAACTGTAATTTTCAACTTACCCGTCAAAAAGTTTAGTTTTAATATCACAAATAACTTTAATAAAATAAATTGTTGGATTTCAATATTAATTCACAATTATTGCTCTGAACTTGTTAATGTATTGCAACAATTTGTTTCTAAAGGTGGAGTTAGGAAATGTGATAATTTCGTTTTTATCAAGACCTTCAAGAGATAAAAAATTCGAACAAATATTGCCTTACGATAAAACGATATTATGTTCCTTCACTAATGTTTCATGTTCAAATACAGTAATTTGGTTTTTCCCTTTCCCAAGCAGAGATATTTTATTTTGAGGTTATGTATCAAAACGTCTTTTTTATTGTTGTGTTATGGGTTTCAGTATACCTAATTTTGACATTTAAAAATTAAATTACGTAAACTTACTAAAAACGAAGGTAAAATTTTCCAAAACGAACGTCTCGATTTCGCACAAACTCTTTTACAGCAATTCCTCACCGCCAAATGTTGAAGTTACTCATCTGTATGTCCTTGCTAAAGTGTTGATGATGACATCATACTTTGATTAGATTATTTATTGAAGAATAAATATTATTTATTTATTACGACTATGGATAGACCTACTTTTTCCGCTTGGGGAGTAAAAATTAAACATAACAAAATGTTCCACTTTATTAAAAAAAAACTACAAAATTAATAAACCCTTTTACAATATTTATCAAAACACAAAAGACATTGATTACATTATTACATTTGTTGTATTGAATAAAAATACTGATAACAAGATTTCCCCTGTATAACTTTGTATTGGTGGTTGACAAGTAAAGCCAATTATTTTCTTCACAGCCTGATGAATTTTTTAGAATAGAATTTACTCATTTAGATGGACCTCTTTCACGTGGTTTTTTAAATTCAACAAGTACATACTTTTGTACAAACACTTTTTGCATTCATACCACTTACTATCCTGTTCATTAAAATGCTTATAACTTGTATGTTTCTTCAAAATATAGTGCTTTTTAGCTTTAAATGGACACAGTTGACACTCATACCAATTGATATCCTTTTCGTCCAAATGCAAGGAATTTATATGTCTTTTTAAATCACAGTTCTTTTTGGCTTTATATGAACAAGCTTGGCATTCATACCATTTAATATCCTTTTCATCTACATGCTTTGCTTTGATGTGTCTGTTTAAAGCGTACCGAATTTTAGCTTTATATGAACACTGTTCACATTTATACCATTTAATATCCTCTCCTTCCAAATGTAGTACTTTTATGTGCCTGTTTAGAGTAGACTGGGTTTTACTTTTATATGCACATTTCACGCAGTGGTGCCAAAGGCCTTCAATATAACTAAAATGCATCCTCAGCTTGTGTTTTTGTAACAAATTGTCCCAAGTACATTTGAACTTGCACTGGTCACAATGATACCACATAAGGCCATTTTCGTCCACCTCATTCAAATTAAATGGTTCATCAATTTCCCTATTCTTTGAGCAACCAATACTATGTTGAAACCACTTTACTGAAAAATGTGTCTCAAAGCCGCATTTTTCACAAACGTACTTTTGAATTGTGAATTTTTCACTTAATTCTGGTTCAGAGTGATGTTCTCGAAGGTGTTGTCTGAAAAGAAGCGTCAGTTCTGTCTGGAAATCGCAATCCTTGCAGCTGAAAACTTCAACGGTTGAGGTTTCACAGTTGAAATGGTGTAGTGAAGAATGGTGACTTTTCAGGTGGTTTACCATTAGAAAAGACAATGTTGTAAAGTAGGGGCAAATTTTGCAGCAGTGTTGGACATTTTCATGGGGCGTTTTCACGTGGACGACCTTCCGGCAGTATTCCAGGAGCGACATTTTACCATGAACATTTTAAATTAAAATCAATTTTTTTGTACAAGACCAAATCCAATTTTTTAGGTTTGCTGATCCCTTGAATCGATGATTTATTTTTTATGATTACGTTTATGACCTTTCTTACTTGATTTTTCGGGGTTTGATGAGGTTTTTAGCAAAAAATGTATTGAGAAACACAACATGGGACATAACCTCAATCGTAACTTTGTTGACAAGATATGCAACACATTATACACATTGAATAAAAAAATCGAAAGACTCTAACTCTGTAGTTACAAATAAGCAATGAAAATTTATTTCACACCATAAATAATTACAAAAATTACAAATCTTGACGCTTTTAATGACTTTATTCATTCCAAGACTTCATAATTTCAAATTTTTTACTAATGTCGCGCATAAATGTGCTTTTTCAAATTCGAAATTTCCTTAGCTTTATATGGACACTTGTTGCACTCGTACCATTTAATGTCCTTCTCGTCTAAATGCTGCGCATTTACGTGCTTTTTTAAGTCGGAACTTGCTTTAGCTTTATATGGACACGACTTACACTGATGCCACTTAACTTCCTGTTCACTTAAATGTTGCGCATTTATATGTCGCTTTAAATTAGAAATCCACGTAGCTTTATACGGACACATTTTACACTGGAGATTCTGTTCGTTTAAATGGTGAGCTTTAACATGGTTTCTTAAATCCCCGTTTGTTTTACTCTTGTATGAGCACTCTTCACACTGATGCCACGTAATATTCTGCTCATCAAAATGGCGCCGTTGTATGTGTCTTTTTAAATAGCAGCCGAGTTTAGCTTTAAATGAACACATTTTGCATTGGTACCATTTAACGTCCTTTTCGTCTAAGTGTTGTCCATTTATGTGTTGCTTTAAACTGTAACTACTTTTGGTTCTGTAAGAACACTGTGTGCAGTCGTACCATTTAATGTTCTGGTCATCTGAGTGGTGCGAATTTACGTGTCTTTTTAAATCACCACTTAATTTAGCTTTGTATGTACACTTATCACAGTCGTACCATTTAATCTCCTGATCTTCCAAATGCCGCGCGATTGTGTGGATTTTTAAATGGCCTTTTTGTTTAGATTTGTATGGACAATATTTACACTGATACCATTCAAAGTCACTGGCGTCCAAATGGAGCGTCATGTGGCGTTTTAAACTCTGCTTGTATTTGGATTTGAATATACAGTGGCTGCAAGCGTACCATTTAACGCTACTTCTGGTATTAAAAATGGGGATATTTTCTGGAATTCCAAAACACGTGGTTTTGTGCTGGAGCCACTTTAAAGCAAAATTCGTTTGAAACGAGCACTTGTCACAAGTGTAGTTTTGTATGGTGTTTTCGTCCGGGTAGTCTTTTTTAATGCTGTGATGTTCTCGCAGGTGTTGTTTGAAAGTAAGTGTGAACTTTGAGTGGAACTCGCAGTCTTTACAGTAGTAACTTTCAATGTCGGTTCTCTCGCAGTCAAAGTGTTGCAGTGATGAACTGTGGTGTTTGAGGTGGTTAACTAGGAGAAAAAATGATGTTGTAAAGTATGGACAAACTTCACAGTGGTGGACGTTTTTGGGGATATTTTCGTGTGAAGTGAATTTTATTGAGTATTCCAGATTTGACATCGTGGTCTACAACAAATACTGTGTTGTTACGGTATAGAAATAACTATTTAAGCCACTTTACCTAACGATAATGAATTTAAACTTGTAAGTGTAGTTTTCAATACAATCAGCACATTACCTAAAATGTCAAAAACGTAATTAGTTTATAACTGAGATGACATAATATGTGATTTTCCTACCGACATTTTGATGGAAAATCGTCCGAATCTAAGAAAACATTTCGTTTTTTCTGGAAAGCGATTAGCTAACCTCAATTAACCTCAATTGTTGGGTCAGCTCCTTCGAGTAAACAATCCCTGCTATTATATGTACTATCCGCCATGCGGTATAAATGTCAAATCTAGTAACTTTTTTTGCTTTTGTGCAAAAATCCCTGTCGTGAGAAGCTGAAGCTGTCAAGCAAACTTGCGTATTCTTTTCTTTATAAATCCAAAAAATACACGTTGTCTAACATGTGGCTTTTGAAACATGTGAAATAAAGTAATTAAAAAACAATTAAAATTTATTTTTCCGTTGTTTTCGCATATTTTTTTATCTAGGTTCGTGGAATGATAATAATAATAATTTATATGGGTATTTAAAATTTTCAATTTAAGTAAAGGTTAAAAATCTCGAACTTTATCGAAAGTAACATAATCAGAAGATAAATTCATCAGGAAATCAATTCTGTAGAACGAAAACGCGTGAATCACGACGTGACGTGTTTGAAAAAAAAAATTGCGCAATGAACTTTAAATTTATTAGATTCCCCACATATTTATGATAAGTAAATAATTTTATTTACGACGACACAGGTTGGTGATGTTGAAACTATTGAACATACTTCCTGTATATTAACTCATTACTTTACACAAGTAATTCGTTTTGTAACAAAATGGACGCTATATTATTATATTATTTGATTGAATTTCATCCCAGGATTAATAAAAATGAAATCAGCAAATTGTTACTCTTAATGCATTAATTCATCCTTGTGGAATTTTCAGAAATGTCAAAATATGTGTACAGAGATAAGGTCGCTTATTTTTACACCTCATATACGTTTAAATAAAGTATATTATATTTGAGTTTGTCTAACTATTGCGTCAAATAAAAGTACACCCCACCGAATAAACAGCCAGTCAAGCGTGACTCCATAAAGTAAAAGTTTGACTAGCGAAGTTATAAGATCACAAGTCGACAATAAGTTTATAACTTCTTGTGAAAAACATTGCAAGAGAAAAAAATTTAAAAACTTAGGTAAGTTAAATAAAAATAACAACTAGAAATACTGTATATTAGCAAAAACATTATTACATAGTTGGCTACCAAATAATTATAATCATATATATTGGTCATTATGGCTGAAAATATGGTGTTATGAAATAAACCCATACCGTCCGGTACGACGCTAATGGGTTTTAGTATGTATGGCGATGATGACTCATCGTCGATGACGCGGCCGAACGGCGTTCGCTACAGAACAGCCTAGAAGCGGAACTCACGATTATAAACTGATGCCACCTTCAGGAACGATTATTATTCAATCAGTTCAGTCCACGAAAGTACAGCCAAATTGCGCCGGATTTATTTTGTACATAATTGCTGTGTAATCACAAATCAGTCGGGTAACTTTGAATTGTTGTGAGATAACTTGTTGAGTTTTGCTCCTTTAATTTTGTAGCATATATCAAAACAATAAAACCATGTGTAACAGATCACACTAAACTATATATTTTGTCCGACTTTCGCTATAAACATGAATTTCATGCTTTATGACTGATTTTCAGTTTTGACGTAGTGAAGACTCATCAACACTGAGGACGTAGCCGGAAGCTTAGAAGAAAATTTATACCGAAGCGATCAACCGACGAAATGTCGTCCGCTATTCAACCGGAAGGGAACACATCTTGCGCAGAAAAGGTATTACAATTTCTAGTTTATGAAAAGTTGTTAATTCCAAGTATTTAGTACAAAAGAATTATTTTTCTATAAATGCCAGTACAAATCGAACAGATCTAAAATTGATTTTAGAAACTAGTCAAGATAAGAATTTGGAAATAATCCATATTCCAATCTTGATTTAACAAAAAGTGTGTACATTTTCAGGTAAATATTTTCAACAAATAGTTTTCGGAGGTTTAAAAATTTCACAAAATCTGAGTTAGCGTTTGTACATTTAATATGTTAATAGCGAGTGTCTTTTATTCAGTTAATTTACATTTTCTAACACGTTTTAGAATTTTTGGAAAAGACCTGGAACCACGAACAAAGGAAAGAAGTACGAAAATATGATAACTACCAACATCATACTTCATATGGTAAACATGGATAAAATAAAAAACTTCTACGTTTCGTCTGACGATGCCAATTTTGGAGCATTTGATGATGTCATCATTGAAATTGAGACAGATAAGGGAAGGCAAACAAAGGCGGTGCAGTTAAAACACAGCAACAATCCAGGAAGTTTAGGGATACACCGACTAGCAAGCGAAAAGGGAGATTTTAGCATACTCAAATATTTCAAATCGTTCCAAGAGATAAAGAAGAAACCACAACAGTGTATTCTGTTCACGAACCTTAAATTTAAGGTTTCTGAAAACACAAAATTTCAACTAAGCGGAAAAGATTTTTACTTAGAACCTTATAAAACAGAAATTGCTGATGATTGTTTGAAAATTTCTCAAGACATAAATTATTGCCATAAATTTCGAGTTGTAGAAGAAGAAAACCATGGAGACGTTCCTTCAGAACTTCAAGAGTTCAAGACATTTCTTGAAAGTTTTTGTCTATACACTAACCAACAAAGTCTCGAAATACTTGAAAAATCAACAGCCAATAACTTCACGAAGACATTTTGTTCGAATCATGAAACCTTTGAAAAGTTCGTTAGAATTATATCTGAGTGGGATATGCTAGAAGGATCAAAAATAAAGTTAGACAAGAAGTTGATGCAACGTGCAATTGCGCTTTGTCTGTTATCTCCTTACGTCGAACATTTTACTTCTGGTCCAGTCAGCGACAAAAGGAAACTTCTTCGAGAAGCGATTTGTTCATTTGATATTACGCTGTTGGAAAATACCGAGTGCGATATGGTGAAAGAGTTGTGGGACGACTTGGACAAGAATATTGACATCAAGGAACTAAATAGACTGAGATCTTTTTATCGTCTTTCTCCTAATTATATATGCAAGATAGAAGATGTAGATGGAAATGTGTTGGCACAATTGTTGTGGTTGATGGAGAAATGTCCCCTAATTTTAAAAGAACACGAAAATATCGAAAAAGTCATTCAACTTTGTCCTGATCGAAAATTCGTCTTGCTTGGTGAAGGAAAATGGAGAGAATGGATGAAAGGTCGCTCCGTGTTTCAGAACTTGTTGCATTTGAAATCAGAACACAATTTATATGAAAGAGTGATGCAGACTTTTACCATTTCCTTGCAAGGGAAAGCAGCGCTTACTCTGATGGACGCATGTGGAGGAAATGAAGAATTCTTGAAGAATATTATTGTAAATAATCTTTTAGAAATGATAGACAGTCCGTGCCTGATAGACGGGGAAAAAGAAGTTCTTCCCAATCCTTACATCGAAAGGTATTTGTCGTTAAATGTTATAGATATTAAGTATTTAGGACATGTTAATCGGAATACCGTCGTTATTTTAAATTGCGCAGATAGTTCTAAGGAAATAGAAAAACTTCCAAATATTAAACTGAGAAACATCGACGATTATTTAGTTGAACCAGAATGTAGAACTTCTGATGATCCAATTTTCATCATAAGTAAAAATAAATGTAGCGAATCTGAATTTGAAAAAGTATGCTCTAAAACTCCAAAAATTGTTCATTATTTCAAATTTCTTAAAAACCACATTTTAGAATGGGTCCGGAGTAGAGGCGATGTCGGAGATTTGCAAAATTATAAATTAACTAATCATACTAAAAACGAAAACGAATTCTGGTCCTCCGAGTTTAGGAAGAACATTAATTTAGTAGTAGGTGATCCGGGGATGGGTAAAACTGAACTAACAAAAAGCTTAAAAAATAAGTGTTCTTCTAAATTCTGGACAGTACTTATTAGCCCTCAAGAAGTTAATTTATTGTTTAAACAATCAGAAGAGTGTAAAGTATCAGATCATGTAAATTTATTTGAAAAATTCGTCTTAGACACGAAATATCAATCTCTTAGAAGGTTAGACAAAGAATTTTTTAAACTGTGTTCGGATCAAGCGCGTGTTTTCTACGTGTGGGATGCCCTCGATGAAATTTCTACTAAGTATTTGGAAGACGTATCAGATTTGATTGTTTTGCTATCAGAGAAAGGATTCATGCAATGTGTTACCAGTAGAAAACACTTGAAATCTTTCCTTGAAAAAAAATTTAATACATTTTCGTTGAACATAAGTCAGTTTAACGAGGATGAACAAGAAGAATATATTAGAAAACGTCTTGATTCTATCGTTTCAACTGACAACATAGAAGGTGCTGTTCGAAAAATTAAATCTAGTTTTGCTTTCATAAAACATGTAGATATTTTAGGAATTCCACTTCAAATTTTCATGCTCACGGAGATAGTTGTTCAAAATAACGACAAATATTTAAAATTATTTGGCGATTCTTGGCTCTTAACTGATTTGTATCATTACTTTATTGAAGAGAAATTCAACATTTTCTACCGAAATAAATTGTGTCTTAATATTCAGGATTATTATTCAAGGCGTGTGTTTAAGAGTGACAAAGAAAAAATCTTAACACATTATGAAAAACTCGCAGTTGACTTAATATTTTCCGACTGCGAAGATATTAAATGTCAAGAAGATATAGACAACACTTCTTACGAATACGAATCCATCGGGATTACAACTGGTTTCCAAAATAACACACCGCTTTTTTTACATGCATCTTTTGCGGAATATTTGACTGCAGTGTATTTTTCGAAGAATTTTCAAGTTATACCTGCGGATACATTTTTTGATGAGAAATATGACAACGTACGATTTTTCTTTGATATGTTGTTGGCCAAAAACTCACCAGTGCACATTGCAGTCTTGTACAGAAATTTTAACGCACTAAACGACTTTGACGACAAAATATTAACAAGTAAAGATGGCGGTGGAAGAAGTGCTTTACATCTGATGTGTTCGTGGGGATTAAGACATTCCCGTCGAACTGTAGTGATTAAGAAGAAAAAAAGATTTTCACGTGTCTTGCGCAAAAAAGTACGTAGTGTGAAATACATACTTGATGATGATGACTATGAATATTCTCAAGAGGAATTAGAAACAAGAGAATATCTAGATGGGGTCGTACACTTGTTTAATAAATGTAAGATTACAGAACTGGATGGACTGTTTCAACTGTCGCCGTTGTCATATGCTATACCTAGTGAAAGTTTAGGTGCGGAACTGGAATTGTTACAGTCAGGAATGTTACAAACTGATCAGTTGTATAGTTATTGTGACAGAATTAATATTTTATATTTTTCTAGTATATTTGGTTATGACAAGGCGATTAAAACCGTTGTCACTGGAAAATTAAGTACTTATTACGACGAAGTAAATTTTAGTTGTGAACAGTTCGATGACACTGCTCTTATGATCGCATCCGCAAATGGACACACAGCAGTCGTTGAATGTTTGTTAGAACAACGAGCCAAAATCAATCGTGCTAATGGATTTTGTCAAACACCGCTTCACGAAGCTTCTTCGAACGGTCATGAAAAAATCGTCGAATGTCTAGTGAAAAACGGGGCCAAAATCAATAAGGTTAATACTAATAATGAGACACCGCTTTACGCAGCTTCTGAGAACGGTCACGAAACAATCGTCGAATTCCTAGTGACATGTGGAGCCGACATCAATGGTGCTAATATTAATGGTTGGACTCCGCTTTTCGCAGCTGCCTCGAACGGCCACGAAAGAACTGTCGACTGCCTAGTGAAAAGCGGGGCCGAAGTCAATCGTACCACTGAAATTGGTAAGACACCGCTTTACGCAGCTTCTGAGAACGGTCACGAAACAATCGTCGAATTCCTAGTGACATGTGGAGCCGACATCAATGGTGCTAATATTAATGGTTGGACTCCGCTTTTCGCAGCTGCCTCGAACGGCCACGAAAGAACTGTCGACTGCCTAGTGAAAAGCGGGGCCGAAGTCAATCGTATCACTGAAATTGGTGAGACACCGCTTTACGCAGCTTCTGAGAACGGTCACGAAAGAACTGTCGACTGCCTAGTGAAAAGCGGGGCCGAAGTCAATCGTATCACTGAAATTGGTGAGACACCGCTTTACGCAGCTGCCTCGAACGGCCACGAAAGAACTGTCGACTGCCTAGTGAAAAGCGGGGCCGAAGTCAATCGTACCACTGAAATTGGTGAGACACCGCTTTACGCAGCTGCCTCGAACGGCCACGAAAGAACTGTCGACTGTCTAGTGAAAAGCGGGGCCGAAGTCAATCGTACCACTGAAATTGGTGAGACACCGCTTTACGCAGCTTCTGAGAACGGTCACGAAAGAACTGTCGACTGCCTAGTGAAAATCGGGGCCGAAGTCAATCGTACCACTGAAATTGGTGAGACACCGCTTTACGCAGCTGCCTCGAACGGCCACGAAAGAACTGTCGACTGCCTAGTGAAAAGCGGGGCCGAAGTCAATCGTACCACTGAAATTGGTGAGACACCGCTTTACGCAGCTTCTGAAAACGGCCATGAAACAATTGTCAAATTCCTAGTGAAATCTGGAGCCGAGATCAATCACGTTAATATATACAATTGGACACCGCTCAACGTAGCTTCGTCGAAAGGTCACGAGAATATTGTCCAATATCTAGTGAAATGCGGAGCCGAAATCACTCGCGCTGATCATGATGGTTGGACACTACTTAAGGCAACTTTCTCGAAAGGCCACGAAAAAATTGCCGAATATCTGGCGAAATGCGAAACCGAAGTTAATTATGCCGATGAAGCTAATGAGGCACTACTTTGCGTAGCTTCATCGAACAATCCCGAAAGAATAGTCGAATATCTAATAAAATACAAAGGCGAAATTAATCGAGTTGATGAAAATGGTGAAACACTGCTTTACACTGCTTCCTCGAACGGCTGCGAAAAAATTGTGGAACTCCTAGTGAAATCCGGAGCTGAAATCGATCGTGCTAATACCAGTGGTATGACCCCGCTTTACGTGGCTTCTTCGAAAGGCAACGAAATAATTATCGAATACCTGGTGAAATGCGGAACCGAAATCAATCAAGCTGATGATGATGGTAAAACACCGCTTTACGCAGCTGCCTCAAACGGGCACGAAAAAATTGTCAAATTACTAGCGAAATGCGGAGGTGAAGTTAATTGCGTTGATGAAGATGGCAAGACACCGCTTTTCACGGCTGCCTGTAATGGCCACGAAAAAGTTGTCGAATGCCTAGTGAAATACGGAGCCGAAGTCAATCGTGGTAATAACAATGGTGAGACACCGCTTTATATAGCCTCCTGTCGAGACCATGAAGAAATTGTAACCTACTTAACGGCAAATGGTGCAAAAAAGTGATCATTACACAGAAAATTGTGAATCTTTTGAAACTCTTATACACTTAACTAATATTTTTTTCATTTAAGAAGTAAATGGTTTTCCTTACATCAACGAGAAACTACGTTTACATCTTCAAGTAAAATATCACAATCATATTCATTCTCAATTATTCTCTAAATTTTAAAATCATCAGACTATAATAAATGACTCGATTTAATATCACAACTCAGATCGTTTATAAAAAATTTTAAAAATAGTAGAGGACCTGAAGTGGAACTCTGAGGTACCCCACAATTACGTATCATTCTTGATATAAAGTTGTTGTATTCCACATATAACGATCCAACATGGCAATTAGACACAGAAGAACAATCTAATTAAAAAACTAGAAATTTTTTCATTTTTTTAATAGCCCTTATTATACCTTGATCATAAATATGACTTAAGTTCGGGATCACATTTAATATGTTATCAGTACCCACATTTATTTATTGTCATTAAGACATACTTTCAAATTCGTGTTTTTCATTACTCATGAAGTCACTTATGTCAATGTGACTAATCCTGAATGTTTTCTGCTGTTTCATCTGTTTCAACTCCAACACCTTAAAGCAAAGTTCCTGACAATTTATTCGACCTGTTTTGGGATCCACAGGGTAATAATAAATCTTAGCACATGGACTAAAGTAAACATCACAACTCTACATTCATTTAACGGGTAATTTTGAAATTACTGTTCCAAAGATTAATGCACTAATTTTTTTCATTTGTTCAGAACTATCTGCCGCAAACAAGTTTGAAACTGTACTCAGTAAGTCATTTGAAAATCCTTATGTTATAAGCAGTATTATTGTATTGTATTGTATTCATATTATGTATGCTTTTATTTAAATAAAGCATTTTATGCTGTAGAGGAATTTCTTGAAAATAATTTTAACGAGATTGTGCTTTTAATAATGAATGTGTGTTTGACAATAATGGTTTAAATCTTTATTAATTTTTTTATTATTGGCTAATTTTGTTATTATACATTAATTTAAAGTAAATTGTTTGTTTGTTTATCATTTACCTTTTACATTGAATTCTGGTTTTTGAACCAATACATTTGGATCACAGTCGCTCATTCGACATGTAAACCATCCCGAAATATATAGCCATAAACAGCGCTTTAATGGCGAAGAACATCCTATCCAAATAATAGCAGACCATTTTTTTTTAATTTATTTACTGCATCATTATGCTCTAATTGGTTTCTCCTTTCTATATTAAAATAAAGTACGCAACTAATTTCTTAAATTTTGTAAAAAAGTTAATACCCAAATAACTTTAACGACTAGTACCGTGTGATCTCAACAACAGTAAATATTGGATTAAGATAACTGTAAAATTGAAAGGATTATAATAATCCTATTTATTTATTACAGACAGCTTTAGAAGCGGGTTGGGATCGATATTTGCGATAAAAAATTATGAAACTTGTTGTTGGAAAAATACATCTATAATATGTACTTTAGGGATTAAGATGCCAATAAAATCAATGAATGAGAATCGCGCCGCAATTTGATGGCAAATTTTCACCGAAAGTATAAATAAACACAATTTTATTATAAAAAGGAAGTCCAAATTGAATTCACATTTTCTCAATTAAACCATTCAAATGGTTCAAAGGTTCAAAAAGCTCAAAAAACACACCAAAATGCTTTGTTAAATTTTATTTGTTTTGTTCTTGATAAAAAATATTGTTGAGTATTTAAATCCATCTTCGGCAAGGAATTCAACAAATCCTGCTCAGTGCATTTATTCATAGAATTCTCAGATATGCCCAAAATTATCTATAAAGCGACAAAGCCCCTTATTTTGAACATCATTTCCTTAATCTGTTTATCTATTGCGTCAAATAAAAGTTCCCGTCCTCAGAAAATATCAATTCATGGAATTTCAACACTGATATTATCGTATCAGTGGATCAGTTGCAAAATGATTTAAAGAGAAAATAGCTACAGAAATAACAGCTAATCAACCACGAATTTACAAATTAATAGTGACTAGCTAAGTTATAGATTATTGTCAAGTCGACAAGTTTATAACATTTTGTGAAAAATATTAGAAGAGAAAACTGTTGGAAGTGTAGGTAAGTTAAATAAAAATTACCACTAGCGAGTTTGAGATTCAATTTAGGGATTCAAACTATCACACATTTCATTATTTGTTCTTTCGGGATATGAATATCGTGTTTTATAATTTATTTTCAGATTTGCGTATTTACGTAGTCAAAAATCGTCATTATGGAAGACGTAATCGGAAGCTTAGAAAAAGGGAATGCATCTGCTACAGACAAGGTATGTATTACAGTTTTCATTTTATAAAACTAAATATTTAAATCGAAGTAACATTAACATAAAAATGCAAGTAAAAATTTAAGAAATCTGATTAACAAAGAGAAATAAATAGAAAGAATATGTGCAAACGTAATAGTTATTTGGGCACAATTTAAAAAAATGAACTTAATTAATTGTATTTGTTTTCTTACTTCTTATAAAACATTGTTTTTCGAATATTTGAAAACTGATTCTATAAATTTAGCCTACATTTTTACATTTTTTATTACGTTTTAGATTTTCTGCAAAAGAGCTGGAACCACAGACATGGGAAAGAAGTACGAAAATATGATAGTCGCCAATGTCGTACTTCACATGATATCCAACGATAAAGTAAAAAACTTCTACGTTTCGTCGGACGATTCAATTTTTGGAGCATTCGATGATGTGGTTATTGAAATGGAGACCGACAAGGGAATCCAAACAAGAGCAATCCAATTAAAACACAGCAGCAATGCAAAAACTTTGGCCTTAAAAAAACTAGCAAACGAAAACGGAGACTTCAGCTTACTTAAATACTTTAAATCGTTCCAAGGGATAAAGAAAAAACCACAACAATGCATTCTGTTCACGAACCAAAAATTTAAGGTTTCTGAAAACACAAAATTTCAGCTAGAAGGAAAAGATTTTTTCTTGGAACCTTATAAAACAGAAATTGCTGATGATTGTATGAAAGTTTCTCAAGATATAAATTATTGCCACAAATTTCGAATTCTAGAAGAAGAAAACCATGGAGAAGTTTCTTTAGAACTTCAAGAGTTCAAGACATTCCTTGAAAGCTTTAGTCTATACACTAATCAACAAAGTCTCTACAGACTGGAAAAATCAACAGCCAATAACTTCACGAAGACATTCTGTTCGAATCAAGAAACCTTCGAAAAGTACGTTAGAATTATATCTGAGTGGGATATGCTAGAAGGATCAAAAATAAAGTTAGACAAGAAGTTGATGCAACGTGCAATTGCGCTTTGTCTGTTATCTCCTTACGTCGAACATTTTACTTCTGGTCCAGTCAGCGACAAAGGGAAAATTCTTCGAGAAGCGATTTGTTCATTTGATATTACGTTGTTGGAAAACACCGAGTGCGATGTGGTGAAAGAGTTGTGGGACGACTTGGACAAGAATATTGACATCAAGGAACTAAATAGACTGAGATCTTTTTATCGTCTTTCTCCTAATTATATATTCAGGATAGAAGATGTAGATGGAAATGTGTTGGCGCAATTGTTGTGGTTGATGGAGAAACGTCCGCTAATTGTAAAAGAACACGAAAATATCGAAAAAGCCATTCAACTTTGTCCTGATGGAAAATTCGTCTTGCTTGGTGAAGGAAAATGGGGAGAGTGGATGAAAGGTCGCTCCGTGTTTCAGAACTTGTTGGATTTGAAATCAGAACAGAATTTATATGAAAGAGTGAAGCAAAATTTTACCATTTCCTTGCAAGGGAAGGCGGCGCTTACTCTGACGGAGGCATGTGGAGGAAATGAAGAATTTTTGAAGAATATTGTTGTAAATAATCTTTTAGAAATGATAGACAGTCCACGCCTGCTAGACGGGGAAAAAGAAGTTCTTCCCAGTCCTTACATCGAAAGGTATTTGTCGTTAAATGTTATAGATAGTAAGTATTTAAAACATGTCAATCCTAAAACCGTAGTTATTCTAAATTGCGCAGATAGTTCTAATGAAATAGAAAAACTTCCAAATATTAAACTGAGAGACATCGACGATTATTTAAATGAACCAGAATGTAGAACTTCTGATGATCCAATTTTCATTATAAGTAAAACTAAATGTAGTGAATCTGAATTTGAGGTAATATGCTCTGAAACTCCAAAATCAAAAACGATTCATTATTTCAGATTTCTTAAAAACAACATTTTAGAATGGGTCCGGAGCAGAGGCAATGTCGAAGATTTGCATGATTATAAATTACTTAATCATTCTAAAAACGAAAATGAATTTTGGTCGTCCGAATTTAGAAAGAGCATTAATTTAGTAATAGGTGATCCGGGGATGGGTAAAACTGAACTAACAAAAAGTTTAAAAAATAAGTGTTCTCCTGAATACTGGACAGTAATTATTAGCCCTCAAGACGTTAATTTATTTTTTGAACAATCAAAAGAGTGTAAAACATCGGACTATGCAAATTTATTTCAATTCATCTTGGGCACAAAATATCAGACTCTTACAAGGTTAGATAAAGAATTTTTTAAAATGTGTTCCGATCAACTGCGCGTTTTCTACATGTGGGATGCTCTTGATGAAATTTCTACTAAATATTTGGAAGACGTTTCAGATTTGATTGTTGTGTTATCACAGAAAGGTTTCATGCAATGGGTTACCAGTAGAAAACACTTGAAACCGTTCCTTGAAAAAAAATTTAATACATTTTCTTTGGACATAAATCAGTTTAATGAGTATGACCAAGACGATTATATTAGAAAACGTTTTAGTTCTGTTATTTCAACTAACAATATAGAAAGTACGATTCAAAAAGTGAAATCTAGCTTTGCTCTCATAAAACATGTAGATATTTTAGGAATCCCACTTCAAATATATATGTTCACAGAGATAGTTCTTCAAAATAACGACAAATATTTAAAATTATTTGGCGATTCTTGGCGCTTAATTGATTTATATCATTACTTTATTGAAGAGAAGTTCAACATTTTCTACCGAAATAAATTGTGTCTTAATATTCAGGATTATTATTCAAGGCGTGTGTTTAAGAGTGAGAAAGAAAAAATCTTAACACATTATGAAAAACTCGCAGTTGACTTAATATTTTCCGACTGCGAAGATATTAAATGTCAAGAAGACACTGACAGCACTCACGAATACGAAACCATCGGTATTATAACTGGTCTACAAAATAACACACCGGTTTTTGTGCATGCATCATTTGCGGAATATTTGACTGCCGCGTATTTCTCGAAAAATTTTGAGGTTATACCAGGAGATAGGTTTTTCGATCGAAAGTATAACAACGTACGATTTTTCTTTGATATGTTGTTGGCGAAAAACTCACCAGTTCACATTGCAGTCTTGTACCGAAATTTTGCCGCTCTAAAGAGCTATGACGACAAAATATTAACAAGGAAAGATGTCGGTGGAAGAAATGCCTTACATTTGATTTGTTCGTGGGGACAAAGACATTCGCGTCTGACTGTGAGGAGTTCTAAGATAAATAGAGATTTTTCATATTTTAGTTCTGTCTTGGTGAAAAAAATTTCCTTTTCGAAAAAAATACCTAGTGTGCGGTACACTCTCGATGACTACGAATTTACTAAAGGGGAATTAGAAACAAGGGAATATTTAAATGCAGTGCTACACTTGTTTAGTAAATGTAACATGTCAGAACCGGACGAGTTATTTAAAATGACGCCATTGTCATATGCTCGAGTCAGTGAAAGTTTAGGTGTGGAACTGAAATTGCTACAGTCAGAAATGTCACAAACAAAACAGTTGCATAGTTGTTGTGATAGAATTAATATTTTATATTGCAGTAGTTTTTTTGGTTATGAGAATGCGATTAAAACGGTCTTTTCTAAAGAATTAAGTACTTATTACGATGAAGTAAATTTTATTTCTATAGTGGGTAATGACACTGCGCTTACGTTGGCGTCCAAAAACGGACACACAGTAGTCGTTGAATGTTTGTTAAATCTAGGAACCGAAATCAATCGCTCTAATAAATATGGTTGGACACCTCTTTATGCAGCTTCTTTTCACGGTCACGAAAAAACTGTCGAATGTCTAGCGACAAGAGGAGCAAAAATTAATCATACTGACAACTATGGTCGGACACCGCTTTACGCAGCTTCATCTAACGGCCACAAAAAAATCGTCGAATGCCTAGTAAAATGGGGAGCCCAACTGAATCGTGCTGATGACTTTAGTGAGACACCGCTTTATGTAGCTTGCTCGAGGGGCCACGAAAAAATTGTCGAATTCCTAGTGAAATGCGGAGCTGAAACCAATTGCGCCGATGAAAATGGTAGGACAGTACTTCACGCAGCTTCCTCGAACGGCGACGAAAAAATCGTTGAATACCTAGTAAAAAACGGAGCTGAAGTCAATCGCGCTGACATTTCTGGTGAGACACCGCTTGAGGCAGCTGCTTCGAATGGTCACTATAAAACTGTCGAATATTTAGCGAAATGCGGAGCCGAAATCAATCGCGCTGATAAACATGGCAAGACACCGCTTTACGTAGCTACCTCGAAAGGCGACCACATAATTGTCGAATGCCTAGTGAAATGCGGAGCAGAAATTAATCGCGCTAATAATAAAGGTTGGACACCGCTTGACAAAGCTTCCGGGTTTGGTTACGAAAAAATTGTCGAATGTCTAGTGAAAGGCGGAGCTGAAATCAATCGCCCTGATAATAGAGGTGAGACACCGCTTTACACAGCTTCCACGTTCGGTCACGAAAAAATTGTTGAATTCCTAGTGAAATCCGGAGCCGAAATCAATCGCGGTGATAATGGCGGTCGGACACCGCTTTATGCAGCCTCCAAGAACGGGCGCGAAAATACTGTCAAATGTCTAGTGAAATACGGAGCCGAAATCAATCGCCCTCGGAATAATGGTCGGACACCACTTTACGCAGCTTCTGCGAACGACAACGAAAAAATTGTCGAATATCTAGCGAAATGCGGAGGCGAAGTTAATCGCACTGACGAACACGGTAAGACACCGCTTTACGCAGCTTCCTCGAAGGGCCACGAAAAAATTGTCGAATGTCTAGTGAAAAACGGGGCCGAAATCAATCGAGCTGATAAAAATGGTTGGACACCGCTTAAGGCAGCGTCGTGCAAAGGTCACGCAGAAATTGTCGAATATCTAGCGAAATGCGGAAGCGAAGTTAATCGCGCTGATGAATAAGTCACTTCATTTACCAAAATTTCCTAACAATTACAATATCGTGGGTTGCATATCTTACACCTTCCCCCCTTCAAATAAAATACAAGCTCACCAAGATTTTAATCCGGGAATCGCGAGATAATTTTGCCTTGTCACACCGCCGTTGATATTTTTCAGATGTGTGTGTCAAGTGCTGAACATAAATAGAGCATTTGTATATAAATCTAAAACTATTAAAAAATATTTACCCTTGATTGGACCACAGAAATCCAAGTGTAACTTCTCCCAAGGTAGTTTTGGATATTCCCAAGAATTGAATTTCACTTTAGGAGGATTATTAACATGTAAAGAACAAACTTCACATAATTTAGTTAATGATTTCATTAATTCAGAACTATCTGACGCAAACAGATTCGACATTGTAGTTAGATAGGTTAACTAATAAAAATAAAATGATACGTTGGCAAAGTTCCATGCCTTTGATTAAAACTGTAATACGAGTATATGTAAATAATAATAATCATTTTAAGTTTGACATTTACAGTTATATGTTTTAATTAATTAATTATACACATGAAAAATAACTCCTCAGTTTACTCTTAGTTGAAAATCATTTTATTATCCGCTATTTAATTATACTGTATGCATATTGTAAATAAAATTATGCTATGGTATTGTATTCATATTATGTAAACTTTTATTTAAATGAACCATTTTATATTGTAGTGGGATTTCTTAAAAATAATTTTAACGAAAATTGTTCTTTTAATAAAGTAATTTAAAGTAAATTGTTTGTTTTTTTATTTACCATATTGATAGAATTTTGGATTGTAAACATCACATTTTGACCACAGCTAGTCATTTGACAACATGTGAAAATAAACCTTCGTGAAAAAGCTAACAATTTTACATATTGAAAACAGCCCCGTAGCTAGAAAACTTATTTAGGGGGGCAAGTTTGTCGACAGAGGGGGCTTCATGTAAATATATATACATGTTTTAATAATACTACTTTATTTTTTCTCAGTTTTTAGATTTTGAAAGAACATTAAAATAATTGTAAAATTTTCGTAAAATCCTGTCGAAGTCCAAAGAATTGGTATGGTACTTTTCAAAAGCCAGAAAAACCAAGTTTGCCAATCTTTGATGCGTCATTGAACGCACCGGACGATTTATTCCGGTTAAAACAGAGAATGTAGATTCACAAACAGCTGTACTGGATCCAAAAATTCGTGCAGTGGCCAAAAACACTAGGTAACAACCAATTTGTTTGAGTTTATTGTTAGATATTAGAAAAGGGCGACCCTGTAGGTTTGTCATGACAACAAACAAGAACACATGAATAATTGTAAAAAAAGTAATGAGCTGTTGTTTTTTTGTATCCTGTATTTTTGCGTTGTATTTCCTAAAGTTCATTAAAGCTTCTACGAGCACGTACCTCTTGACTCCTTTTGAGTTGTGGACGGGCAAGAAACCCAATGTTAGCTATTTTAAGACTTTTGGTTGTCGTGTTTTATGTCATCAGAAGAAACCAAATCAAGATAAGTTCCGACAAAGATGTAAGGAAGGCGTTTTCGTCGGATATTCAGAAGAAGTCAAGGAATTTAGAGTATGGTTCCCAGAAGAGAGAAGAGTATACATAGCTCGAGAAGTAAAATTTATAGAGAAAGTAGATTTAAAGTTGAATGATGACTATGAAGATCTCGTTCTTCCACGATCGACGTTCCCATAGATCCTATGATCGAAGACAATCGACAAGAAATCCAAGATAGCGACCAGAGAGCAGCAAGTGAAGAAGAGGGTTCCGAGAATGAACATTTCGATCAAGAAGAAGTGGCATCAACTAGACGTGGTCCAGGCCGTCCGCGAATCGAAAGAATTGGCTTGAAGGGAAGACCTCGAAAACGATACAACCTCAGAACAGAAGAAACCACGTTGGCAAGCGAAGCACCAGTATTTGGTTTTCTTTCCGAAATTCCATTAGAACAAGCATTGAACGGTGCCGATGCGAACGAATGGTTTGAAGCTATCTGCCAAGAAGTAGAAAGCATTGTTAAAAATGATACTTGGAAGAGGGTACAGTACCCCAATGGAGAAGAGATCATCGGGAGTCGCATAATTTTGAGAAATAAATACAAATCTAATGGTATGCTAGATAAAAGAAAAGCCAGATTAGTGGCACAAGGTTTTAACCAGAAGCCAGGTGTACATTTTACTGAGACGTTTGCTCCTGCAGCTAGAATGAGCTCTATACATCTGCTCGTATCCTTGGCAGCAATTCACGACATGAAGATTGAACAGCTCGATGTAGCGAATGCTTACCTGAATGGTACCCTCGAAGAGAAGGTCTTCATGAGACCTCCAACCAATCTAGCTAATATTCTTGAGTCTATCATACAGAAACGAGGCCGATGAAGTGTAGTCGGCGAGAAAGCCGCAAGAATGTTGGAAGACTTTAGGGATAGCGAGCAAATTTGTCACCTACAAAAGTCCCTGTATGGCCTACGCCAGTCGAGTAGAAGCTGGCATATGATGTTGGACAAGGTATTGCGAAAACTTGGTGCGATTCCAACCAACGCCGATCCGTGCGTATATTGTGTTGGACGAGGGGAAGATGCAACGATGGTTGTTATTTATGTCGATGACATACTGATAATGTCAAGAGATTCTAACAGAATCAAGCAATTTCGAGAAAAATTGTGCAAGGAGTTCGAAGCGAAGAAACTCGGTAATGCTGGCTATTGTTTGGGAGTCGAGTTTGAAGTTGAGAAGTCAAAGATAACTATGCACCAAAGAGGCTATATCTTAGACCTCCTCAAACGTTTCGGCATGGAGAATTGCAACCCGATATCAACTCCTATGGATCCGCAGACAAAGCTCGTCAAACCAACGACCGCTGAAGAAGTGAAGAATTTCCCGTATCGCGAATTGATAGGTGGCTTGACATATTTGGCCATCACGACTAGACCTGACATCAGTCACGCAGTGAGTTCCTTGGGACAGTTCAATAACTGTCATGGCAAGGTCCATTGGACAGCAGCGAAGCGAGTGCTTCGACATCTGAGGGGTACTCTGAACTATGGTCTTGTGTATACAAACTGCCCCGATCCTGTAAGAGGCTACACAGATGGCGACTGGGCAAATTGTGCTATTGACAGACGATCGTATACTGGATACGTCTTCATGTTAGCAGAGGGACCCATTCCGTGGGACTCCAGGAAACAGAAGACTGTGGCATTATCATCTACAAAGGCTGAATACATGGCATTAATAGAAGCAGCCAAAGAAGCCACTTTCATCCAGAAGTTCCTGCTGGAGTTAGGGTTCGCACAGTTGTCACAAATGGTGCTATTTAGTGACAACCAAGGCGCATTGAGACTGGCTCAATATCCGGTCTATCATGCGAAGAGTAAGCACATCGACCTTAGACATCACTACATCAGAGAAGTGGTGAAGAATGACTCATTAACTATACAACATGTCCCTTCGGAAGATATGATCGGTGACATCTTCACCAAGGGTCTAGCAAGTATAAAACATGGTTCCTTCACGGAGCGGCTAGATCCAGCACAACCCCGGGTCGAGGGGAAGTGCTAGATCTATTAGAAGAGGGCAACCCTATAGGTTTGCCATGACAACAAACAAGAACACATGAATAATTGTAAAAAAAAGTAATGAGCTGTCGTTTTTTTGTATTCTGTATTTTTGCGTTATATTTCCTAAAGTTCATTAAAGCTTTTACGAGCACGTACCTCTTTATTCATAATATTTATTTTTTTGCATGTTTAGTAGTAGGCTATGGAATAAAATGTGACATGGCAGTTGCTTTTTTTACACGGTCAAAATTAACGTTAGAGTGATATTGCCAAGTAATATACCCTGTAAGAAAATAAAGGGCGGGTGGGTGGGGCTAGTAAATATGCTTCAGCAATCGGCATTATATTGAAATTTTATTACTAAATTGAAATTTTTAATGTGTAAGTCTTCCAGGGGGGGGCAACCACAACTGCTAGGGGGGGCTCAGCCCCATCTTGCCCCCCCGTAGCTACGGGGCTGATTGAAAATTGCAAACTTTGTTAATTTTTGTTCAGTCTTTTTATTTTGTTTTTAAAAGTGACGTGTCGACGGTGTAAAATACTCTATACTTAAAGCACAAATAATCATTTTTATCTTATTGAATTTAATAAAAAATAGATTTAATAATAGAACACAGCAATTTAAAATAGTATATTTTGCAACAAGAAGTGAAAGTCATACTTTTTTCGTGAGTTGAGTATTGTTTCACGAGTCGCGCAGCGACGAGTGTAACACACTCAACGAACGAAAAAATTGACTTTCAGTTCGAGTCGTAAATGCTATTTTTTCTACGACAAAAAACATACCTAACTACATATAAATTTCAGGAAATTTTATTTTGTAATATATTGAAAATTACAGTTATAATAATTATGTACAACACCTGCTGCTTTAGCATTATTTTCTTTTTTATTAATTATTGATGAAGGCACATTGTCTTCAAGTGCATGTGATGCAGGAGGAACCTCTGCTTCTGTTATTTCTGTCTCCTTAGGTGACAACGAACCCTCAATAGGTGGTAAACTTCCGATATTTTCTTTGCTAATCTATAATGAATCAAAAAATTTTTTCCCTCTATTAATTTTGTTAGTAATCGAATCTTCGATGTATTGTTCAGCTACAGAACTCGATTTCCATCCGCCGTGCTGCTTTATTTCAGTCATGTTAGCACCCATGTTTGCAAGAAGTGTCGTGGAAGATCTCCTTAGAGAATGGCCAGTATATAACTGTGAATCTGGTAATTTGAGGAATTTAGCAATTTCTTTTGGAACAGATGCAAATTTATTAATTCCAATAACTTGTCGGGTGCACTTGTTGTGTTGGTAATTCAAAAAAAATCTACGAGTCGTATTGTCTATTCCTTGTGGACGAAGATTGATGTATCTCTTGCAGATTTTATAATGGGTATTAACAATTGTAAATGAACGAGGTAAATTTGTTTTTGTCTTTGGAATAGTCACAAATAAAGCGCTTCCTAAATCTTGAACATCTTGAATTTCTAAATCTTTTAATTCATGTGAACGACAGGCTCCACAGATCCCAAATATTAGAGCAACCTTCAAATAGTCTAGTATGAAACATTATAAAACACAACCTCAACTCAACTTACGTTCGTGAACAAGAATTTTTCATCATTTGCTTTATCGAGAAACAACTGAATTTGTTCCGAATTCAATACTTTTGCCTTTTTAGATTTGAAACCCGTCGACTTCCTTTTTAGAAAAGTTTTTAATTTTATGTATTTAGAAATATCAACATCATGTTTCAGACTTATTGCACTTCGTAGCATGGAATACATGCTCCATAATGTGGTGGGCTTCAGACTGTTTGACAATGTACCGAAATAAGCCATCAAGACATTTTCGGAAAAAGATGTCACTCGGTTGTCCTTCCGCCAAGTTATAAATTTTTCGTATACAAACTGATATCTCTGTTGGGATTTTTGTGGTAAGATATCATTTGAAGCGGATGTTGCTGCTTGTATCACATAAGGTGGTGTGGAACTACGCGATTCTTCTGAATCAGACATGGCTTTTCTTTTTCAATAAATTAGGAACACAATTTGAAACCTAATATGTCATTACGAAATAAAACAATCACCTAGAATAAACAATATGACTACTTGACTAGCGCTACTGGTTGCTTAGACGTATGCAGATCTTGCTGCGTCAAACATTTTTGTTTAATTTTTATTCAAATTTATTAATCAGTTTTAATCAATTTAGTTTCAATTTAAATAGGTAGTCATATTTCATTTCTTAACAGTTGATCAAATTAAAAAAAAGATACTTAAATTTTCAGTGGATTTAAACTTTAAATTTTCACTTTTCACATAGCAGTCCATGGTTATTTTCGCTTGTAGAAGTGAAAATGATGTTTTCGTTAAGGGTAAACGATGGGAAAAAGTCTACTTTCATATATAGGAGTAGAAAAAGAGTTTTTTGTCTGTTTTATATTTGCTTTTTACTCATAATCAATAATAATAATCCCTCACAAAAAATTGTCGAGTATTTAAATTCATGTTAAGTAAGTAAATGGGCAAATCGTTCTACCTGCTTACTGCATTCCTCCATAGAATTGTCAGATAAGTATATTCAAAATTATGTAAGAAATGAAGTCTTTTATTCTGAACATGATTTTTTTTTAAATTGTTCATTTATTGTTTCAAAATAAAATGGCTAGCTACCGACGGAAACACTCAATTATGCAATTTCCACCCTGATAACAGTCTTATCGTATCAGTGGCTCAGTTACAAAAATAATTTAAACAAAACAACTCCAGAATAACAGCCAACCAACCGTGACTCACTTCTTGTGAAAAATATTAAAACAGAAAAAGTCAAAAGCTTGGGTAAGTAAAATAAAAATGATCAGATGGATTTGTTTTTTCGGGAAATAGACGAAACTGTCTTTTTAATTTTAAAAATGTATACATATTAGTAAAACCAACAGAATCAAAACACAAAGGAACTGGTGTTATAACAGATGGCACTAAAATATCTAAATATGAATATGATGTTTTATAATTGATTTCAGTCTGCGTATTCACGAATTGAGGAATCATCATTATGGAAGACGTAGCCGGAAGCTTAGAAAAAAATTTCCGCCATGAACAATCACCCGATAAACCGTCGTCCACGTTTCAATCAGAAAGAAGTCCATCTCCGACAGAAAAGGTATTACAAATTCTAGTTTATAAAAGTATATATTTGTCATAAATACCAGTAAAACTCGAACTGGTCTGACTTACAAAAACTGTAGCTGCCGTTGTCATTGCTTGTTATGTACCTAAGTTAGATTCCGGAAAACTTGAAATTAAAATTAAACTGAGAAAGTAAACAGAATTTGTACAATTACATGATGTGCATCAGCTACATTTGCATTTTTTATTACATTTTAGAATTTTCGGAAAAGACCTGGAACGACGGACAAAGGGAAGAAGTACGAAAATATGATAACTGCCAACATCATACTTCATATGGTAAACATCGACAAAGTAAAAAACTTCTACGTTTCGTCGAACGATGCCAATTTTGGAGCATTTGATGATGTCGTAATAGAAATTGAGACAGATAAGGGGAGGCAAACAAAGGCAGTGCAGTTAAAACACATCAACAATCCAGGAACTTTAGGGATACACCGACTAGCAAGCGAAAAGGGAGATTTTAGCATACAGAAATATTTCAAATCGTTCCAGGAGATAAAGAAGAAACCACAACAATGTATTCTGTTCACGAACCTTAAATTTAAAGTTTCTGAAAACACAAAATTTCAACTAGGTGGAAAAGATTTTTCCGTAGAATGTTATAAAACAGAAATTGCTGACGATTGTTTGAAAGTTTCTCAAGATATAAATTATTGCCACAAATTTCGAATTGTAGCAGAAGAAAATCATGGAGAAACTCCTTCAGAACTTCAAGAGTTCAAGACATTCCTTGAAAGCTTTAGTCTATACACTAACCAACAAAGTCTCGAAACACTTGAAAAATCAACAGCGAACAACTTCACGAAGACATTCTGTTCGAATCAAGAAACCTTCGAAAAGTACGTTAGAATTATATCTGATTGGGATATGTTAGAAGGATCAAAAATAAAGTTAGACAGGAAGTTGATGCAACGTGCAATTGCGCTTTGTCTGTTATCTCCTTACGTCGAACATTTTATTTCTGGTCCAGTCAGCGACAAAAGCAAAATTCTTCGACAAGCGATTTGTTCATTTGGTATTACGCTGTTGGAAAACACCGAGTGCGATGTGGTGAAAGAGTTGTGGGACGACTTGGACAAGAATATTGATATCAAGGAACTAAATAGACTGAGATCTTTTCATCGTCTTTCTCCTAATTATATATCCAAGATAGAAGATGTAGATGGAAATGTGTTAGCGCAATTGTTGTGGTTGATGGAGAAACGTCCGCTAATTTTAAAAGAACACGAAAATATCGAAAAAGCCATTCAACTTTGTCCCGATGGAAAATTCGTGTTGCTTGGTGAAGGAAAATGGAGAGAATGGATGAAAGGTCGCTCCGTGTTTCAGAACTTGTTGGATTTGAAATCAGAACACAGTTTATATGAAAGAGTAATGCAGAATTTTACCATTTCCTTCCAAGGGAAAGCAGCGCTTAGTCTGATAGACGCATGTGGAGGAAATGAAGAATTCTTGAAGAATATTATTGTAAACAATCTTTTAGAAATGATAGACAGTCCACGCCTGGTAGACGGGGCAAAAGAAGTTCTTCCTAATCCTTACATCGAAAGGTATTTGTCGTTAAATGTTATAGATAGTAAGTATTTAGGACATGTTAATCGTAATACCGTCGTTATTCTAAATTGCGCAGATAGTTCTAATGAAATAGAAAAACTTCCAAATATTAAACTGAGGAACATCGACGATTATTTAAATAAACCAGAATGGACACGTTCTAATGATTCAATTTTCATTTTTAGTAAAAATAAATGTGGCGAATCTGAATTTGAGAAAGTATGCTCTAAAACTCCAAAATCAAAAACTGTACATTATTTCAAATTTCTTAAAAACCACATTTTAGAATGGATCCGGAGCAGAGGCGATGTAGGAGATTTGCAAAATTATAAATTACTTCATCATTCTAAAAGCGAAAACGAATTTTGGTCCTTCGAGATCAAGAAGAAGATTAATTTAGTAGTAGGTGATCCGGGGATGGGTAAAACCGAGCTAGCAAAAAGTTTAAAAAATAAGTGTTTTTCTAAATACTGGACGGTAATTATTAGCCCTCAAGAAATTAATTTATTCTTTAAACAACTAGAAGAGTGTCAAACATCCGATTATGTAAACTTATTTGAAAAATTCATCTCGTACACAAAATATCGATCCCTTAGAAAGTTCGATAAGGAATTTTTTAAAATGTGTTCCGATCAACTGCGTGTTTTATACGTGTGGGATGCTCTTGATGAAATTTATACTAAATATTTGAAAGATCTATCAGATTTGATCGTCTTGTTATCAGAGCAAGGTTTCATGCAATGGGTTACCAGTAGAAAACACTTGAAATCTTTCCTTGAAAAAAAATTTAATACATTTTCGTTGAACATAAGTCAGTTTAATGAGCACGAACAAGAAGATTATATTAGAAAACGTCTTAACTCTATTATTTCAACTGACAACATAGAAACTGCTATTCGAAAAATTAAATCTAGTTTTGCTTTGATAAAACATGTAGATATTTTAGGAATTCCACTTCAAATTTTCATGCTCACAGAGATAGTTCTTCAAAATAACGACAAATATTTAAAATTATTTGGCGATTCTTGGCTCTTAACTGATTTGTATCATTACTTTATTGAAGAGAAATTCAACATTTTCTACCGAAATAAATTGTGTCTTAATATACAGGATTATTATTCAAGGCGTGTTTTTAAGAGTGACAAAGAAAAAATCTTAACACATTATGAAAAACTCGCAGTTGACTTAATATTTTCCGACTGCGAAGATATTAAATGTCAAGAAGGCACTGACAGCACTCACGAATACGAAACCATCGGTATTATAACTGGTCTACAAAATAACACACCGGTTTTTGTGCATGCATCTTTTGCGGAATATTTGACTGCCGCGTATTTCTCGAAAAATTTTGAGGTTATACCAGGAGATAGGTTTTTCGATCGAAAGTATAACAACGTACGATTTTTCTTTGATATGTTGTTGGCAAAAAACTCACCAGTTCACATTGCAGTCTTGTACCGAAATTTTGCCGCTTTAAAGAGCTATGACGACAAAATATTAACAAGGAAAGATGTCGGTGGAAGAAATGCCTTACATTTGATTTGTTCGTGGGGACAAAGACATTCGCGTCTGACTGTGAGGAGTTCTAAGATAAATAGAGATTTTTCATATTTTAGTTCTGTCTTGGTGAAAAAAATTTCCTTTTCGAAAAAAATACCTAGTGTGCGGTACACTCTCGATGACTACGAATTTACTAAAGGGGAATTAGAAACAAGGGAATATTTAAATGCAGTGCTACACTTGTTTAGTAAATGTAACATGTCAGAACCGGACGAGTTATTTAAAATGACGCCATTGTCATATGCTCGAGTCAGTGAAAGTTTAGGTGTGGAACTGGAATTGCTACAGGCAGAAATGTCACAAACAAAACAGTTGCATAGTTGTTGTGATAGAATTAATATTTTATATTACAGTAGTTTTTTTGGTTATGAGAATGCGATTAAAACGGTCTTTTCTAAAGAATTAAGTACTTATTACGATGAAGTAAATTTTATTTCTATAGTGAATAATGACACTGCGCTTACGTTGGCGTCCAAAAACGGACACACAGCAGTCGTTGAATGTTTGTTAGATCTAGGAACCGAAATCAATCGCTCTAATAAATATGGTTGGACACCTCTTTATGCAGCTACTTTTCACTGTCACGAAAAAACTGTCGAATGTCTAGTGACAAGAGGAGCAAAAATTAATCATACTGATAACTATGGTCGGACACCGCTTTACGCAGCTTCATCTAACGGCCACAAAAAAACCGTCGAATATCTAGTGAAATGCGGAGCCCAACTGAATCGTGCTGACGACTTTAGTGAGACACCGCTTTATGTAGCTTACTCGAGGGGCCACGAAAAAATTGTCGAATTCCTAGTGAAATGCGGAGCTGAAACCAATAGCGCCGATGAAAATGGTAGGACAGTACTTCACGCAGCTTCCTCGAACGGCGATGAAAAAATCGTTGAATACCTAATAAAAAACGGAGCTGAAGTCAATCGCGCTGACATTTTTGGCGAGACACCGCTTGAGGCAGCTGCCTCCAATGCTCACTATAAAACTGTCGAATATCTAGCGAAATGCGGAGCCGAAATCAATCGTGCTGATAATAAAGGTGAGACACCGCTTTACACATCTTCAAAGTTCGGTCACGAAAAAATTGTCGAATTCCTAGTGAAATCCGGAGCCAAAGTCAATCGCGGTGATAATGGCGGTCGGACACCGCTTTATGCAGCCTCCAGGAACGGGCGCGAAAATACTGTCAAATGTCTAGTGAAATACGGAGCCAAAATCAATCGCCCTCGGAATAATGGTCGGACACCACTTTATGCAGCTTCTGCGAACGACAACGAAAAAATTGTCGAATATCTAGCGAAATGCGGAGGCGAAGTTAATCGCACTGATGAAAACGGTAAGACACCGCTTTACACGGCTTCCTCGAAGGGCCACGAAAAAACTGTCGAATGCCTAGTGAAAAACGGGGCCGAAATCAATCGAGCTGATAAATATGGTTGGACACCGCTTAAGGCAGCGTCCTGCAACGGTCACAAAGAAATTGTCGAATATCTAGCGAAATGCGGAAGCGAAATATGAATAAGCCACAACTTCATTTACGAAAATACCCTAACAATTACAACTCTTTTTTACAAATAAAATACAATATGCAATATAGTACACCAAGATTTTAATCCGGGAATCGCGAGATAATTTTGACTTGTCACAGCACCGTTGTCCGTTTGCCACCAACCATAAGGACTAGAAGAAAATGAGTGCAAATAACTGTCTTCCTTATATTATACAACTTATAAATAACTTTTCTTCATCAAACTGGTCCACTGTTGATTTTGGAGAATGTTTGTTGATAGTTTTTCTTGGAGAACGAATTTACAGGGATTACAAGGTCTTTAGTCTCTTTTTCTTGCTTCATAAATAGAATAACCTTATAAATTTTCTCCTTTCCCTGACTATGAACTACTTTGCTGCTCATGAACCATAAATTTAAACGATTACAGAAATTCAAGTGTAACTCCTCCCAAGGTAGTTTTGGATATTCCCAAGAATTTAATTCCACTTTAGGAGGATTATTAAAATGTAAAGAACAAACTTCTCATAATTTGGTTAATGATTTCATTAATTCAGAACTATCTGACGCAAACAGATTCGACATTGTAGTTAGATAGTCCCATGTCTTTAATTAAAACTGTACTAGATGTAAATAACAATACTTTGAAGTTTGACATTTACAGTTATATGTTGTAATTAATTAATTATACCCATGAAAAATAACTCCTTAGTTTACTTTTACTCTTATTTGAAAATCCTTTTATTATCCGCTATTTAATTGTATTGTACTCATATTATGTAAACTTTTATTTAAATTAACCATTTTATATTGTAGGGGAATTTCTTGAAAATAATTTTAACGAAAATTGTTCTTATAATAATGAAAATGTGTCTAACAGTGGTTGAAAGCTGTTTTTGTTTTTCTCAACATCATTGCTATTGTTATTACATATTATTAGCCTACTGAATTTAAAATTAATTTTTCTAGATATAGTCTTGTCCCAATTATTACCAACTGAAATAAACTAAGTAATTTAAAGTAAATTGTTTGTTTTTTATTTACCTTATAGATTGAATTCTGGATTGTAAACATCACATTTTGACCACAGCTCGTCATTCGACAACATGTGAAGATAAACCTTCGTGAAAAAGCTAACAATTTCACGTAGGTAATGAAAATTGCAAACTTTGTTAATTTTTGTTCAGTCTTTTTATTTTGTTTTTAAAAGTGACGGGTCGACATCAGGTGTAAAAATACTTTTATACTTAAAGCACAAATAATCATTATTATCTTATTGAATTTAACAAAAAATAGACGAAAAAGACGACATTTTAGTCACAACCAATAATGCATTGGACAACTTGAAAAGATAGGCCATCCTGAAATACGCAGTCATAAATTGAAAATTTGACGTACTACGGCGATGATAAAAATAAGTAATTATTTTTACTGTTATTTACGCTTTTGTTCAATTCACGGGATTTTAACACTGATAAATGATGACAGTCTTCTTTGTAATTTATTAAAAATAGCTTGACGCTATCATTATTTTTGAATGACGTTATTTAAATCTGTCAATTTGACGATATGTTTAAAATACAAAAATGACGCTTTTCATACGAAAATGACAGAAATTACCAATGTTAGCAATACAACTAAAACAAAAAAATCAAAATCACGTCAAGTTTTTTTTCGATCATATGGTATATTAACTCACTACTTTGCAGAGTAATTGATTTTTACAGCTAAATTCAGTACCCCGTAAGGTTACGATATCGAAGCATTATACTGAGTGTGGCAGAAAATCATTATAGCAAAATGTCATGTAACTGCACAACAAATCTTTTGTTAAACAAACAGTTAAAATCAACAATAATCCGTTACAAAAAATTGTCGAGTATTTAAATCCATGTTAAGTAAATACTTGGGCAAATCGTTTTACCTACTCAGTGCATTCCTTCATAGAATTTTCAGACTATAGTCATTAGATCATTACTCACTCTGTACATATCAATTACAATGGAATTAAATACATGTATGTATGCAACCAGTTATACACGAAAATAGAGCTTTGACCTTTCGTTCTAACATCTTTCCGTTTTAGCATTATATTTTCTAATGATTTTACTTTCTGATCAATTTCTAAAGTAAAAAAGTAAAAGTCATTTCACCCTTGACATTTTCTACATTCAATCTTAATCTTAAACATTTTAATCTTATCAGTATAGTTCAATTTTAAATGTACCGCCTTTGCATTACAATTGACGTATTTTATTTACATACTCAATAAATGAAATTTGAGGTTATGTATATAAAAAATAAAAACATTAATTTTTCTATCACCAACGTTTATACTTTTTTGTGACAAAATTAGGTGATAAGACCCCAACATTAATTGGATTTAGCAGTAACAAACAAAAATATGCTTTTAGAAAACTGAGTTGTCGATTATGGGTTACTCCAAAAAGACTGCTGCCAACTTGAGATATGCCTGAAACCCTCGCAACTGTCCATCATTGCAAACTTTACCTCTATTTAAAACTAACTTATTGTCTCATGGCGGATCATGTTAAAAGTCACATCTCTTCAACACCTTTCAACTGCGAAAACACCAAACTCGAAAATTACTCCTGCAAAGACTGCGACTTCCAAACCGAACTCACAATCCTTTTCAGACAACACCTCGACCAACGCCACGCCACCAAAAACCACTCCAACGAAAATTTCCTAGACTTCACCATCCGGATATATTTTTGCGAAAAATGCTGCTTCGAAACACACTTTCTAATGAAGTGGCTCCAGCATACCACCGCCTGTCTCGAAAACGAACAACCCGCCAGAGAAAAAGACAAAGACGGCGACTTTTTTATTTTGTACGAATGCGACCAGTGCGGGCAAATCTACAAAAACAAATATTCGTTACGAAGACACAAAACCTTGAAGCACAACAGCGACAAAAAAGCGTGGTACTACTGCGTGAAGTGTCAGTACAAGACTCGACAGAAGTGGTCTTTGAAGGTTCACGTGAATTCTTGGCACATGGATGCACAAGACATCAGGTGGTTTGAGTGTCAGGAGTGTCCATACAAAGCTAAACAAAGTTCAAACTTGAAAAGGCATATCAATGCACACCATTTGGACGAAGCGGAGATCAAATGGTACAAGTGTGAAAAGTGTGTATTTAAGACTAAGTACAACTGTCATTTAAAATATCACATGAACGCGCTCCATATGGATGATAAACAAGACGTTATTAAGTGGTTCAAGTGTGACAAGTGCCCGCACAAAGCTAAAACGAATTCTGATTTGAAAAGGCACGTAAACGCCAATCATTTGGACGAACAGGATGTTAAGTGGCACAAATGTGACAAGTGTCCGTATAAAGCCAAAAAGAAGTATCATTTGAAAAGTCACATAAATTCGCAGCATTGGAATGAGCAGAGTATTAAGTGGTATGAATGCAACAAGTGTTTATATAAAAGTATGTACAGGCTGAATTTGAAGAATCACGTAAATGAGTACCATGTGGGTGAATAGAATTTTGAGTGGGTGTTGTCGATGTTTTTTGGATGTTCAGTGGAGTAAATAGAAGATCAAGATGATGAAGGTTAAAACATAAATGAGAAAATTGTTTTAATTTTAAGCTTATGCGCATGTTACTGCGCACTCCATCAAATGCATCACGTGGTGCGTTGTCATAGGAACGCAAATGTCAATGAGAAGACAATAATTCGGGTGTTGATGATTGAACGTTAGTTAAGTTTATTGGTTTAATAAACTTGTTTTTTATAAAGAACTTTTATTCTGATTTTTACACGTGATTATTTATTATTGGATTATTAAAAATCTCGAAGGTCACGTGTGTCACTTTTAAATGATTATGACACAATTTTCAAGGCCACAAGTGGCTATTTTATACGATTTATGCAATCTCAAGGTCACGTGTGTCTATTTTAAATTACTATAACACAATTTTGGGGGCCCCAATGATTTAAACATTGGGTGGGCGGTGCATATATTTTGTCCATTTTTTTTTTATAATATACGAAGGCTTCTTTTCCCAACAAGAAACTGAAAACATGTTCAACTAACCTGTTGTTGAAAGAGAATTCTATATATTATAAAAAAACAAAAGTTAAGCCCCACCCACCCGATGATGAGTTTTTAAAGGCAGAGTTTAATTGTAACATCAATATTTCTCTAAAAAAATCTACTCTTTTAAAAACATATTTCATATAGTAATTTCTTGTAGAGACATGACGAATTTGCAGCTAAACTCCGCCCTTCAGCTCACGATGAATAAAGTATTCATCACAATTGAGAAGGGGGTGGGTGGGCGGGGCATATATTTGGTCCGGTTTTTCTTAATATATGAAGTCTTCTTTTCCCAACAAGAAACTGAAAACATGTTTTTAACTAACCTGTTGAAGGAGAATTCTATATATTAAAGAAAAAAATTAAGCCCCACCCACCCGCCCCGATCTCAATTGTGATGAATTTTTCATTCGTCGTTACACCGAGGGGAGGAGCGTAATTGCAAAATACATATTCCTCTATTGATTTGAATAAGTTTGTCTTCTCAAAACAGAGAACAAAAATTATTAATTAAACCACAACCAAACAAAATGTTATGAACATTACAATTCTTGTTGTATCACTATTATGTAAAGATGTATGTTTTCTCACGCTCTCGAGAAAATGGGGTAACTGGATACAAACAGACAGACAGACGTAAAAAACTGTATTAAGAAAAGAAACAGTGACTAATTAAGCCCCACCCACCCGCCCGTCCAAAATGTGACGAATTTTTCATTTGTTGTCAGATCGAGGGGCGAAGTTTAATTGTGAAATTCGTATTTGTTTGATTCTTTAAAAAGATTATTATAAAGAATCTTAGGGGTCACAAGTGTCTATTTTAAATAATTTTGACAAGATCTCGAGAGTCACATGTGTCAATTTTAAATGAATGTGACACAATTTCAGAAGCCACAAGTGTCCATTTTAAATGAGTGACACAATTTCAAGGCCAGATGTGTCAATCTTAAAATAATTATGACACAATTTCAAAGGCCACGAAAGTCTATTTTAAATTATTATGACACAATTTCGGAGGCCCTAATGCTTTAAGTATCGTGTTGTTGAATGAAAACTATATACATATTAAGAGAAAGAAATCTTGACTAAGCAATTAAGCAACACCCACCCGCCCTTCTCAATTGTGACGAATTTTTCATTTGTTGTCAGATCGAGAGGCGGAGCTTAATTGTAAAATTCGCATTTGTTTGATTCATTGAGAAGATTATTAAAGAATTTCGGGGGTCACAAGTGTGTATTTTAAATTATTTTTACATGTTCTCGAAGGTAACGTGTGTCAATTTTAAATGAATATGACACAATTTCTTAGGCCACAAGTGTCTATTTTAAACGACTGACACAATCTCAAGGCCAGATGTGTCAATCTTAAAATAATTATTACACAATTTCGAAGACCACGAATGTCTATTTTTAAAAGAAAGAAACCTTGACTTATTAAGCCCCACTCACCCGCCCTTCTCAATTGTAACGAATTTTTCATTTGTTTTCAGAGCGAGAGGCGGAGCTTAATTGTAAAATTCGTATTTGTTTGATTCTTTAAATAGTTTATTAAAGATTCTCGGGGGTCACAAGTGTCTATTTTAAATTATTTTGACACGATCTCGACGGTAACGTATGTCAATTTTAAATGAATGTGTCACAATTTCCAAAGCCACAAGCCACAAGTATCTATTTTAAATGATTGACACAATCTCAAGGCCAAATGTGTCAATCTTAAAATAATTATGACACAATCTCGAGGCCGCGACTGTCTATTTTAAATTATTAGGTATGATTATGACAGAATTTCGGAGGCACGAATGCTTTAAGTATCGTGTTTTTGAACAAAACTATATACATTTTAAGAGAAAGAAACCTTGACCAATTAAGCCCCACCCACCCGCCCTTCTCAATTGTGACGAATTTTTCATTTGTTGTCAGATCGAGGGGCGGAACTTAATTGTAAAATTCGTATTTGTTTGATTCTTTAAAAAGATTATTAAAGAATCTCAGGGGTCACAAGTGTCTATTTTGAATTATTATACAATCCCGAGGGTCCTAGGCCACAAGTGTCTATTTTAAATGATTGACACACTCTCAAGGCCAGATGTGTCAATCTTAGAATAATTATGACACAATTTCGGGGACCCCAATGCTTTAAGTATCGTGTTGCTTAAATTTGTAAAGGGAAATATCGATTTTGCAATTACGCTCCGCCCCTCGGTCTAACAACGAATGAAAAATTCATCACGATTGAAATCGACACGGATGGGTGGGGCTTCTCTTTTGGTTTCCTTTTTTAATTAATACATTTAGTTTATATTATGCCTTGTTTCTTAATATACGTTGTCGTCTTTTCATAAGAAAAAACTTAAAAACATGTTTAAAATGATAATTTTTTGTAAAGAAATATGGATTTTGCAATTAGGCTCCGCTCCTCGATCTGCCAACGAATGAAAACTTCATTACTATTTAATCTTGGGCTTTAATTTAAAATAACACGATACTCAAAAATATGTTTTAATTTCTGGTGGAGAAATAAGAATTTTGCAGTTAAGCTCCGCCCTCTTGACTCACGACGAATAAAAAAATCATCACAATCGAGATAGGGCGGGTGGGTGGGCTTACATTTTGTTTCTTTGTTTTAATATGTGTAAACTTATTTTGACACCAAGAAACTTAAAACATGTCTAAAACGGTAAATTTTTGTAGTAATCAACTTAAACTTCAACGTCAACAGCACGTTTAGAAATCCCAAGAAGAATTTTATAAGGCGATTTTATTTGTTACGCCACTGTGCTGTCGAAAACAATAACCTCCAAATCTGTTTCGACTTATTTGGAACCGCTGAATTTCGCCCCCATTCCTCGTAATTCAAAATGGCGTCTGCGTTCGCTGTTTATCTCGGATATCTTCGAGCCCAGATAAGACCAATGTGACGTAAAACAACTTTATTAAACACGAGTGACCGATAACGAGTGTTCCATGCCAAAAAACAGGAAAAGAGCAAAAGTGCAGTCGTCCATTTACCCTTCTCCAATGTAGAATAATCAAGAATTCAAGATCCGGGTTACGACGAAAACAATAATTCAATTACCGCAGGTTGGCAACTCTGTGAATCAATACTAGGTTATGTTTATGTTAGCCGAACGAAATTGTAAATATTTCGGGCGATTTCACCAATTTCCTTTCACATTTTCGGTAAGAAAAGCGACAAGGAGCGTTTCAGAGTGTGATTTGAGTAACGAATGGGCGATTTTAGGTCAGTGAGGTCGGTCAAAGTTTGGTTGGAATCCGGACTTAGACACACCAAGTGGGGTGGAATTGGAGTTTTCGGTGGCTTGTTAGGTAAGAGAGTACTTAATTAGTACTACCAGAGATGGATTTGTGTAAAGAAATATCCGTTTTGGACTATTGTGGGCCATCTGTCACTTATACGCGAAATTTCACTCCGAACGTCCACACTTGTCAAATATGTCCGTACTTCACTACGTCGTTTCCGCTTATGATTGACCACGTTCGCCGCCACTCTGCTCCATTTTTACCGTTTACGTGCGACAGCGCGAAAGTGGAACCTTATGACTGTAAATATTGTGGTTATCGGACGGATTTGACCCTTTTTTACAAAGCGCACCTCAAGGAATGTCATGGTATTAAACGGGAAATCGGTGAAGACATACCAAACCAAGAACTCACAATCTACAACTACATTTGTAAAAAATGCAACTTCGATACACACTTTTCGTTGAAATGGTTCCAACACAGCTTGGCTTGTGGAAGGAACCGAAAACACCCCCAAATAAAAGCCACCACCATGCATGAAGAAAAAAACGACTTTATTTTATACGAGTGTGATCAGTGTGACCGCAAGTACAAATCTAAATATAATTTAAAAACACACAAAATGGTCAAGCATTCCAGTGACCACGAAATCCGTTGGTACCACTGCGCGGAATGTTCGTACAAAACCACGAGAAGATGGTATTTGACAGTTCACATAAATTGTTGGCATATGGATGTGCAAAGCATTAAATGGTTCGAATGTAAAAAGTGTCCATTCAAAGCTAAACGAAGTCTAGCTTTGTATAAACACATAAATTCGCAGCACAAAGATCCGCGCGAAATAAAATGGTACGAATGTCAGAAGTGCCCGTTTAAAACCAAATATAACGATAATTTGAAGCAGCACATAATTGCGCGGCACTTGGACGCTCAGGATATTAAGTGGTTCAGATGTGAGAAGTGTCCGCACAAAACCAAAACGAACTACGAGTTGAAAATGCACATAAATGCGCATCATTTGAACGAGGAGGATATTAAGTGGCTTAGATGTGACAAGTGTCCGTATAAAGCTAAAAAGAAATATCATTTGAAGAGTCACATAAATTCGCAGCATTGGGACGAACGAAATATCAAGTGGTATGAATGCGAAAAGTGTTTGTACAAGAGTATGTACAGGTTGAATTTGAAGAATCATATGGATGAGTATCATGTGAATGATTAAATGTGTTTGTTAACATTTTAAATGTTCTGATTATTCTTAACATAGTTAGAAGATTAAGCTTTAAGACGTTTTATTTGTAGATTGTTTGTGTTTCGTGTTTAAGGTTCTTGTTTTTTTTTTTTTTTTTTTTAATGGAACGATAAATTATAAAAACCCAGGAGTTTATTTTTAAGATTTTATTACGTAAATTGTGACTTGCCATGCAATTTAAACATAGCTTAGTATATTTTGCCTATTTATTCTATTGGTATTGTTTATGTACAAAACACTAAAGTAAGTAGTTTCACACTCAGGTATAGTGATTTGAAATATAGCATAGTTTCGACTTTGTAAATATTACTAATTATTATTAGACAATGAGAAAATCACGATTGTTAATCCATGTTTTTGTCTATAATTCCGGTTTTACTGATTCAGATTTTTTAGCGTGTCTATTGACTATAAGTTTTTTAAGAGTGTATAAAGATTTTTGTATACAGCCTGTTATTGAAAGGTACGTACAAAATAAAATCGGCAATTGGTCTCGAAGTATGGGTGCTAAAAGTTAAAAAAAGTTCAGGTAAAAGTGTTCTCCTTTTAGAGATAAAAATTATTAAAATTTATGTCCAAATTCGTTGTACGCCTCTGACAAAAAGATTATCTTTCGTTTCTATAGCAACATTTAGTCTTGACAAAAGTTTTATTGTTACAGTTGCTAGGATTTACTAAAATAAATTAATTTTACCTATTTATCCTTCAGTAGCGTCTAAAAAGTTTGGATAAGGGTTAATTTCCCCCTTATAATTTTGATAACACAAAATAAGTTTTTCCGACTTCTTAGACTTCACGAAGAACTGTCCATTTTGTTGTACGTACCTTTCAATAACACCCGGTATTTAGAACATCCACGAAATATGTTCATAGCAATAGTAATATTGTGTTCCACGTTGTTTGTAGATTATATATTAATACTACGTATTTTAAATAAATAATTATTACAACCGCCCTGTTTTTTTTTTCTCTTTTTTCCGTAGGATGTGTTTAATTTTTTTTTTAATTTAGCGTTATGAAATCACTACCAAACAACTAAATTCCGAAACATTATGTCACAGTTTCCTTTAAATGAAGGTCAATTGCTATCTAATATTAGTATTAGATATACGATTAGAACGAAAACTCTAATGATCCATTTATAGATTTTCACGTGGGTGCAATTATGTGTATAACTGGTTCTATATCCGTATTTTATTTAGTAAGGTTTATATAATATTTAAAATTATTTGTCAGTTCACTGTCATAATTTTTTGAATTATACAATTTCTCGATTTTTAATTTTTTAATGTTTGATTTCTCAGTTTATTTATGATTCAATGTTACAATTTTTTGATTTTACGACTCCTCGTTTTTTCACATTTTCGATTTTCCAAACTGATTTTTCAGTTTTATAATTTTTAAATTTTTCTATTTTTATTGTTAATATGTATTTCTAAATTTTAATGTTACGAATTTCCCATTTTAATTTCATTTTTTTTTATTCATAAATTTGTGGATTTTCCGATTTGATTTTTCAATTATTACCCGACTTCTTAATTTCTATATGTTTTTCGATTTTTCAACTTTCAAATTTTTCGATACTTTATGTTTCAATATTCCATTGTTTCCGATTTTTGTTTGTCAATTTTACAATTTCTGAGATTTCCAAATTTCCGATTTTTCAAAATTTGAATTTCTAGATATTTTTGTTTTTCAATGTTTCAATCACATGTCTGATTTCTCAATTTCACTATCAATAAGTTTTTCGATTTTTCAATGTTTTGTTATTTCACTTGTTCAATTTTTGGTTTTTCAAATTTTGATTTTTACTTTTAATCTTTCTATTTGTCAATGTTTTCGTTTTTTCAGTTTTGATTTTTCAGTTTTTTGATATTTCAATGTTACAATTTTTCGACTTACCGATTTTTCAGTTTTTATTTGTCAGTTTTGGGATTTTTTAAATTCTGTATTTTTTCGATTTTTCAAGTTTAAAATTTTTCGATATACATATAATGTTTCGGTTTTTCTATTTTACAATTTCTTAGTTTTTCAAATTTTTCGATTTTTCAATTTCACTATCGTCCTTTCGCTTTTCCAATTTTCCAATTTCTGCTTTTCAATTATCCGATTTTTCAATTTCTCTAATTTTTAATTTTTCGAATTCTCACATTTTAAATATTTTGATGTTTCAAAGTTGCAATTTTCCGATTTTTCAAATTTTGATTTATGAATTATTATCGAATTTTTAACTTCTCTGTTTTTTCAATTTTTCAACTTTAAAATTTTTGGAGTTTTAATGTTTCTATTCAACAATGTTTCTGCTTTTTTTAATCAACCGATTTTTCAATTTCTCTAATTTTTAATTTTTCGCATTCTCAAGTTTCAAATTTTTTGATGTTTCAATTTTGCAATTTTTCGATTTTTAATGTTTCTATTCAACAATGTTTCGATTTTTCAGTTCCTCGATTTTGGTTTTTGGATTCTTCGAATTTTCAGTTTGCAGTTTTCCAATTTTTGATTTTCAATTTTTAGTTTTTCAGGATATTGATTTTTAAGTTTTATAATTTTTCGAATTTTAAATTTCTCGTTTTTTAATTTTTCAATTTTGCGATGTTTCAGTGTTACCTATTATTTTTCGATTTTCCAATTTTTCAATTTCTGCTTTTTCAATTATCCGTTTTTTCAATTTCTCTAATTTTTAATTTTTCGAATTCTCAACTTTTAAATTTTTTGATGTTCAATGTTGCAATTTTTCGATTTTCCCATTTTTCAATTTTTGACTTTTGAATTATCCGATTTCTTAATATCTCAATTTTTTCAATTTTTTTAACTTTAAAATTTTTCTCTTTGTAATGTTTCCATTTAACAATGTTTCGAATTTTCAGTTTTCAGTTATGATTTGTCTATTTTTCGATATTTTGATTTTTAATTTTCCAGTTTGTTCACGATAACGTTGTAATTTTTGATTTTACAATTTCTGGTTTTTTTAGGTCTTCGATTTTCCAAATTTTAAATTTCTAAATACATATTTTGATTTTTCGATATTTCAATTTTCCGGTTTTTAAATTTCCAATGTTTTATTTTTTTCCTTAATTTTTCAATATCTGCTTTTTCAATTACCCGTCGTTTCAATTTGTCTAATTTTTAAATTTTTCGAATTCTCAACTTTTAAATTTTTCGATTTTCCGATTTTTCAGTTATTCGATTTTTGAATTTCTTTATTTTTTCAATTTTTCAACTTTAAAATTTTTGGATTTTTAATGTTTCTATTCAACAATGTTTCGATTTTTCAGTTCCTCCATTTTGGTTTTTAGATTTTTCGAATTTTCAGTTTTCCAATTTTTGATTTTTCAGTTTTTAGTTTTTAAGGATTTTGATTGTACAGTTTTATAATTTTTCGAATTTTAAATTTCTTGTTTTTTAATTTTTCAATTTTGCGATGTTTCAGTGTTACAATTCTTCGTTTTTTCGCTTTTCCAATTATCCGATTTTTCAATATCTCTAACTTTTAATTTTTCGAATTCTCAACTTTTAAATTTTTTGATGTTCCAATGTTGCAATTTTTCGATTTTCCGATTTTTCAATTTTTGACTTGAATTATCTAATTTTTTAATTTCTCTATTTTTTTCAATTTATCAACTTTAAAATTTTTCGATTTTTAATGTTTCTATTCAACAAAGTTTCGATTTTTCAGTTCCTTGATTTTGGTTTTGGATTTTTCGAATTTTCAGTTTGCAGTTTCCCAATTTTTGATTTTCAATTTTTAGTTTTTCAGGATTTTGATTGTTTAGTTTTATAATTTTCGAATTATAGATTTCTCGGTTTTTAATTTTTCAATTTTGCGATGTTTCAGTGTTACAATTTTTCGTTTTTTCGCTGTTCCAATTTTTCAGTTTCTCTAATTTTTAATTTTTCGAATTCTCAACTGTTAATTTTTTGATGTTTCAAAGTTGTAGTTTTTCGAATTTCCAATTTTTGACTTGAATTATCTGAATTTTTAATTTCTCAATTTTTCAACTTTAAAATTTTTCGATTTTTCATGTTTCTATTCAACAAAGTTTCGATTTTTCAGTTCCTCGATTTTGGTTTTTGGATTTTTTGACATTTAAATTTTTCGAATTTTCAGTTTTCCAATTTTTGATTTTTTAGTTTTTAGTTTTTAAGGATTTTGATTGTGCAGTTTTATAATTTTTCGAATATAAAATTTCTCGTTTTTTAATTTTTCAATTTTGCGATATTGCAGTGTTACAATTTCTAGTTTTTTCGCTTTTCCAGTTTTTCAATTTCTGCTTTTTCAATTATCCGAGGTTTCAATGTCTCTAATTTTTAATTTTTCGAATTTTCAACTTTTAAATTTGTTGATGTTTCAATGTTGCAATTTTTCGATTTTCCGATTTTTCAATTTTTGACTTGAATTATCTGATTTTTTAATTTCTCTATTTTTTTCTATTTTTCAACTTTAAAAATTTTCGATTTTTAATGTTTCTATTCAACAATGTTTCGATTTTTCAGTTCCTCGATTTTGGTTTTTGGATTTTTCGAATTTTCAGTTTGCAGTTTTCCAATTTTCTCAACTTTTAATTTTTTGGTGTTTCAAAGTTGTAGTTTTCCGATTTTCCAATTTTTGACTTTTGAATTATCTGAATTTTTAATTTCTCAATTTTTCAACTTTAATTTTTTTTGATTTTTCATGTTTCTGTTCAACAAAGTTTCGATTTTTCAGTTCCTCGATTTTGGTTTTTCGATTTTTCGAATTTTCAGTTTTCCAATTTTTGATTTTTCAATTTTTACTTTTTCAGGATTTTGATTTGTCAGTTTTATACAAGTACACATATATAGACATATCCAGATGCAGATACACAGACACAACAATAGAGAGATAGATAAAAAGTTAAAGAGATACAAAGAGCCAGGTATACAAACATATAGATATTCAAAGATACAGAGATGCGAAGATACAGAGACACAGGAATACAGCGATACAGAGACACAGAGATACAGAGGTAAAGAAACACAGATACATATGTAGAGACACAGAGATTGAGAGATACAGAGACACAGACATAGATATACAGATGTAAGAGACACAAAGATATAGAGATACAAAGATATAAAGATGCAGAAATACAAAGATAAGAAGATGCAAAGATACAGAGATACAAAGACACGGAGACAAAAAAATACGGAGATACAGAGATACAAAGATACAAAAATATGGAAATGAAAAGATTATAGAGTTGCAATGATATAGAGATGCAGAGGATAAATAGATGCAGAGATACAAAGATACAGAGACACAGGAATACAGAGATACAGAGACACAGAGATACAGAGGTAAAGAGACACAGATATGCAGAGACACAGACACAGATATACAGATGTAAGAGACACAGAGATATAAAGATGCAAAGATACAGAGAGATGGAAAGATACAGAGAGATCCAAAGATACAGAGATACGGAGACAAAAAGGTACGGAGATACAAAGATATGGAGATACAAAGATACAGAGATACATAGATACAAAGCTGCAGAGTTACGAAGATACAGAGATTCAGAGATACAAAGATACAGTGACATAAAGATACAGAGACAGAGACACAGAGATACAAAGATACAGAGACATAGAGATACAGGGATATAGAGGCACAAAGACGCAAACGTATGGAGACGCCGAGATACAGAGATGCAAAGATGACAGAGATACAAATATACAGAGACACAGAGATACAGAGACACAGATATACAGATATAAGAGGCAGAGATATAGAGAAGCAGAGATACAAAGATACAGAGATACAATGATACGGAGATGAAAAGCTTATAGAGTTGCAATGATATAGAGATACAGAGGATAAATAGATGCAGAGACACAAAGATACAGACATGCAAAGATATAGAGACACAGGAATACAGAGATACAGAGGTAAAGAGACACAGATATGCAGAAACACAGAGAGAGAGATACAGAGACACAGATATACAGATGTAAGAGATACAGATGTAAGAGACACAGAGATATAGAGATACAAAGATACGGAGATACAAAATACAGAGAAACAAAGATGCAGAGACACAAACATACAGAGATACAGAAATAACGGGTGACAAAAACTTTTCAGATTAGAGTTGGCCATGGAAATATTTGTCATATCTTTGATCATACTACAAATGTCATGCATAAGTTCATTTGTAATTCAAAAATTTGATTTTTTGACATTTACAGTTTAATTATAAACATAAGAAATATATATACTCAAATACAAACATACCGATACACATACAGACGTTGACGCACTGATACACATATACAGAGATACAGAATATACATATACGCCCTACTTTATAAATTTTGAACGCCATATTTAAGCTCCGCCATCGTGGTTCACGGCGAATAAAAAAAAACGTCACAATTGAGAAACGGCGGGTGGGCGAGCTTACATTTTGCCTTTTTGTTTTAATATTTCTAGACTTCTTTTCACAACATGAAACTGAAAATATGTTTAAAATGGAAAATTTATCTAAGGAAATATCGATTAGGCTCCGCCCCATAATTGCAAAATCCATGTTTCCTTGCAAAAATGTACCATTTTAATCAAGTTTCTTGTTGTGAAAAGATGGCTATGTATATTAAAAAAAAAGGCAAAATATAAGCCCCGCCCACCCGCCCTCCCTCAATTCTGATGATTTTTTTTTATTCGTCATAAACCGAGGGGCGGAGCTTAATTGTGAAATCATTATTTTTCTACGAGAAAAGCTGCTGTGTAAAAAATGATGACAGCTATTTAAAATATGTATGAGGGTTTCGGTGAACAGGTGATTAAATAGCTTAATATTAGTGGACCTCTTTATCTCTATCAAAATTTTATTTTCGTCGAATTAGTGCTGTCAACGAGAAAAATGTCGCCTCTACTTCAGGGGATTGTCTTTCAGGTTGGCAGCACTGCACACTACCGCAATTTGATTGGTTGAAAACCCATCGTCAACAGCAGTGTAATCGACCTTTAAAATATCATAACAAAACTTTCTTGAGCGCGTCTAGGAAACAAAAACAAAATATTTTAAGTAACAATAAAAATCATTTCTTCTTTTTAACAATAAACAATTCTAGTACATTTGACTTCTTTCTTATTCTTGTCCATTTTTTGAGCCCCTAACTTCCTCTACATCTCCTCAGTCCATATTCTATTTGCAAAAAAATAGTCTCCATCGTTCCAATTAGGTAATTTTATGCCGCGCCTTCACATGGTACTTCAAATGGTGTTTGGCTTTAGCTCTGTACGGACACTGTTCACACTCATACCATTTAATATCCTTTTCATCCAAATGTCGCGCGATATTGTGTCGACTTAAATTCGATTTTTCTTTCGTCTTAAAACTGCACTTTTTACATTCATACCATTTAACATCTTCTCCATCCAAATGCCGCGCATTTATGTGACTATTCAAAGACGACTTATGTTTAGACCTGAACGAACACTTTGCACACTCAAACCATTCAATATCCTGTTCTCCCAAATGATGCACCTTCATGTGTATCTTCAAATGGAACTTCTGTTTAGTTTTGTATGGACAAGCGACACATTTATGCCACTTAATGCGATCTTCGTCCAAATGGCGATAATACGTGTGCACTTTCAACTGCCCTTTTAGTTTAGCTTTGTAGGAACACATGGTACAACAATACCAATGTGCTTGGTCGTCGGTCACATGTTTGCAAATTTTGTGCAAGTATAGTGACGACCTGTTTTTGTACTTGTGCTCGCACTGGTCACAGTTGTAGGAGAAAATTTTCTTTTTGGTGTTTTCGCTGGAGGGTGGCGGTTTTGGGGTTGTCACACATGTGGAAGCGTGTTGCAACCATTTCATGGAGAAATGGGTTTCAAAGCCACACTTGTCACAAAAAAATTTGTGAATGATTATGTCGTTTGCTAATTTTTTTTTCACGTTATGGTGTTTTTGGAGGTGTTGTTTGTAGAGGAGGGTTAGTTCTGTCTCGAAATCACAATCCTGGCAGTAGAATGCTTCAATTTGGGCTTTGGTACAGCAAAAGGGTAACAAAGATGACAAGTAGTGGTGTCTGATCTGGTTTTTTGGGGAAAGTCTGGTGTTAGTTGAAATCTTTGAGCAGACCACCATGGACATCTTGATATGCCTAAATTTATTAACTGCAGTTATTTTAGTGTTACAGTAATCATTATTGAGTTTTTCACCTAAAAGCCTAACACGAATTCGACGAAAATGGTGAAACTGAGACAAAATAACACAATTTTTCGTTTAAAAACATAACCTCAAAAGTCAGACATGCAGACATGATATTTGTAAAGTAGGCAACCAACCATACACAAAGTACTAGTTTACTGTAAATTTTCACATTTATTATAAAACTAACGACAAATCTTGCAAACCCTTAATGTTTTATTGACGTTTTGTTAAACTCTTAGATTGTAATGGTTTTTTATTTAATTTGGGTTTTAGGTAAAAATTCAGGAATCAACTTTTGACACCACAAAGTTCATGAAGGACATGAATATTTTTGTCATAGAAAACCCTACCAGGGAGGATTTTCTATCGTTTTTGTGTTTCTTTGTCGAAAAAGGTACACACTAGCTAAAAATCGTTGCAAACTTTTCAATAATTCTATGTGACAATCTCGTACATAACCTAGTTTATCAATTTAATTTAAGCGATATATGCAACACACAATACAGTGATGTGCCTATTGTTTCTGGTTATTTTTGTACCCAAGAAAATACATACTAAAATCTGTCTCTAAAGTTTACATTATTTGCAAAATTTTTCCTCATTTTTTTTTCATTTTTGAATTATTCCATTGTGCGGTTTTACAATTTTTAATACTCGATTTTTGAACTTTTCAATTTCTATCTTTTTATTTTTCAGTTTTCTAAAAGAAGGAATTTTATTCAAACTTATACAGCGGAAATTTTGAAATTCAAAAAATTAAAAAATTGTAAAATTGAAAAATCGAAAGATCATGACCGTTTTTTAAATTTAGACATTGGCAGATTTCGGACTTTTGATGGCAACATAATATGTATTGTTTTAATTAAAAGTCGTAAAGTTAAAAATTTGAAAAATTAAATAACGGAAAATTTTAATATTAAAACAAAAAATGAAAAACCACAAATTCAGGAATCAAATTTGAAAAAACAAAACTTTTAAAACTGATTGAAAAACTGACAAATCATAAAATTTAAAAAATCGAAACCCCGAAAAATTGAAACAGTAAAAATTAAAAAATTTTAAAGTTGAAAATCGAAAAATTAGAGAAATTAAAAAACCGGATAATTGAAAACTCGGAAAATTAAAAAAGTGTAACATTGAAACATCAAAAAATTAGAGTGGAACATGAAAATGTAAAGATGGAGAAATTGAAAAATCGAAAAATTTTAAATTAAAAAATTGAATAAACAGTGAAACAGAAAAATCGGAAAATAAAAATATCTAAAAATTCAAAATTTGAAAAATCGAAGAAACAAAAAATTGTAACATTGAAACATCGCAAAATTGAATAATTAAAAAATTCTAAAACTGAAAAAACAAAATACCGAAAAATATAAAATTGGAAAACTGAAAAACAAAACATTCAAAAATCTAAAATTGAAAAAGTGAGAAATCTAAAATTGAAAAAATTGTGAAACTGGAATATTGGATATACGAAAAATCAAAAAATTAAAATATCCACAAATTCTACATTTGAAAAATCTAAAATCGAAAAACGGGGATTATAAAATAAAAAAACAAATTGGAAAATCTAAAATTTTAAAACTGAAAAGTTGAAAAAGTCTAACATTGAGACATCGAAAAATTAGACTTTTCCAGTCTATTGTTTCAATTAATTGATTGCGAAATCAAAAATTGAAAAATCGAAAAAACAAAAAATTGTAACATTGAAACATTGCAAAATTGAAAAATTAAAAAACGAGTCATTTAAAATTCGAAAAATTATAAAACTGAACGATAAAATTCGGAAAAATTAAGAATTGAAAAATTTCAATCGAAAATTGGAAAACTGAAAATTCGAAAAATTTAAAAGTCGAAAAATCCAAAAATCAAAATCAAGAAACTGAAAAGTCGAAACATTGATAAATAGAGATATTAAAAAATCGGATAATTCAAAAGTCAAAAATTGAAAAATCGGAAAATCAAAAAATTATTAAATTGAACAATCAAAATCCTGAAAAACTAAAAATTGAAAAATCAAAAATTGGAAAACTGAAAATTCGAAAAATCCAAAAACCAAAATCGAGGAACTGAAAAATTTTAACATTTTTGAATAGAAACGTTAAAAATCGAAAAATTTTAAAGTTGAAAAATTGATAACGGAGAGAAATTGAAAAATCGCATAATTGAAAAAGCAGAAATTGAAAAATTGGAAAAGCGAAAAAGCGAAAAATTGCAACGCTGCAACATCGCAAAATTGAAAAATTAAAAAACGAGAAATTTAAAATTCGAAAAATTATAAAACTGACAAATCAAAATTCTGAAAAACCAAAAATTGAAAAATCAAAAATTGGAAAAATGAAAATTCGAAAAATTTAGAAGTCAAAAATCCAAAAACCAAAATCGAGGAACTGAAAAATCGAAACTTTGTTGAACAGAAACATTAAAAATCGAAAAATTTTAAAGCTGAAAAATTGAGAAATTAAAAATTCAGATAATTCAAAAGTCAAAAATTGGAAAATCGGAAAATTACAACTTTGAAATATCAAAAAATTAAAAGCTGAGAATTCGAAAAATTAAAAAACGAGAAATCTAAAATTCGAAAAATTATAAAACTGAACAATCAAAATCCTGAAAACTAAAAATTGAAAATCAAAAATTGGAAAACTGCAAACTGAAAATTCGAAAAATTCAAAAACCAAAATCGAGGAACTGAAAAATCGAAACATTGTTAAATAGAGACATTAAAAATCGAAAAATTTTAAAGTTGAAAAATTGATAACGGAGAGAAATTAAAAAATCGTATAATTCAAAAATCAAAAATTGAAAAATCGGAAAATCGAAAAATTGCAACTTTGATAAAACATCAAAAAATTTTACAGTTGACGATTCGAAAAATTAAAAATTAGAGAAATTGAAAAATCGCATAATTGAAAAAGCATAAATTGAAAAATTGGAAAAGCGAAAAAACGAAAAATTGCAACACTGCAACATCGCAAAATTGAAAAATTAAAAAACGAGAAATTTAAAATTCGAAAAATTATAAAACTGACAAATCAAAATTCTGAAAAACTAAAAATTGAAAAATCAAAAATTGGAAAAATGAAAATTCGAAAAATTTAGAAGTCAAAAATCCAAAAACCAAAATCGAGGAACTGAAAAATCGAAACTTTGTTGAATAGAAACATTAAAATTCGAAAAATTTTAAAGCTGAAAAATTGAGAAATTAAAAATTCAGATAATTCAAAAGTCAAAAATTGGAAAATCGGGAAACTACAACTTTGAAATATCAAAAAATTAAAAGCTGAGAATTCGAAAAATTAAAAAACGAGAAATCTAAAATTCGAAAAATTATAAAACTGAACAATCAAAATCCTGAAAACTAAAAATTGAAAATCAAAAATTGGAAAACTGCAAACTGAAAATTCGAAAAATCCAAAAACCAAAATCGAGGAACTGAAAAATCGAAACATTGTTAAATAGAAACATTAAAAATCGAAAAATTTTAAAGTTGAAAAGAACAATTGAAAAAATAGAGAAATTAAAAAATCAGATAATTCAAGTCAAAAATTGAAAAATCGCAAAATCGAAAAATTGCAACATTGAAACATCAAAAAATTTAAAAGTTGAGAATTCGAAAAATTAAAAATTAGAGACATTGAAAAATCGGATAATTGAAAAAGCAGAAACTGAAAAATTGGAAAAGCGAAAAAACTAAAAATTGTAACAATGAAAAATTGAAAAATTAAAAAACGAGAAATTTAAAATTCAAAAAATCATAAAACTTAAAAATCAAAATACCGAAAAACTAAAAATTGAAAAATCAAAAATTGGAAAACTGAAAATTCGAAGCTTTGTTGAATAGAAACGTTAAAATCGAAAAATTTTAAAGTCGAAAAATTGAGAAATTAAAAAATCAGATAATTCAAAAGTCAAAAATTGAAAAATCGAACAATTGCAACATTAAACATCAAAAAATGTAAAAGTTGAAAATTCGAAAAATTAAAAATTAGAGAAATTGAAAAAGCGAAAAATCGAAACATTGTTGAATAGAAACATTAAAAATCCCAAGGTTAGTTAATAGAGAACTACTAATCTATTAAATGACTTTGCGTGGAATGACAGATCTGCCAATTTTAAAGATAATTCACTGATGCCAACAGACACGATTTTCGTTGATCACGCTGTACTTTTTGCTTATGCAACCAGCAATACGCTAAATTATGAACTAAAATCTTTAAAAATATTATCGAAATATCTTAATTGACAGTCAGATTCCTAACACGAGAGAAAAAAATGCTGAAAATATAACCGCTTTTATAGAAATTTGTGTTGTCAGTTTTAATAATAAAATTTACAATATATTAATACGACTTGTTGGTTGCCTACTCTGCGGGGATATCCAACTTCTAACATTCAATATTTGAGGTTATTTATATTGATATCACTGTTGATAAACGAAAACACTCATAAATAATCTCATGCATGTAACTTAAATTTAAAATCAGCTCTCAGGTAAGGGATAACTCATTCAGCGGTATATTTTTCATACTTATACCGAAGTGTAATAACTTCAGGCAAACCGAAATGTCACTTTTGGAGTACTCTGAAGCCTTCACAACACGTGTGAAATCCCTCCTGAAAAACACCCATAACTGTAAAGTTTGCCCATACTTTACAACGTTATCCTTTTTCATGGTAAACCACCTCCGGCGACATTGTGCCTCCATGCTACATTTTAACTGTGAAAATACCAAACTTGAACCCTTTTATTGCAGCGACTGTGATTTCAAAACCCAACTAACGCTTCGTTTCAAACAACACATTAAAGACCACCACAGCATCAAAGAACAATATGGCATGAATATTTACCACATGGTTACGAAAGATGTTAAGTGGTACATATGTGACAAGTGTCCCTATAAAACTAAAAGAAATTTCGATTTAAAGAAACACATAAACACGCAGCATTTGGACGACACGAGTATTAAATGGCACAAATGCGAGAAATGTCCATTCAAAAGCAAATTTAATTTTAATTTAAAAAAGCACGTAAATTCGCATCATGTAGATGAGAAGGATATCATATGGTATAAGTGTGAGAGTTGTGCGTATAAATCTAATCGCAAAGAGACGTTGAGGAGACATATAAACGTACGACACTTGGATGAACAGGATGTTAAATGGTACGAATGCCAGAAGTGTCCATACAAAACTAAACACAACTCTAATTTAAAAAAGCACGTAGATACACAGCATTTAGATGAGCAGTATATTAAGTGGTTCGAATGTAATAAGTGCTCATACAGAGCTAAAAGAAATTTTGATTTAAAGAAGCACATAAGTACGAAGCATTTGGATGAAAAGGACATTAAGTGGAACCAGTGTGAAAGCTGTGGATACAAATCTAACCGCAAAGACACGTTAACAAGGCATATAAATGTACGACATATGAATGAAAGAATATTGTAGTATTTGGATCAATATAACGAGTGTTTTTGTTCATTTATTATGTGATTGGAGAATTATTGTTATTCGTGTATTGTGTGTTGCCTACATCCCATCGTTTTTGAGGTTATGTACAATTTCTGTCATTTATTTAAAAACAAATTTCCACATATTTATACAATTTCAGCTATTATTCGTAGGTTTTTAAGCGATAGGAGATATAAAGCAAACAAACAAATTGATAAATTAGTTGAAGAACGTGAAAGCTGATATTTCAGTATTTGAGGTTATGTTACAGTCCAACTCGAAATCTTGAAAATTTTTGATGGCCAACTACATCAGACGCCCCCATTCATCACCCCTGTCATTCAACTGTGAAAACGCCACCATCGAAACCTACCGTTGCAAAGACTGTGCTTTCCGAACAGACTTGACGTTTTTGTTCAAACACCACATTTCCACCTACCATGGCGTCAAAAAAGAAAACGGAAATGAAGGAATTTTCATCCAGAAGTACGTTTGCGAGAAATGCGGCTTCGACACACATTTCCTGATTAAATGGCTTCAACACACAATCGCGTGTTTCAGTGGTGAAGAGAGTTCCAAAATTTTGAACAGTAGCAGGAAAAGTCTCACCAGAATGTACAACTGTAAGCAGTGTGGACGCATTTTCAAGTACAAAAATTTCGCTAAAATGCACACAAATTGCACAACGAATGATCAACTGTGGTTTCAGTGTGAAAAGTGTTCGTACAAATCTAAACAAAAAGGGAATTTAAAAAGACACATTTATTCCCGACATGTTGATATCGAAACTCAGAGTATCAAATGGTATAAGTGTAAAAAGTGTCCATACAAATCTAAACACAAAACGTGTTTAAAAACACACATAATCGCCCGACATTTGGATGCAAAAGACATTAATTGGTTCAAGTGTAAAATATGCCCATATAAAGCTAAACAGAATTCTGATTTAACTAAACACATAAACGCGCGACATATGGATGGGAAGGATATTAAATGGTACGCGTGCCAATTCTGCCCATACAAAGGTAAAAAAAACTCTCATTTAAAAAGTCACGTAATCGCGCGACATTTGGACGAAAAAGATATGAAATGGTACGAATGCAAACAGTGCCCATATAAAGCTAAATACAGTTCATCTTTAAAAAAGCACATAAATGCACACCATTTAGCAGAACGGGATACTAAATGGTACGAATGCAAAGTTTGCCCATTTAAAGCAAAACAAAGCTCTTGTTTAAAAAGGCACGTTAATTCCATCCATTTGGACGAAAGTGATGTCAAGTGGTATGAATGTGCAACGTGTCCGTATAAAGCTAAACAAAAAGCTGCCCTAAAAAGACACATAATGATGCAGCATTTAAATGATGAGGATATTAAATGGTATAAATGCAGTGATTGTTCATACAAAGCTAAACAAAAAGCGCATTTGAAGAAACACATTAATGCGCGACATTTCGATGAGAAAGGTGATTAAGGAGATGATTCATTTAAAGCTACCACTTTTTTTTTCAAGCATTCCTTTTCTTGGCGAATTGATGTTTGAAGTGAAAAGGAAAAACGGATTAAATAAGCTACAGTAAGACAAGTTGAATTGGATGCTTGAAATTACGATGATTAAAGTAAGATTATTGAGTCATGGCAACATTTGTCCTTGAATTATTTTTTTTTAGGTTAAAACAGATGGACACGTTTCTAGTTTTCGTGTTGACAAATGGTGATATCTGAACATGAACCAGAGTTTATTTTGTTTACAAATTTGATGAAAATAAAAGTTTTATACATCATTACCTAGTGTTTGTTTGAAAGCTACGCAGTGTTAGTAGCTGATTATTAAGGGCTTTGCAATCTGCCCACAATGGACTTAGTCACAATTTTTTTTTACCTCTCCAGATTGGAGGAATAAAGATTTTTTCCTCCATATTTGGTGTTTGATTTAGGGTCGCTTTTCCAATCTTGAGGTGCACCAGTTTGCATTTGAACGCATTCCGCCATTTAAAAAAACACATCGTAAGGTTTCGTTTTCATTGACGATCACAGTTCAAGGCCAAATTTTGAATTTTCCCCGGGTTTTAAAATTTTGTTATTCAGATGTCAAATTATGGCGCGATGTTTGAGTTATCACACAAATATACAGATACTCAGATAAACAAATATCGATACAACATACCTATATAAATACAGATACAGACACAGAGATACACAGGTCCGCAGATACACAGATACAGATATACAAAGACATCCAGATGCAGATATACAGATATAAATGCACAGATACAAAGATACAGAGATACAAAGATGCAGAGATACAAAGATAGAGAAATACAAAGATACAGAGATGAAAATATAAAGAGATACAGAGACACAGAAATACAAAGGTACCGAGGTACAGAGATACCAAGATACACAGATACAAAGACACACAGATAAAGGGACACAAAGATACAGAGATCCAGAGATACAAAGGTACATAAATATAGAGATACAAAGAAACAAAGATGCACGGATACTCAGATAAAAACATATAGATACACGGATATACAGACACAGATATACAAAGATAAAGAGATACAAAGATACAAAGATGCAGAGATACAAAAATACAAAGATACAGAGATGCAGAGACACAAATATACAGAGATGCACAGATACTCAGATACAAAATATGTACATGCACGGATACACAGATAGAGAGATACAAAGATGTAGAGATATAGAAATACAAAGATACAGAGATACAGAGATACCAAAATACAGAGATATAAAGATGCAGAGATACAAAGATACAAACATATAGATACACGGATACACAGATAGAAAGATACAAAGATAGAAAGAAACAAAGATAGAGACATACAAAAATTGAAAGATACAAAGATAGAGAGATACAGAGATAAAAAGATACAGAGATGCAAAGAGACAAAGATACAGAAATGTACAGATACTCTGATACAAAGATGTAGATACACGGATGTACAGATAGAGAGATACAAAGATAGAGATTACAAAAATACAGATATACAAAGATGAAGGGATACAAAGATGGAGAGATACAAAGATGAAGAGATACAAAGAGAATAAGATACAAAGATACAGAGATACAAAGGGACGAAGATACAGAGATACAAAGACACAGAGATACAAAAATACAGAGATACAGATACACGCAGAAGCAGAGGCACAAAGATACAGAGACACGAAGATACTCAGATACAAAGATATAGCTACACGGATACAGAGATACAGAGATACAAAGATACAGAAATACAAAGATACAGAGATACAAAGATACAGAGATACAAAGATACTGAGATACAAAGATACAAAGATACAGAGATACAAAGATACAGAGATACAAAGATACAGAGATACAAAGATACAGAAATACACACATACGGAGATACAAAGATACAGAGATACAAAGATACAGAGATACGAAGATACAGAGATACAAAGATACAAAGATACAGAGATACAAAAATACAGAGACATAAAGACACAAATATATAAAGACACAGAGACACCAAGATACAGATACACACAGATACAGATACAGACAGATGCAGAGACACAAAGGTACAGAGGTAAAGAGATAGAAAGACACAGAAATACAGAGACACAAAGATGCAGAAACCCAGAGATACAGAGATACAAAGATACAGAGATACAAAGGTACAGAGATACAAAGATGCAAAGACCCAGAGATACAGAGATACAAAGGTACATAAATACAGAAATACAAAGATACAGAGATCCACAGATACTTAGACACAAACCTCTAGCTACACGGATATACAGATACAGAGATACAAAGATAGAGAGATACAAAGATACGGGGATACAAAGATACGCAGATACAAAGATAAATAGATACAAAAATACAGAAATACAAAAATACAGACATATAAAGATACAGAGATGCAAAGATACAGAGATACAAAGATACAGAGATATAAAGATACAGACATACAAAGATACAGATACAAAGATATAGAGATACAAAAATACAGAGACATAAAGACACAAAAATATAAAGATACAGAGACACAAAGATACAGATACACACAGATACAGATACAGACAGATGCAGAGACACAAAGGTACAGAGGTAAAGAGACACAAAGACACAGAGATCCACAGATACTTAGATACAAACCTGTAGCTACACGGATACACAGATACAGAGATACAAAGATACCGAGATACAAAGTTACGGAGATACAAAGATACGCAGATACAGAAATACAAAAATACAGAGATATAAAGACACAAAACTCTAAAGACACAGAGACACAAAGATACAGAGACACAAAGATGCAGAGACCCAGAGATACAGAGATACAAAGGTACATAAATACAGAAATACAAAGATACAGAGATCCACAGATACTTAGATACAAAACTGTAGCTACACGGATACACAGATACAGAGATACAAAGATAGAGAGGTACAAAGATACGGAGATACAAAGATACGCAGATACAAAGATAAACAGATACAAAGAGACAGAAATACAAAAATACAGAGATATAAAGACACAAAACTATAAAGACACAGAGACACAAAGATACAGAAATACAAAGATACAGATATACAAAGATACAGAGATACAAAGATACAGAGATACAAAGATACAGAGATACAAAGATACAGAGATACAAAAATACAGAGATACAGAGATACAAAAATACAGAGACATAAAGACACAAAAATATAAAGACAGAGACACAAAGATACAGATACACACAGATACAGATACAGACAAATGCAGAGACACAAAGGTACAGAGGTAAAGAGATACAAAAACACAGAGATACAGAGACACAAAGATGCAGAGACCCAGAGATACAGAGATACAAAGGTACATAAATACAGAAATGCAAAGATACAGAGATCCACAGATACTTAGATACAAACCTATAGCTACACGGATACACAGATACAGAGATACAAAGATAGAGAGATACAAAGATACCGAGATACAAAGATACGGAGACACAAAGATACGCAGATACAAAGATACAGAAATACAAAAATACAGAGATATAAAGACACAAAACTATAAAGACACAGAGACACAAAGATACAGAGACACAAAGATGCAGAGACCCAGAGATACAGAGATACAAAGGTACATAAATACAGAAATACAAAGATACAGAGATCCACAGATGCTTAGATACAAACATGTAGCTACACGGATACAAAGATCGAGAGATATAAAGATACAGAGATACAGAGATACAAAGATAGAAAGATAAACAAATACAAAGATACAAAGACACAGAAATACAGAAGATGTAGAGATACAGAGATACAAACTTGCAGAGACATAGAGATACAACGGTACATAAATCGAGAGATAAAAAGATACAGTGATACAGAAATACTCATACATATAGATATAGAGATTCAAAGATACAGAAATACTAACATTAAAAGATACAGCGAAACAAAGATAAACAGAAACAAAGATATAGAGATACAAAAATACAAAGACACAGGGACACAAACATACAGAGATATAGAGACACAAAATTGCAGGGACACAAAGATACAGGGACACAGAGATACAAAGATTCCGAGATGCACAGATACTCAGATACAAACATAGATATATAATATACTGTTACAGACACAAATACACCGATAGAGAGACACAGATAGATATCTGTGAAACTTCAGATGAAGTTTCAATAATGTCATACTTCATAAACGTTCACCGCGATACTTTATAAATTTTCAAGCAGATGACTATTAATCATTAAAACAAACTTTTGTGTTGGTAATTCTGAATTATTGGCAGCAAATCTGAGTGCACAGTGGTTGTCAGCTTTGACAGGAGCGTGTCTATCGTGTCTAACAAACGTGATGAGAAGATAATTTGATACCCCAAATTTTATGTTGAGAATCATGTACGCCATAATAAAATTTTAAATATTTCGCCAACCTGACAAAAAAAAAACAATCATTAATAGTATTCCGGGTACTTATTAACAATGAATTAGAGAATACGCAAAAACGCACTACTTTTATGCCAAAATGACGCGCTCATGTTGTTGTCAGTAATGTCATAGTACGTGATGACCTTTGCCATTGCCTTTGCAAAACAAATTTTACAGATTTTGGCCGAGAAATTGCACATTTTCGGGTTTAGCTTAGCAACATTTGCACAAATTGATTTGTTTTTCATAACTTTGTGTTTCTAGGAAAACGTTCTCGTTGAATTGTGATATTGTTGATTAATTATTATTTATTTATTTATTTAATTATGTCTTGAATCCAGAAATGTAATTGGAATTTTTTATTGGGAATAACCGTTTTAATTACTAATCTTTTTATCCCGAAATAGCAATTATTTATTGTTAATTAGTAAAATAACATTTATAGAAAACTATATAACTAATGATTTGTACATGTTAGATACGATTTATTTAGCAAGATTTTGAAACGACGTCAACACGTTTTTGGAGGGGATAAATAGAAAAATTTTGATTAGCGATTTACCATGCGATCTGCCAATGTTAAGTTAAATGCAGATCACTAATATCTAACCTAAAAAAGTGAACATATGGGTTTTATTTCAACGCCTATCTAGATTAGAAATTTAAATAATCGCACGTCTTAATGTTTAAAACTGGTGAATAGTGTGCCGCATTGTGGGTTGCATACATACAAACATCTTGTAAAATTAAAGATCTACGGCAAATTTGAAGATTAATAAAACCATGGTAGAAGGAGACATGGTATAGGCATCCGATGTACCAATTTAAAAATGGTCTGCGCATCCATTTGTGACGTTAGGTGGCATCAACGACCTTGTGACTATTGTGAGCTTCGCTAGGGAAGTCTAGGGAATTTCAGCTTAAGTTGTCAGTGCTCTGTCCAATACGTCAATTAGTTGTCGGATAACGAACTGTATTTTAAATTTCGCGCTAATTTCACCCCACTTGACGTCACACCCGATGCGTATGCCTATACCATGTCTCCTTCTACCATGAATAAAACGACCAGTAGTTATTAAAAATATATTTCGAACTATAAGGCAACCAACTATACACAAACTGTGACAAAAATAAAATTTATTAATTCAACATTCTACAAACTAAATAGAAGTAGAAAAATAAATAAATACTAAGCACCACTACTAGGTACACTTGTTTAGAATAAACTACTACACTTTTATATTGCTTGAACAAGACTCAACACTTTGTTCGTTTAGAGGATGCACACTTATGTCTATTCAAAGCAACTTTATATTTAGCTTTAAACGAACACTTTTTGCATTCATACCACTTAACATCATCTCCATCCAAATGGTGCACATTCACGTGTTGCTTCAAATTAGAAACACACTTGCTTTTATATGAACACTCTTTGCATTCATACCATAAAGCACCCCGTTCATCCAAATGTTCATCATTCACGTGTTGTCTTAAAGCCGCCTTTTGTGTAGCTTTAAATGAACACTTCTGGCACTCGTACCATTTAATATCCTTATCATCTAAATGATGCACCCTCACGTGTTGCTTTAAATTGGAATTAAACTTCGTTTTGTAAGCACACTTTTCGCATTCGTACCATTTAACGTCTTTCTCGTCCAAATGGTGCGCATTAACGTGCATTTTTAAGTTATAACCACTTGCACTTTTATACGAACATTGTACGCATTTATGCCATTTAAGGCTTTGTTTGTCCATACGGTGCACGTTGACGTGTCTATTCAAAGCTTGCTTATATTTAGCTTTAAATGAACACTTTTCGCATTTGTACCATTTAATGTCCTGATCGTCTAAATGGTGCACATTTATGTGAAGTTTCAAATTAGAACTCTGTTTAGCTTTGTATGAACACATTTGGCACTTGAACCATTGAATCTCGTGTTCGTTTAAATGATGGGCGTTTATGTGGTTTTTTAGCACAGAATTATACTTGCTTTTGTATGGACATTGGGTGCATCGGAACCATTTAATGTCCTGTTCGCCCAGATGATGCGTAATCATGTGTTGCTTCAAGTGAGAACTATCTTTACATTTGTATACACATTCCCTGCATTCGTACCATTTAAAATCGTGTTCTTCCGAATGGCACTTATTCGTGTGACTTTTCAAACGAGAGATACGTTTAGCTTTGAAAAAACACTTCTTACATTCGTACCAGCGCACTTCTCGGTCGTCTAAATGGCACGCATTTATGTGTTTTTTTAAACTGGAATTGTATTTGGTTCGAAACGGGCAACTTTTGCACTCGTGCCATTTAACATCGTGCTCGTCTTTGTGGCGCGCACTCACGTGGTGGTACAAATTCGAGCTCTGTTTGGTTTTGAATGGGCACTTCTGGCACGTGTACCATTTAATATTGTCCCCGGCTCGGTGTCTGGAATTTAAGTGAAGTTCGAGCGAACTTTTACTTTTAGTTTTGTATGGGCATTCAGCGCAGTGGTGCCAACTTATTTCGTCGTCGGTTAAATGTCGCGCGATTTTGTGTTGCCGTAAATGGTGCTTATTCTTCGACTTGTAGTCACACCCGTTGCATTTATACCAAGTGAAATGTTTTTCGCACTGGTCCGAGTGCTTTACGAGTTGGTGTCTTTTTAAATTATATTTGGACTTGTATTTGCAGTCACACTGGTCACATTTATGCCACTGAACACGTTTTTCGTTAAACTTGGGGCTGCTTTTTTTGTTTTTTAAACACTCTGCGGTGTGTTGCAGCCACTTGATTGAAAAGTGGGTTTCAAAGCTGCAGTTTTCACAAACGTACTTCTGGATTGCGATTTTTGATGTATTTTTTTGGTTTTTGGGGGTGAAGAGGTGTCGTTCTTGAAGGTGTTGTTTGAAGATGAGGGTAATTTTTGTTTGGAAGTCGCAGTCTTGGCAGTGGTAGTTTTCGATTTTGGCGTCTGCACAGGTGAAAGGCCACAGGGATGAAGAGTGACGTTTGAGGTGGTTCGAGATGAAGAAGGAGGATTTGGTGATGTAGGGGCAGACGTTGCACGTGTGGACTTCCTTGAGGGCGGGATTCACGTCAATGGACTTCTCAGAGTACTCCAGAATCGACATTTTGCCTAAATTTATTGTTGCTTTCAATTATAGGGTTATGTTTTTATTGTTTTTTTTTCTCACCCAATAATGTGATGGGGTAGCAGTCAACGGGTCGATTTTGTATCTTTCGACAGCATAAATTCATAAATTACGATTTTATTTAGTCGTATAATGTGAAAAATATTTGTGTTATTGTTGTTGTGTAAACATAACCTCAATGTTTTGTGAGGTATGCAACACATTATACACGCACGTCATTTTACTTTAGAAACCCCATTTACCCAATCTAGGTCATTAATAAGTCTTTTATTTCAGAAAAATGTTTATTTAGTTACATTAATGAATTCGCTGGACGTGTTTGTTCAAGCAAACTTTAAATTTGGCTTTATACGGACACTTGTCACACTTGTGCCACTTAACGTCCTGTCCGTCCAAATGCAGCGCATTTACGTGCTTTTTCAGATCAGAATTCGACTTAGCTTTATACGTGCAGCTTTTACATTCATACCATTTAATATCCTTTTCATCCAAATGTCGCGCAATCACATGGATATCTAAATGTGCTTTTCGTTTAGCTTTATATGGACACTTTTCGCATTCATACCACTTAATATCCCGTTTATCCAAATGGTGCGCATTTATATGACTTTCCAAATGCGCTTTCCGCTTAGCTCTATATGAACATTTTTTGCATTCATACCACCGAATGTCCTGTTCGTCCAAATGGTGCGCATTAATGTGAGCTTTCAAGTTTGACTTAAACTTGCTCTTATATGGGCACATTTTGCATTCGTACCATGTGATGTCCGGCCCGTTCAAATGGTGGGCGTTTATGTGGCTTTTCAAATGCGAGCTTTTTCTGGTTTTAAATGGACAATCTTTGCATTTGCACCATTTAATATCCTGTTCTTTCAAATGGCGAGCTTTCACGTGGCATTTTAAATTCGACCGGAATTTGTTTTTGTATGGACACATTTTGCATTCGTACCAGTGGACGTCCTGTTCTTCCAAATGTCGCGCGTTTATGTGGTCTTCTAAAACGTACTTGTACTTGGTTCTGTATAGGCAATAGTTGCACTGGTGCCACTTGATGCCTTCTTCGTCGAAGTAGCGAGTGACTGTGTGTTCTCTAATCGCCAAACAGTCTCTGAAATTCCCCAAACACGACATTGTGTGTTGAAGTCGCTTGATAATAAAGTGCGTTTCGAAGCTACATTTTTGGCACACGTATCGTTGGATTGTGAACTTTTCGTCTGATAAATCGTAGTTTGGTTTAAGACTATGTCGCTGTTCGATGTGTTGTTTAAAAAGGAGGGTTAGCTCGGTTTTAAATTTGCAATCTTTGCAATAAAAGGGTTCGATTTTGGCGTCTCCGCAGTTGAAACGGGCCAGTAGAGAGTGGTGTCGCTTGATGTGGTTGGTCATAAGAAGCACGGACTTGGTAAAGTATGAGCAGAGTTTGCAGTGGTGGACGTTGTGCTCTGAAGGGTGGACGTGTGTGGTGACAGCTTCGCAATACTCCAGAACTGACATTGTGGGTTGGCTGAATTATGATATTTTTACTACAAAATGGGGGTTAGTATTGTAGCTCTCACCTGAGATTGACAAATACGTGAATAAAAAAAGGGTACGAGTTGTAATCACGGTTTCCTAACCTCAAACTGGGTGTGAGTAAATGCCATAAGTTTGGTATTACGGTTCTAGTTCGATCATCATTCCGTATAGTTTGTGCTATTAACACAAAGTCGTTCCAATTGTTTAAAAAAATATTCAAATTAGGAACTTGATCGACTTTTATTTATTTTGTTTCTTCTTATGTTAGTATAAATTAAAAATCCCTAGAATCAACTATTATCAGCGCTGAAATTCCCTAGAATAAAAATATGACAGAACGGAAAACCAGAAGTTCTCAAACCTCTATGTTTGATGTACATGTTACGATTTACGACTAATAAATAATAATAATCCTATTGTCGTAAATATATGTGATATAAAATTCAGCCCAGAAATATATTCTATATATATTTTGAATTTATGACCAAATTTGTTGACGTTGAAGTTCCCGCTGACGTTGCGGAGAAAAGTTTTAAGTTTCTTGTTGTTCAAATAAGTCTACACACATTAAGAAGAAAAAAAAGGCAAAACATAGCCCCGCCCACCCACCCTATCTCAGTTGTGATGATTTTTTTATTCGTTATGAGTCAAGAGGGCGGAGCTTAACTGCAAAATCCATATTCCCTTACAAAAATTTACAGCTTCAATCGTGTATTAAGTTTCCAAGAATAAAATAAATCATCACAATTGAGATAGGGCGGGTGGGCGGGCTTACATTTTGCCTTTTTGTTTTAGTAGGTGTAGGCTTCTTTTCACAACATGAAACTTAAAACATGTTTAAGATGAAAAATTTGTATAACGAAATATCGATTTTGCAATTAGACTCCGCCCCATAATTGCAAAATCCACATTTCCTTGCAAAAATGTACCATTTTAACCATGTTTTAAGTTTCTAATTGTGAAAAGATGGCTAAATATATTAAGGAAAAAAAAGGCAAAATATAAGCCCCGCCCACCCCCTCTATCTCAATTCTGATGATTTTTTTTATTCGTCGTAAGCCGAGGGGCGAAGCTTAATTGAAAAATCCTTATTTTTCTACGAGAAACTACCACGTGAAATATGTTCTTAAGTACTCGTGTTATACAAAGAAAACTAAATGTATTAATTAAAAAAGAAAACCAAAAGAGAAGCCCCACCCATCCATCTTGATTGAAACCGAGGGGCGGAGCGTAATTGCAAAATCGATATTTCCCTATACAAATTTACCATTTTAAACATGTTTTAAGTTTCTTCTTGTGACAAGATGACTACACATATTAAGATATTTGAGTAATCACTGGAATTGGGTGGATGGGCGGAGCAGCTATTGCTTGCTTATAAAATACTCTGTAAGAAAAAGTTAAAATTAGCCCCACCCACCCACCCGTTTTCTCATTGTTGTTCTTCTGAAATAAAAAATACGATTGGAGCCTTTTTTTTGCTTTTGTAACAGCCTACCTATTCCCACTCTACAAAAGAACATATAATTAACCTCACCAACTCACCCTTCCTTCATCTGTGGTAATCTGTGAAATGAAGAGGGGGTAGGTGGGCGGGGCTATTGCTTGCTTATAAAAGACTGTAGGAGAAAGTTAAACTTATCCCCGCCCACCCACCCGTTCTGTCATTCTGGTTTCTTCTGAAATAAGAAATAACTCTTATAGCAAATAGTATATCAAAGAAACTACCGCTTTTTTTAGCAGCCTACGTCCTCTTAATTCCCATTCGCATTATACCAAAGAATAGAGGGAAAATCTAGCTAGTACCTGCTAAGGTAAGACTGATTTTGGCAAATGACATACCTTCTAAGAAAATAAAGGGTGGGTGGGCGGGGCTAGTACTTTGTAAGATAAGACTGATTTTGGTAAATAACATATCCTCTAAGAAGGGATGGGTGAGCTGGGCTATTGCTTGCTTATAAAAGACTTTGTTAGGAAAAAATAAACTTAGCCCCGCCCACCCACCCGTTTTTTTTCTTCTGAAATAAGAAATGCATTTTTATAGCCCAAGTTCTATTAGTTTCTTGCCACTTTACAGAAGAACATAAAATTAAGTCCGCCCACTTACCCCGCCTTCAATTTAGTGATTCAATTGTATTTGAATGAAAGGTGGATTTTATACTGACGAACAAAAATAATAACTATACTGCTAATATAAGACTGATTTTGGCAAACAACACCCTCTAAAAAAATTAAAGACGGGTGGATTCGATTATCACCTGCCAAGATAAGACTTGCGACGAAATTCCGGATGAGAGGGACGGACGGTCCGGTGACGGTCCGGAATCTCGCCGATAGCGTATGGGGTGGCGGCGTACTTGAGTGCCAAGCTTTGGGTCGACTAGTATCGCTGATGTCAGTAACACGTCTGGTCGACCAAGCTTATGCGGCTACCTTCACGCCGCCGGGGGTGGCGCCTTCGGTCAGGAGCGGCGGTAGCTCGGGCGCCAGCTCACTCTCCGGGGGAGGGAGCGCCGGGGTGCTCTAAAGCCGGAGACACGGAATTCAGGTGATGAGCCGCCGCGAAAACGCGAGAATAATAAATGAAACGGCGAGGATATTTTATAACAAAAATAGGGTTTATTCCCTACCACCAGCTACACGGTCTAAAATAATAAATCTTACGGCTAAGCAACTTAAATAACTAAACAACGGTTTTACAACAAAAAGAATTAACTGTCCGGCACGGTCGTTCCTCCTGGGCGGCGACTTCCTTCAGGCCGGGCTCCTCTTGGCTCTGGGGGCGGCGACCTTGAACCTGGAAATCGCGCGAAGACGGTACGGCGACCCGGGAGGGGAGCGCGGTGACGGTAACGACGCGTGCACGACGGTGTCGACTTTCGACGGTGACAAAAAGAACGCGGTGACGGTGACACGGTTTCTCGCTCGGGGGCGGCGATTCCAAAACCGGTACAAAACAGGCAGGCGACCCAAAAAGGTACTTACGGAGGTCGGAGGGTCAAACTGCACACTTCTGCCACACTTCTCCAAAAATTCTTAAACACCAAAATCGCCACAGCACTTCCGCACTCTCTGAAGTTGCAGGTAAGAGTCTCCCTCCTCCGCCGCGGCGGCGCGGCGATCGCCAATTTACCCCCGGCTTTCGCGGTACGCGCCACGGTTTCCGGCCCGCGAAAATTCGCTTCGTTACAGACTAAACAATATTTAGGGCAGTCACAGGACTGGAGAGGGGGTGGGTGGGCGGGGCTACCGCTTGCTTATAAGACTCTCTAAGAAAAAGTTAAGTTTAGCCCCGCCCACCCAGCCGTTCTGTCATCTTGGTTCTTATGAAATAAGAAATAACTCTTATAGCAAATAGTATGTCAAAAAAATTACGACTACCGCTTTTTTTAGCAGTCTACGTTGTCTTATTTCCCATTCGCATTATACCAAAGAACATATAATAAACCCCGCCCACCCTCGCCGCTTCCATTTCCATGATTTATGTTATTTAGTCTGAATGAAAGGTGGATTTCAACTGAACAGAGGAAAAATCTAACTAGTACCTGCTAAGGCAAGACTGATTTTGGTAAATAAGATATCCTCTAAGAAAATAAAAGGTGGGTGGGCGGGGCTAAAACTTGCTAAGACAGAACTGAACAATATTAAGAGTAGTCACTGGAATGAAGAAGGGGTGGGTGAGCGGGGCTATTGCTTGCTTATAAACGACTCTATTAGAAAAATATTAAACTTAGCCCCGCCCACCCACCCGTTTTTTTCTTCTGAAATAAGAAATGCGTTTTTATAGCAAATAGTGTAACAAAAAAAAATACGATTAGCTTTCTCTTTTCTCGTTTTAATAGCCCAAGTTCTATTAGTTTCTTGTCACTTTACAGAAGAACATGTAATTAACTCCGCCCACTTACCCCGCCTTCAATTTGGTGATTCAATTGTATCTGAATGAAAGGTGGATTTTATACTGACGAACAAAAATAAAATCGATAAAATGAGAATAGCGCGGGTGGGCGGGGCTAGTACCTGCTAATAGAAGACTGATTTTGGCAAACAACACCCTCTAAAAAAATTAAGCGCGGGTGGATTCGATTATCACCTGCCAAGAGAAGACTAAACAATATTTAGGGTAGTCACAGGACTGGAGAAGGGGTGGGTGGGCGGGGCTACCGCTTGCTTATAAGACTCTCTAAGAAAAAGTTAAGCTTAGCCCCGCCCACCCACCCGTTCTGTCATCTTGTTTCTTCTGAAATAAGAAATAGTTCTTACAGCAAATAGTACATCAAAAAATTACGACTACCGCTTTTTTTAGCAGCCTACGGACTCTTAATTCCCATTCGCATTATACCAAAGAAAATATAATAAGCAACGCCCACCCACCCCGCGTCCATACCCTTGATTTATGTTATTTAGTCCGAATGAAAGGTGGATCTCAACTGAACAGAGGAAAAATCTAGCTAGTACCTGGTAAGGTAAGACTGATTTTGGTAAATAAAATATCCTCTAAGAAAATGAAGGGTGGGTGGGCGGGGCTAAAACTTGCTAAGACAGAACTAAACAATATTAAGAGTAGTCACTGGAATGAAGAAGAGGTGGATGAGCGGGGCTATTGCTTGCTTATAAAAGACTCTGTTAGAAAAAATTTAACTTAGCCCCGCCCACCCACCCGTTTTTTTCTTCTGAAATAAGAAATGCATTTTTATAGCAAATAGTGTAACAAAAAAACTACGATTATCTTTCTTTTTTCTCTTTTTAATAGTCCAGGTTCTATTAGTTTCTTGCCACTTTACAGAAGAACATAGAATTAACTCCGCCCACTTACCCCGCCTTCAATTTAGTGATTCAATTATATCTGAATACAAGGTGGATTTTATACTGACGAACAAAAATAAAATCGTTAAAGTGAGAATAGTGCAAGTGGGCGGGGCTAGTACCTGCTAATATAAGACCGATTTTGGCAAACAACACCTTCTAAAAAAATTAAGGGCGGGTGGATTCGATTATCACCACCTGCCAAGATAAGACTAAACAATATTTAGGGTAGTCACAGGACTGCAGAGGGGGTGGGTGGGCGGGGCTACCGTTTGCTTATGACTCTCTAAGAAAAAGTTAAGCTTAGCCCCGCCCACCCACCCCCTCACCTTGTTTCTTCTGAAATAAGAAATAACTCTTATAGCAAATAGTGCATCAAAAAAATTACGACTACCGCTTTTTTTAGCAGCCTACGTTCGCTTATTTCCCATTCGCATTATACCAAAGACCATCTAATAAACCCCGCCCACCCTCCCCGCCTCCATTTCCGTGATTTATTTTATTTAGTCCGAATGAAAGGTGGATCTCAACTGAACAGAGGAAAAAAAATCTAGCTTGCCATGCCTTCTAAGAAAATAATGATTGTGGCAAATGACATCCTCTAAGAAAATAAAGGGTGGGTGGGCGGGGCTAAAACTTGATGAGATAGAACTGAACATTAAGAGTAGTCACTGGAATGAAGAAGGGGTGGGTGGGCGGGGCTACTGTTTTGCTCATAAAACTAGAAAAAAGCTAAACATAGCTCCGCCCACCTGCCTTTTCCATTTCACTGACTTTTTACTTCCCGAGCGTAAAAAAAATACATTTATTAACACAGATTAAGTACAAAGTTCATTTCAACTTCTTTACGTTATGAACAATTTATTTAACAAAAATTCGTTTTTTTTATAATTTTAAACATTCCGAATTTACGTCACCAAAATTAAATCCTATTCATACAAATGCTTTGCATTTACATGTGTTTTTAAATAATGCTTGTACTTGGTTCTATAGGGACATTTACTGCACCCATGCCATTTAATATTCTCCTCATTTAAATGGTGCGAATTTACGTGAGATTTCAAATTCGAGCTATATTTGGTTTTGTATGGACACTCTTTGCATTCATACCATTTAATGTCTTTTTCGTCCAAGTGGTGGGCATTTATGTGGGTTTTTAAATGCAGCTTGTGTTTAGCTTTGTATGGACACTTATCGCAACGGTACCATTTAATATCTTCGTCATCCAAATGCTGCGTATTTATGTGGCAGTTTAAATTGCTCTTCATTTTGGACTTGTACGGGCAGGCTTCACATTCGTACCATTTAATATATTTCTCATCCAAATGGTGCGCGTTCATGTGTCTTTTTAAATGCGAATTTTGCTTGGTTTTGTATGAACATTTGCTGCATTCAAACCATTTAATGTCTTGCTCGTTTAAATGTCGCACGATTACGTGTTGTTTTAAGTTGCTATTTTGTTTGGATTTGAATGGGCACTTTTCACATTTGTACCATTCAATGTGGTCTTGGTCCACATGGCGCGCCACTATATGGGTTTTTAAATGAGTACTGTATCTAGATTTGTATGGACACTTTTTGCATTCATACCATTTAATATCTTGGTTGTCCAAATGGTGTAAATTTACGTGGTCTAGGTTAAAATTTTGCTCAGTTTTAATGGGGCAATTTCTGCATTCATGACACTTAATACCGTGCCTGGCTTTTATATGCAAATTTAAACTCCTCAAGTATTTGGTTTTATAAAGACACTTTTCACATTTGTGCCACTTAATATTTTCTCTGTCTAGATGTTGCGTTTTCAGGTGTTTATGTAAATCGTCAGTTTGGTTAGCTTTGAAAGAACAATTTTTACACTCGAGCCACTTAACGTTGTTTCTTTCGCTATGCCAACAATTTATGTGGACTGTCAAACACCATTTTCTTTTAGTTTTGAATGAACAATTCGCACAGTGGTACCAAGGTATTTCACAGCCATGTTTTACGATTTTGTGTTTCTTTAAGTTATATTCACACTTGTACTGGCGCTCACATTTATCACACTTATACAAAACGGAATCTTCCTTAGAAGATGACATCCGACGACTATGTTTATTTTTGACACACGTTGCTGTATGTTCAAGCCATTTTCCCAAGAAATGTGTTTCAAGGGTACAATTTTCACAAACATACTTTTGCACTGTAAAGTTGTCCTGGTTTTGGTTAACACTATGATGTTCCTGAAGGTGTCGCTTGAAAAGAAGGGTCAATTCTGTCCGAAAATCACAATCTTGACAGGAATACACTTCAATTTCGGCGTTCTCGCAAGTGAAGGGCAAAACTGGGGAAGAGTGGCGCTTCGTGTGGTTCACCATGAGAAAAACTGATGTTGTTACGTAGGGGCAGACGTTGCACAGATGCACCTTCTTGGATAAAGATTTAGTTTGAACTGACATTATGGCCTAAAAATTATTATCATTTTTTGACTGAATGAATTTTTTTTCTCACCGAATAACTGATCTACACGGTTCGTGAATTCGTAAATTAACACATTTTTGCCTTTTCTTGCGCCAACTTTGTGAAAAAGTACGAACAATTGTAAACATAACCTCAACTAATAAACAAGTAATTAAATTTCTCGTGACGTTACCGTTGACGTTGGATTTGCAACCAATCAAATTGCGGTAGTGTGCAGCGCTGCCAACCTGAAGGAAAATTCCCTGAAGTAGGGGAGACATTTTTGTGGTTGACAGCACTAATTCCACGAAAATCAAATTTTGACAGAGACAATGGGGTCCACTAATAGTCATTAAGCCCTTTTTTCTTAATATGTCTAGTGTTCTTTTCATTACAAGAAAGGTAAAACATGTTTAAAGTGGTAAATTTTGGTAGGAAAGTATCGATTTTGCAATTAGGCAAATGAAAAATTCATCACATGGGTGGATATGCGTGGGGCTTAATTTTTGGCTTGTTTTTTTCATAATATACATAATATTCTTTGAACAACACGATACTCAAAAACGTGTTTTTTATTTCTTGTAGAAAAATAACAATTTTGGAATTAAGCTCCGCCTCCTTGGCTCACAACGAATAAAAATTGAGATAGGGTGGGTGGGCAAAGCTTACACTTTGTCTTCTTCTCTTAATATGTGGAGTCATCTTTTCACAACAAGGGACTTAAAATATGTTTAAAACGGTCAATTTGTATAGGGGAATATCGATTTTGCAATTACGCTCCGCCTCTCGGTCTGACAATGAACGAAAAATTCATCACGATTGAGGTCGAGACGGATGGGTGGGGCTTCTCTTTTGGTTTTCTTTTTTAATTAATACATTTAGTTTTCTTATTTGTACAACACGATTACTTAAGAACATGGTAATTTCTCGTATAAAAATAAGGATTTTACAATTAAGCTCCTCCCCTCCCCTCCATGACGATTAAAAAAATCATCATAATCGAAATAGGGCGTGTGGGCGGGGCTTATATTTTGCTTTTTTTCTTAATGTACATAGCCATCTTTCCACGACAAGAAACTTAGAACATGGTTGAAAAGGTACACTTTTTCAAGGAAATATGGATTTTGCAATTATGGGGCGGAGCCTAATTGCAAAATCGATATTTCCTTATACAAATTTTCCATTTTAAACATGTTTTAAGTTTCATGTTGTGAAAAGAAGTCTTCACATATTAAAACAAAAAGGTAAAATGTTCGATTTTTCGACTTTTCGGATTTCGAATTATTAAATTTTTCGATTTTTTGATTTTCAATTTTTTAGATTTCTTAATTTTTACATATTTTGGTTTTTATTTATCTATTCTTTTTAATGTAAATTTTTCAATTTTGTATGTTTAAATTTTCAATTTTTAACTTTTCGATTTTTCGGTTTTGGGTAATTTTTATTTTTCGACTTTGCAATTTCTCTATTACTCGATGTTTGAGTTTTTCAATTTTTGGATGTTGCGTTTTTTTGATTTCTCGCTTTCTCGATTTTTCAACTTTTCGGCTTTTCATTATTAGATTTTTGGATTTTTCAGTTTTTCTATTTCCAAATTTTTCGTCATTTCAGTTTTAGACTTTTTCAAATTATCGATTTTTTTAATTTACATTTTTTAAATTTTTTATACTTTTTAATTTAAAATTTTTCATTTTCAACTTTTCGATTTCCCGAATTTTCGACATCTCGAATTTTTTATTTCTCGATTTTTCGATGTTTCAGTTTTTCAAATTTTCGATGTTTTGATTTCGCGGTTTTTCAATTTTTCGGCTTTTCAAGTTTTAGATTTTTCGATATTTCGATTTTTCAGTTTTTGGATTTCCCAAATTTTCCTTATTTCAGTTTCGAATTTTTTAATTTCTCGATGTTTCAGTTTTTTGATTTTTCAATTTTTCGATTTTTTTAAATCTTTGATTTTTCAGTTTTTCGCTTTATTTATTTATCGATCTTTTTTAAGTTTTAAATTTTCATCAATTTTTAACTTTTGCATCTTTCGATTTTGGGGTATTTCTGTTTTTCGATATTTTTCGACTTCTCGACATTTCAGTTTTTCAATTTTTGGATGTTTCGATTTTTTGAATACTCGCGTTTTTCGATTTTTCGATTTTTGACTTCAAAAAATGTTAAAATCTAAAATTTAAAAACCGAAAAACGAAAAATGGAAAAACAAACTCCAAAATTTAAAAAATTGAAAATCAAATAATTGAAAAGTCGAAACATTGAATACCTGGAAAATCGAAAAATTGAGAAATCGAAAAATCAAAAAAGTGAAGTCGAAAAATCGAAACCTTAAAAAAATCGAAAAATTGAAAAATCAAAAACCTGAAAAATCGAAAAATTGAAGAATTGAAAAACTGAAAAATCGAAATAGTCGAAAGTCAAGAAATGGGAAAATTGGAAAAATTGAGTAAATAAAAGTCAAAAATTGAAAAATTGAAATATTTAAAAATCGTAAAATTGAAGAGGAGTAAAATTTAAAAAACGTAAATCTGAAACATCGGAAAATTGAGAAATCGATACATAGAATTTGAACATTTGAACAACACGATACTCAAAAGCATGTTTTTAATTTGTCGTAGAAAATGAGTATTTTGCAGTTAAGCTCCGCCTTCTTGACTCACGACAAATAAAAAAATCATCACAATTGAGATAGGGCGGGTGGGCGGGGCTTATATTTTGCCTTCTTTTTTTCTTAATATACATAGCCATCTTTTACAACAAGAAACTTCGAAAATGATTAAAATGGTACATTTTTGCAAGGAAACATGGATTTTGCAATTATGGGGCGGAGTCTAATTGCCCAATCCATATTTCCTTACACAAATTTTCCATTTTAAGCATGTTTTAAGTTTCATGTCAAAAGAAGTCTACATATATTAAAACAAAAAGGCAAAATGTAGACCCGCCCACCCGCCCTATCTCAATTGTAATGATTTTTTTATTCGCCGTGGATCAAGAGGGCGGAGCCTAACTGCAAAATACTTATTTCTTTACAAGAAATTAAAAACATGTTTTTGAGTATCGTGTTGTTCAAAGAATACTATGTGTATTAAGAAAAAAAAGGTAAAATATAAACCCCGCCCGCCCACCCCATCTCAATTGTGGTGATTTTTTTATTCTTAGAAACTTAAAACATGTTTAAAATGGTAAATTCTTGTCGACAAATATGGATCTTGCAATTAGGCCCCGCCCCTCGATCTGACAACGAATGAAAAATTCATCACAATTGAGAATTGAGATTAGGGCGGGTATGGGTGGGGTCTAATATTTAGCTTTATTTTTTTCTTAATATACATAGTATTCTTTGAACAACAAGATACCCAAAAACATGTTTTTAATTTCTCGTAGAGAAATAAGGATTTTGCAGTTAAGCTCCGCCCTCTTGACTCACGACGAATGAAAAAAATCATTACAATTGCGATAGGGTGGGTGGGCGGGGCTACATTTTGCCTCTTTTTCTTAATATGTGTAGACTTATTTCGACAAGAAACTTAAAATATGTCTAAAATAGTACATTTTTGTAGTAATCAACTTAAATCCTCCACTTTTCCTCTACAACCCTTTTAAATACGGCAAAAATTGACATTGAAACATCAGCTCAAGTTTATAATATCAGTGGCGGCAAATTTAAAATGACACAAATTTCACTTGTTAAGTCTAAAAATAATAACCGAACGATTAATTTTTTAAATTATAACTGCAGAATGAATAAAAAAGTCAAATAATAGTATTAGAACTAAAAAGTAAAATAATTTTACGTGCTATATATGCAACCCATTATACACACAATTTTTATAACATTTATTTAATAAAACTTTCACAAGACAAAAATTGACACAACAACAATCAATCGTTAATAAAATATACAAACTACTGTTTTTACCCAGAAACTATTAATAAAATAGATTTCTGGTTGTAATTATACCCACTTTATGACACCTGATTAAAAGTAAAGTAGTAAAAGTTCACTTAAATCTAAAATTTACAGTAATGGCTTCCCTGACTTCCATAAATATCTAAAAATGTGAATATAGTCCACAACAACAAGATAAAAAATGTGAATGTACTCAATTAACCCTCACTTCTTCCAAATCTACTTTACTTAGTAGTACCTCAGACGCATGTCGTGCATTTATGTGTCGTTTCAAACACGATTTATACCTAGACTTGAAAGAACACGCTCTACATTCAAACCACTTAATATCTTTTTCGTCCACATGACGTGCATTAGTGTGATTTTTCAAATGTCCCTTCAGCTTAGTTTTATATGGACACATCGTACATTCATACCAGCTAGCGTTTTCACTTAAATGATTTAAATTCATGTGCGTTCTTAAATTACTGTGGTGTTTAGTCCTATATGGACACTTTTCACAAGTATGCCATTTGACATCTTGCTCATCTACATGTTGAGCAATAATGTGTTTATCCAGCGACGTTTTCTGCTTAGCTTTATACGGACACTTCGCACATTTAAAATACTTAACAATCTTTTTATCCAAATGCCGCACGTCAATGTGCAATTTTAAATCATAATTTCTTTTAGATTTGTATGAACACTTTTTACATTCGAACCACTTGATGTCTTTGTCGTTGGAATGCAGCTGATATATGTGAGTTTTCAAGCTACTTTTCCTCTTAGCTTTGTACGGGCACAAAGTGCACTGAAACCAATGTATTTCCTGCTCTTTTAAGTGTCGCGCGATGACGTGATCCTTCAAGCTCACTTTTTGTTTGGCTTTGTACGGGCACTGGTCACATTTGTACCACTTAATATCTTTTTCGTCCAGATGCCGGGACCTCATGTGGATGTTCAGCCGCCAGTTTTGTTTAGCTTTGTAGGAGCATTTCGTGCAATGATACCAACAAATCTCGTCGTCTTTCGAGTGTTTGGAGATTTTGTGTTGACTCAACGAAGACCGGTTCTTGTATTTACGGTCGCACTGGTGACACTTGTACCACGTTACGTTCGAAGTGGAGGCCTCCCCGTTCCGGGAACACGCTGATTTGTGTCGAAGCCATTTCATCAAAAAGTGGGTTTCAAAGGGGCACTTTTTGCACTCATACCTCTGGATTTTGTGCTCGTCGAGGGGCGAATTTTCGCTTTTAATGGTGTGTTTTTCAAGGTGCTGTTTCAACGAAAGGGCGAGTTCGGTTTGGAAGTGGCAGTCTTTGCAGAAGTAGAGTTCGATGTTGGCGGTTTCACAGTTAAAACGTTGCGACGATGAAGATAGTGGTTTGTGCGTTGCATGAAAATAGTGTGCTCGAGAATAGTCCATAATAAAGTGTTTTGTGCGAATTAATTCACTGCGGTTGCGGGAACAATGGCCACTAATTAAATTTTTTGAATTATTCACAACCTAACCTCAAAATTTTCGTTTCGGTTTCAAATCGGCGGGTTGCTTCAAAACTGCCTGAAATCACACGTGGGGGTTTATCACACGGTTGGACAATTTGTGCGCCCTTTGTACCTAAATTTGCGTAGGGAATCATCTTTTTGGGGAATGTAATGGAACAGGAAGGGTGGCGTGTAGGCAACCCACCGTACAGCTAACAGGCAATCAATTACTTTAATTAGGAGAGACCGGGCAAATAAGGAAGGTCACTGCGTAAGCGCGTGCTCAGCGGCGGCTCGTGAAGTTTAACCCAAGTGGGTTTTTTCAAAAATACAGATACAAAAAGTTAGGCAAGCTATTTGCGTTTTTAAAAAGAAAAAATGTTCCAAAAATACAAAAATTTCGACGAGTGCTAATCTGAAAATGTTCCTTCAGGACGCAAAGGAATTTTTAATGTGCAAGGTATAATACTTTATACTGGCAAAACGTCTTAAACTAAGAATATTATTGAAATCGTAATAACCCAATGGATTCTTTTCGGGAAAATGTTTTGGAAACACTGTGTTCTATTTTGTACGAATTTTTAAATGTTTTAGTGACAATTTTTGTGGTTGTTTTTGATACACTGTATGATATTAACAGTGAGAAAATAATTGAAAAATTAAAATAATCGAAAATTCGAAAAATCGAAAAATCGAGAAATCTAATAATCGAAAAATCGAAACCTTAAAAAATCGTAAAACGGAAACATTGAAAAATCGAAATATCGAAGAAGTGAAAATCTAAAAATGAAACATCAGAAAATCGAAAAAATGTAAAATTCAAAAATCTAAAATTTAAAAACCGAATAACGAAAAATCGAGAAATCGAAACTCCCAAATTTAAAAAATCGGATAACTGAAAAATCGAAACATCGAAAAACTGGAACATCGAAAAACCGAGAAATCGAAAAATCAAAAGATCAAGAAATCGTGGAGTCGAAAATTTAAAAATTGAACAATTTATAAATTGAGAAACTGACAATCAAAATATCGAAAAATCCAAATCTCGATAAATCGAGAAATCAAAAAACTTAAAAATTCGAAAAATTGAAAAAATGAGAGATTGAAAGATCAAAAGAACGAGAAATCGAAAAGTGATGAAGTCGAAAAATCTAAAAATGGAGAAATCGACAAACAAAAAGTTAAAAGTTGAAAAACTGGAAAAGCGGAAAAATCAAAAAACGAAAAATTGGAAAACTGGAAAAACTGAGAAACCGAAATAGGCCAAAATAAAAAATTGGAAAACTACCTAGTTACATTTTTCCTCTGTTCAGTTGAGATCCACCTTTCATTCGGACTAAATAAAATAAATCACGGAAATGGAGGCGGGGAGGGTGGGCGGGGTTTATTATATGTTCTTTGGTATAATGCCAATGGGAATTAAGAGTACGTAGGCTGCTAAAAAAAGCGGTAGTCGTAATTTTTTTGATATACTATTTGCTATAAGAGTTATTTCCTTTTGTAGAGTGGGAATGGGTAGGCTGTTAAAAAAAAAGCTCCAATCGTATTTTTTATTTCAGAAGAACAACAATGAGGAAACGGGTTGGTGGGTGGGGCTAACTTTAACTTTTTCGTACAGAGTATTTTATAAGCAAGCGCTAGCTCCGCCCATCCACCTAATTTCAGTGATTATTCAAATATCTTAATATGTGTAGTCATCGTTTCACGACAATAAACTTAAAACATGTTTAAATTTTTTTATGCTCCGCCCCTCGGTCTAACAACGAATGAAAAATTCATCACGATTAAGATCCAGATGGATGGGTGGGGCTTCTGTTGTGGTTTTCTTTTTTGATTATAACATTTAGTTTTCTTTGTATAACACGATTACTTAAGAACATATTTCATATTTCATGTGGTAATTTCTGGTAGAAAAATAAGGATTTTTCAATTAAGCTCCGCCCCTCGGCTTACGACGAATAAAAAAAATCATCTGAATTGAGATAGGGCGGGTGGGCGGGGCTTATATTTTGCCTTTTTTTTCTTATCATACATAGCTATCTTTTCACAACTAGAAACTTAAAACATGGTTAAAATGGTACATTTTTGCAACGAAATATGGATTTTGCAATGATGGGCGGAGCCTAGTTGCAAAATCGATACTTCGTTATGCAAATGTTAAGTTTTGTGTTGTGAAAAGAAGCCTACAACTATTAAAACAAGGAGGCAAAATGTAAACCCGCCCACCCACCCTCTCTCAATTGTAATGATCATTTTTATTAGCCGTGAAGCAAGAGGGCGGAGCTTAACTACAAAATACAAGAAATTGAAAACATGTTTTGGAATATCGTGTTGTTGAAAGAATACTATGTACTTATAGTAAGAGAAAAAGGCAAAATATAAACCCCGCCCACCCACCCCATCTCGATTGTGTTGATTTTTTTTTTTATTCTTAGAAACGTAAAAGACGATTAAAATGATAAATTTGTGTAAAGAAATATGGATTTTGCAATTAGGCTCCGCCGCTATGTCTGCCAACGAATGAAAACTTCATCACGATTAAGATCGAGATGGATGGGTGGGGCTTCTGTTGTGGTTTTCTTTTTTGATTAAAACATTTAGTTTTCTTTGTATAACACGATTACTTAAGAACATATTTCATATGGTATTTCTCGTAGAAAAAAAAGTAAGGATTTTACAATTAAGCTCCGCCCCTCGGGTTACGACGAATAAAAAAAAAATCATCAGAATTGAGATAAGACAGGTGGGCGGAGCATATATTTTGCCTTTTAATTTCTTAATATACGTAGGCATCTTTTCACAACTAGAAACTTAAAACATGGTTAAAATGGTACATTTTTGCAAGGAGATACGGATTTCGCAATTATGGGGCGAAGCAAAATCGATATTTCCTTATACAAATTTTCCATTTTAAACATGTTTTAAGATTTGTGTTGTGAAAAGAAGCCTACAACTATTAAAACAAGGAGGCAATATGTCCGCCCGCCCACCCGCCCTCTCTCATTTGTAATGATCTTTTTTTATTCGCCGTGAACCAAAGGGGTGGAGTTTAACTGCAAAATACTTATTTCTTTACAAAAACATGTTTTTGAGTATGGCGTTGTCCAAAGAATACTATAAATATTAAGAAAAAAGGGTAAAATATAAACCCCGCCCGCCCACCCCATCTCGATTGTGATGATTTTTTCTGCTTCACACATTTATTTTCTTTGTATAACACAATTAGTTAAGAACATATTTCACATGGTAAATTCTAATAGAAAAATGAGGATTTTTCAATTAAGCTCCGCCCCTCGGCTTACAACCAATAAAAAAAATCATCACAATTGAGACAGGGCGGGTGGGCGGGGCTTATATTTTCCTTTTTTTTCTTAATATACATATCCATCTTTTCATAGCAAGAAACTTAGAACATAATTAAAATGGTATATTTTTTTAACGAAATATGGATTTTGCAATTATGGGGCGTAGCCTAATTGCAAAATCGATATTTACTTATACAAGTTTTTCATTTTAAACATGTTTTAAGTTTCATGTTTTGCGGCTAAATCTTTGGCTTTAATTTTTTCTTAATATACACGATACTCAAAAATATATTTTTTATTTTTCGTAGAGAAATAAGGATTTAAGTTAAGCTCCGCCCTCTTGACCCACGACGATGTTTTAAGTTTCATGTTGTGAAAAGAATTCTACACAAATTAAAACAAAAAGGCAAAATATAAACCCGCCCACCCGCCCTATCTCAATTGTGATGATTTTTTTTATTCGCCATCAACCAAATAGGTGGAGCTTAACTGCAAAATACTTATTTCGGTACAGAAATTAAAAACATGTTTTTGAGTATCGTGTTGTTGAAAGAATACTATGTATATTAAGAAAAAAAGGTAAATATAAACCCCGCCCACCCACCCCATCTCGATTATAATGATTTTTTTATTCTTAGAAACTTAAAATACGTTTAAAATAGTAAATTTTTGTAAAGAAATATGGATTTTGCAATTAGGCTCCGCTCCTAGGTCTGTCAACGAATGAAAACTTCATAACAATTGAGAAATGAGATCGGGGCGGGTATCTTTGGCTTTATTTTTTCTTAATATACACAGTATTCTTCGAACAACACGATACTCAAAAACATATTTTTAATTTCTCGTAGAGAAATAAGGATTTTGCAGTTAAGCTCCGCCCCCTTGGCTCACGACGAATACAAAAAAATCATCACAATCGAGATAGGGCGGGTGGGCGGGGCTACATTTTGTTTTTTTTTTCTTAATATGTGTAGACTTATTTCGACAACAAAAACGGATGAGGTAAAGGACGCTTACCTTCGCTGTTAAGTTTGTTAATAAAGGCGATTAATAAACGAGAGGTTAATATTCGAGATTATTAATCGCCAATTAACAGTTGAGTAAGTTGCAATACTTTTCGGGTGATCATAATTTTATTAAATTCCTTAAAATTCAAAACATGAGTTATGCAACCAAACATACAAGCTAAAATTTTTATTAATACACATTATTACTAATATACACACAAAATTTGACAACAATCGGTCCGATAGTTTAGGTTATTTGTCTAATAAAAATCCACACAGACTAGCTTATGCTCGGGGAGTAAAGTTTCCTTTTTAAGTTATCCAATTCACTGTCGCCTTATCTGACGAGTCGCCACTGGCCTTCACGCGCATTCGCCATCATTGTGTATGCAACACACTATACACACACGATGTACCTTTTTCAATCACTGGATAAAACTCCTATTACTTTCTATTACTTTATTCGCGTAAATGGCGCGCCTTTATATGTTTTTTTAAATTCGACTTTTGCTTGGCTTTATGTGGACACTTGTTACACTTGTACCATTTAACGTCCTGTTCCTGCAAATGATGGGCATTTATGTGCTGCTTCAGTTGCCAGTTCCGTTTAGCTTTGTATGGACAATTTTTACACTCATACCATTTAATCTCCCGTTCGTCCAAATGGCACGCTTTTATGTGTATTTTCAAAACGCTGTTGGCTTTAGCTTTATATGAACACTTCTCGCAGTGATACCATTTAATATCCTGTTCACTGGAATGCCGAGCCACTATGTGTTGTTTCAAATTCCCTTTTTGTTTAGCTTTGTATGGGCACTTTTTGCATTCATACCATTTAATATCCTTTTCGTCCAAATGGTACGCATTAATGTGTGTGTTTAAAGACAGTTTGTGTTTACCTCTAAAGGGGCACTTGTCACATTTGTACCATTTAATGTTCCCTTCATCCAAATGGCGCAGTTTCACGTGCCGTTTTAAGTCGCTACTGGCTTTACTCCGGTATGGACACTTTTCACAATAGTACCACTTAATGTCTTGCTCGTCTACATGTCGCGCGATTATGTGCCGCTTCAAAGCCGAGTTACTTTTAGTTTTATAGGGACACTTTTTGCATTCGTACCACGAAATATTCTGGGTGTCCATATGCCGGAAATAAATGTGTCTTTCCAAGTGCTTTTTTCGTTTACACTTGTACGAACACTGTGTACAGTTGTACCAACACAACTCGTCGTCGCTCGAGTGCATTAGGATTTCGTGGGTCTTCATGTTACCTTTTTGCTTGAACATGCGTCCGCAGTGTTTGCAGTTGTACCATTTGACCACATTTTTCCGGGCGTCTATGGTGCAACTTAATACATGGGAATTTGCGCCACTAGTGAAACACGTAGTGGTGTGCTGGAGCCACTTGATCACAAAATGGGTCTCAAAGTTGCATTTTTCACAAATGTAGTTGTGGATGACGATTTCGTTTTCTTTGTGGTCTTTTTTGATGAGGCAGTGTTTAGCGACGTGTTGTTTGAAAAGTAGGGTTAGGTCGGTGCGGAATTCGCAGTCTTTGCAGTAGTAGCCTTCAATGGGGCTGTTTTCGCAGTTGAAAGGGTGTGGGAATGTACTTAGATGTGTGGAGAGTTCCATTGGGACCTTAATTTAGAAAAATGGTTTTAATATAGCTGGAGACAATTTTTGGTTTTTCTCACCTAGAATTGTGTCTTCTTATTTAAAATTTGAATAAAAGTCGTTTAAATTGTGTGAATTATCCCATTTTGTGTAAAATAAAAACCAATAAGAACACAATAAACGGACATAACCTCAATTCAGCCCAAATAGTGACATATGCAACACACAATACACTAAATTATAATACGTTTTTATTATTCAGATATATATTTTTCTATACCTAGTAAAGTAGTACAATGTGATAATTTAGTTTGTTAAGGATATTTTTCACACTTAAAGAATTTAATATCGTGCTCATTTAAATGGTACGTGTTTATGTGCTGCCTTAAATTCGAACTTTGTTTGGCTTTATAGGGGCACATGTTGCACTCGTACCATTTAATATCTTGCTCGTTTAAATGTCGCGCGATTATGTGACTTTGCAAATGACAGTTTCTTTTGGCTTTATATGGGCAACTTTGGCATTCGAACCATTTAATGTCGTTTTTATCCAAATGTCGCGCATTTATGTGGTTATTTAAATGACATTTTCTTTTGGCTTTGTAGGGGCAGTGTTGGCATTCGAACCATTTAATATCGTTGTCGCTGCAATGCCGCGCATAGATGTGTTTTTTTAAATCCGACTTTTCCCTAGTCCTGTGTGGACACTCTTCACATTCATACCATCTGACTTGAGTCCCGTCCAAGTGGTGCCTGTTAATGTGTTTGTTCAAGTTGGAGTTAAATTTGGTTTTGTAGGGACAATTGGGGCATTCGTGCCACTTTACGTCCTCCTCGTCCAAATGATGCACGTTGATGTGGCTGATTAAACACGACTTGTACTTGCTTTTATAGGGACACTTTTCACATTGATGCCACTCGATTTTCTTCTCATCCAGGTGTTTAATCCCGTGCTTTTTTAAATGCGAGTTGTACTTACTTTTGTAGGGACAAAGTGTGCATTCGTACCACTTGACCACATGTTCGTTCAAGTGTTGGTTGATGTGTCTTCGTATGTTCCTTTTCCTCTGACACTTGTAACAACACTTCAGACAATAATACCACGAAATTCCACTATCGTGCAAGTGTTCCAAACACCTCCGTTTACTCGAACTCGTTTTACATTTGCATTTGAACTCGCGACAATTATTCCAAGTGTAACTTTTGGCATACGTTGTTTGGGGGTTTTTCCGTCGCGGACAACTTTTGTAGTGTTGGAGCCACTTAAGCGAGAAATGTGTCTCAAAAGGGCAGTGTTCGCAAAGGTACTTTCGAACAATGTATTGTTCTTTTCTTTGTTCGCTGTGTTCTTCCATGTGCTGTTTGAAAAAGCGCGTCAGTCCGGTCTGGAAGTTGCATTCTCTGCACAAATAAATCTCCACGTTGCTGGTGACGCAGTTGAAGCGTCGCAACGCCGAACTGTGGCGTCTGATGTGATTCATCATCAGAAAAAATGATGTTGTAAAGAAGGGGCAAACCTTGCAGAAGTGGGCGCTTTTGAGGAAGGGTTTTTTGGTGGTGGCGTAGTTTGCAGAGTACTCCAGAGTTAACATCGTGGATGATTTAATTGTTACGAAATGTTTGATCAAGTCAACTGCAAAAGTCGCGATTTAAAAAAATCGGGGGCACCACGTACGCGAAAATTTACCTGTACGTGAGTAACTAGCGCGTAAAACGCTTTCCTTTTAGCCAGTGGAGCATTCTGTTGGTTGCTAGAGGTGGTCCGAACTGGAATTAAGTGAAAATAGCACAGTTAGAATACATTGTTGAAAATCGAATTGTTATTGAGAACAGGATTGCACTATTCTACATTTCACTTAACTAGCGGTTGTACGCAGTTACTTTAACTGTAAACAGTTATTTTTCCTCACATCTAGATAGTGTCTAGGATGTGAGAAAAAAATTAAACCGGAAAAACTTTCTCCGACGTTAATAGGTTACATAACCTGAAAACGTCAACAATTAAACAACAATAAAGCGCTTGTCAAAGTAGGCAACCAACATTACGATTTACAGTATTAAAACCGGTAATGAAACACCTATTTTTGAAGTTTCTCACCTAATGTTTCTGGGGTTCGTTTTTAATATAACCTCACTATTAACTGGGTTCACCAGCCACTAAAGGGTCAATATTTAAGAATTGTGCTTTGGGTCTGGGGTCTGGTGGCACTAAAATTGGTTAGTTTTCTGGGCGTTTCATGACCCCTAGAGCACGAAAAAATAGGTCCGCCGTCTGCGCGTCTACGGTCTGGTCTCTGCCAGTTCTCGTCTGTATCGATTTTTATTAGATGGTTAAGGTTTCAAATTATTAGACCGATTGTTGTAAAGTTTTGTGTGTTTGACGTTTTAGGAACATCATGTAATGGTAAAACGCTAACCAAAATTGTCAGAAGTCGATTTTTCAACTTTTGAGTTTCTCAATTCTTCGATTTTTCCATTTTGAGTAATTAGTTTCTCAATTTTTTTTTTTAGAGTTTTCAGCTTTTGGATTTTTCAAGTTGTTTCATCAATTTTCCGATTTTGTCAGTTATAATAATGTTTATTACGGATATACCAATACATTTGCTAAAGAGAGAGAATATAAATACATATAAACAAAAGAATATGTTACAAATTCAGTTCTTTTCGACATTCAGTCCTAAAACTACTTGGAAAACAATTAAAAATATTTATGCTAGGATGCTTATTTACTGTTAGTTTAATTCGTGTAATGGGCGAATTTTGCCCATAGTTTGTTCGGTGAAAATATATTTTGAAAAGAGGCGAGTTTCTAGATAGAACTACAGGCACAGCGAGATGAAAAAGTTCTAAGATAGGCGTACATTTTAAAAAACTATTGATAACTTTATAACAAAAATAAATGTCAAAGAACATGCGTCGACTACAAAGCAGCGGTAAACCAAAATAGGAACACAGAGTTTTGTATTGATCCTGAACATAACAAACGCGATTCTTAAAACAAAGAAATTTGATGAATTTCCGTTGTATTTTTTCGATGCGATCCGCATAAAATTTGTACCTTGGGGACCAAATAACAGTCCCATATTCCAGTATTGACCTCACAAAGGCGCCGTACAAAACTGTAAGGGCTCTAGTTATTGCAATTTTCAGTTTTATTTTGAATTTTTCAATTTTACGATTTGCAATTTTTCGATTTTTTTGTTTATCGTTTTTTAATTTTCGTTCTTCAATTTTTGATTTGCAATTTTTTTAGTTTTCAAAAACTTTTCGATTTTTTAACTTTTGGATTTTTCGATCTCTCGATTTTTTAATTTCTCAACTTCTCGACTTTAAGTTTCTTAATTTTTGATTTATTGATTTTTCGACTTAGATTTATCAATTTTGATTTTTTTACTTTTTGTTTTATCAATTTTCCGGCTCCTCAATTGTTCCCATTTTCGATTTTTGTTTTGAATTTTTCAATTTTACACTTTTCCAAGTTTTCAATTTTTCGACTTTGTCAGTTGTCCATTTTTTTTCAGGTTTTTGTTTGTTTGACTTTTCTCTTTCAACTTTAGAATTTTTCAATTTTTTAGGTATTTCAACATTAAATTTTTCAGATTTTCAATTTTTCGATTTTTATTGTTTAAATTTTCGAATTTTCCAGTTTTTCAAATTTTCCATTTATTGATTTACAGTTTTTCGAGTTTTCAATTTTCAAGTTTTTCAACTTTTCGACTCTTCAGTTTCCCATTTTTTAATTTTTTAACTTAGATTTTTCAATTTTCGATTTTTGTTTTCAATTTTACACTTTTGTTTCTTTCATTTTTTGATCTTTCAACTGTAGAATTTTTCAATTTTTCGAATTTTGAACTTTTGGAATTTTTCAATTTCTCGTGTTTAAATTTTCAATTTTTCCATTTTTTGATTTGCAATTTTTCGAGTTTTCAGTTTTTAAACTTTTTTTCGTTTTTTAGTTTTTTAGTTCTTTAATTTTTCGAATTTTCAACTTTCAGATTTTTCAATTCTTGAATTTTCCTCTTCGGTTCTTGTTTGTGAATTTTCGATTTTCTCACTTTTGGATTTTTCGATTTTCGACTTTTTAATGTTCGCTTCATTCAAATTATTCCAATTTTGGTTTTCTCAATTTTACAATTTTCCAAATTTTCAATTTTTCGGTATTTCAATATTAAATTTTTCAATTTTTCGTTTCATCAATTTTCCGATTTTTTAGTTATTCCAATTTTGATTTTTATGTTGAATTTTTCAATTTTTCAATTTTTAATCCTTCAATTTTCGAATTTTTCGGTATTTCAAATTTTCCATTTTTCGATTCTTCAATTTCTCATTTTTTGATTTTTTAATTTTTCAACTTACGTTTTTCATTTTTTTTCAGTGATTTCATGTTTCGATTTGAAATATTTCGAATTTTCAATTTTTTCAATTTTTTAGATTTTTATTTTTTTAATTTTTCGATGTTTCAGTTTTTAAATTTTTCAATTCTTCGATTTTCCTCTTCGATTCTTCACCTTCTGAATTTTTCAATTTTCGATTTTTTAATTTTGGTTTTATCAATTTTCCAATTTTTCAATTATTCCAATTTTGCTTTTTTATTTCAAATTTATCAGTTTTACACTTTTTCAAGTTTTCAATTTTTCGATTTTGCGACTTTCGAATTTGTCAGTTTTTCCATTTTTCAAGTTTTTGTTTGTTTCATTTTTCTCATTCGACTTAAGAATTTTTCAATTTTTCGATTTGTAATTTTTCTATTTTTTAATTTCTCGTTTTTAAATTTTCGTTCTTCAATTTTGATTCGTAATTTTTTTAGTTTTCAAAATAAAATTTTACAATTTTTCGATTTTTAACTTTTGAATTTTTTAATTTTTCGATTTTTAATTTTTCAGTTTTTCAACTTTTTGATTGTTAATGTGTCAATTTTCGAATTTCCACTGTTTCAATTTTTTTATTTTTCGATATGCAATTTTTCGAATTTTCAATTTTCAAGTTTTTCAATTTTTCGATTCTAGAGTTTCTCAATTTTTGATTTTTTCATTTTTTGACTTAGATTTTCAATTTTCGATTTCTTTATTTTTTGTTTCATCGATTTTCCGGTTTTTCAATTATCCTAATTTTCGATTTTTATTTTGAATTTCTCAATTTTACAGTTTTTCGGTTTTCTTATTTTTAAATTTTTTAATGTTACCATTTTTCAGCCTTTTTGTTTTTTCATTTTTTGATCTTTCAACTTTCCAATTTTACAGTTTTTCGATTTTTTAACTTTTGGATATTTCAAACTTTCGATTTTTTTGTTTTTCAATTTCTCGACTTTTAATTTTTCAATTTTTCAACTTTTCCGATTTTTAATGTTTCAGTTTTCGAATTTTCCGGTGTTCCAATTTTTCCATTTTTTGATTTGCAATTTTTCAAGTTTTTAGTTTTCAATTTTAGATTTTTTAATTTTTTGTTTTATCAATTTTCCGATTTTTCAATTACATACCTATTCCAATTCTCGATTTTTTTTAAATTTTAGAATTTACTCTTACGATTTGTAATTTTTCAATTTTCGACTTTTTTTTAATTTTTCAATTTTTTCTATTTTTTAACATTTAGATTTTTCAACTTTACGATTTTTAATTCAATTATCGAATTTTCCTGTGTTGCAATGATTTTTCGGATTTTCAGTTTTAAAATTTTATCCGCTTTTTAGTTTTTATTTCTTTAAATTTTGGGTTTTTCAACTTTTGGATTTTTCAGTTCTTCGATTTTCCTCTCGATTCTTCAATTTTCCAATTTTCGATTTTTGATTTTTCAGTTTTTGGATTATTCAATTTTCGATTTTTTAATTTTCGTTTTATCAATTTTCCCATTTTTCAATTATTCCAATTTTGGTTTTTTACTTTGAATTTTTCAATTTTACACTTTTCCAGTTTTCAATTTTTCAACTTTCGAATTTGACAGTTTTTCCATTTCAAGTTTAGAATTTTTCAATTTTTCAGTATTTTAATTCTAATTTTTCAATTTTTAGATTTTTTAATTTTTCGTTTCATCAATTTTCCGTTTTTTTAGTTATTACAATTTTGTATTTTTATTTTGAATTTTTCAATTTTACAGTTTTTCGGTTTTCTCACTTTTGAATTTTTTAATTTACGCATTTTTCGTTTTTTTTTTAATTTTTCGTTCTTGACTTTTGATTAGCAATTTATCGAGTTTTCGATTTTCAATTTTACAGTTTGTCAATTTTTTAACTTTTGAATGTTTCAATCTTTCGATTTGTCAATTTCTCGACGTTTAATTTTTCAATTCTTCAACTTTTCGATTTTTAATGTTTCAATTTTCGAATTTTCCGTTGTTTCAATAATTCCATTTTTCGATTTGCAATTTTTCGAGTTTTCAGTTTTAAAGTTTTTTTTCCATTTTTTTTAGTTTTTCAATTCTTTAATTTTTCAACTTTTGGATTTTTCAATTCTTCGATTTTCCTCTTCGATTCATCAGTTTTTCAAATCTGGATTTTTACATATTTCAGCTTTTGGATTTTTCAAATTTCTATTTTTTAATTTTAGAATTTTTCTATTTTTCGAATTGTTAATTATTTTTTTGATTTGCAATTTTTCGACTTTTCAAATATAGGATTTTTCACTTCTTCAATTTTCCTCTTCGATTCTTCAATTTCTCAATTTTCGATTTTTTAACTTTTGGATTTTTCAATTTTCGATATTTTAATGTTCGTTTCATCAATTTCCAATTTTGATTTTCCCAATTTACACTTTTCCAAGTTTTCAGTTTTTCATCTTTCAAATTTGTCAGTTTTTCCATTTTTCAAGTTTTTCTTTGTTTTACTTTTCTCTTTCAACTTTAGAATTTTTCAATTTTTTCGGTATTTCAGTATTAAATTTTTCAATTTTTCGTTTATCAATTTTCCGATTTTTTGGTTATTCCAATTTTCAATTTTTATTTTGAATTTTTAAGTTTTTCAATTTTTCGATTTTTATGTTTCAATTTTCCGGTGTTTGAAATTTCCCATTTTTCGATTTACAATTTTTCGAGTTTTCAGTTTTAAAGTTTTTCCACTTTTCGACTCTTCAGTTTCCGATTTTTTAATTTTTCAACTTGAATTTTCAATTCTCGAATTTTGTTTTCAATTTTTCAATTTAACACTTTTGTTTTTTTCATTTTTTGATCTTTCAACTTTGGAATTTTTAAATTTTTCGAACTTTTAATTATTCAATTTCTCGACTTTAAATTTTCAATTTTCCATTTTAAGATATGCGTTTTTCGAGTTTTCAGTTTTCAAGTTTTCTTTCCATTTTTTAGTTTTTTATTTCTTTAATTTTTCGAATTTTCAATTTTCGGATTTTTCAATTCTTGAATTCTTCAGTTTGTCAATTTTCTATTTTTTAGTGTTGGTTTCATCAATTTTCCGATTTTTCAATTATTCCAATTTTGATTTTCTGAATTTTACACTTTTCCAAGTTTTCAGTTTTCGAATTTGTCAATTTTTCCATTTTTCAAGATTTTGTTTGTTTGACTTTTCTCTTTCGACTTTGATATTTTTCAATTTTTTGGTATTTCAATATTAAATTTTTCAATTTTTCGTTTCATCAAATCATTCCGATTTTTTAGTTATTCCAATTTTCCATTTTTTGATTTACAAATTTTGAAGTTTTTGATTTTTCTACTTAGGTTTCTTAGGTTTTTCAATTTTCAATTTTTTATTTTTTGTTTTATCAATTTTCCGATTTTTCATTTTTTTGAATTTTCAGTTTTCCAATTTTCGATTTTTGATTTGTCAGTTTTTGGATGATTCAATTTTCGATTTTTTAATTTTCGTTTTATCAATTTTCCCATTTTTCTTTTATTCCAATTTTGGTTTTTTATTTTGAATTTCTCAGTTTTACACTTTTCCAAGTTTTCAATATTTCGACTTTCAAATTTGTCACTTTTTCCATTTTTTCCAAGTTTTTGTTTGTTTGATTTTTCCCTTTCAAGTTTAGAATTTTTCAATTTTTCGGTTTTTTAATTCTAATTTTTCAATTTTTAGATTTTTTAATTTTTCTTTTCATCAATATTCCGTTTTTTTAGTTATTACAATTTTGTATTTTTATTTTGAATTTTTCAATTTTACAGTTTTTCGGTTTTCTCACTTTTGAATTTTTTAATTTATGCATTTTATGTTTTTTTTTTTTAATTTTTCGTTCTTCACTTTTGATTAGCAATTTATCGAGTTTTCGATCTTCAACTTTACAGTTTGTCAATTTTTTAACTTTTGAATGTTTCAATCTTTCGATTTTTTTATTTGTCAATTTCTCGACGTTTAATTTTTCAATTCTTCAACTTTTCGATTTTTAATGTTTCAATTTTCGAATTTTCCGTTGTTTCAATAATTCCATTTTTCGATTTGCAATTTTTCGAGTTTTCAGTTTTGAAGTTTTTTTCCATTTTTTTTAGTTTTTCAATTCTTTAATTTTTCGATTTTTCAACTTTTGGATTTTTCAATTCTTCGATTTTCCTCTTCGATTCTTCAGTTTTTCAAATTTGGATTTTTAAATATTTCAGCTTTTGGATTTTTCAAATTTCTTTTTTTTAATTTTTCGTTTCATTAATTTTCCGATTTTTCAGTTATTCCAATTTTCTGTTTTAATTTTGAATTTATCAATTTTACAGTTTTTCAGTTTTCTCACTTTTAAATTTTTTAATTTGTCCATTTTTCAGCATTTTGTTTTTTTCATTTTTCGATTTTTGGATTTGTCGTTTTTTTTTTGTTTTTTCAATTTTCGTTCTTCAATTTTGATTAGCAATTTTTCCAGTGTTTGATCTTCAATTTTACAGTTTATTAATTTTTTAACTTTTGGATCTTTCAATTTGTCGATTTCTTTATTTTTCAATTTTTCACCTTTTCGATTTTTAATGCTTCAATTTTCGAATTTTCCAGTGTTTCAATTCTCCCATTTCTTAATTTACAATTTTTCGAGTTTTCGATTTTCAAATTTTTCAATTTTTCGATTCTTCAGTTTCTCAATTTTTGATTTTTTGATGTTTCAATTTTCAATTTTCTAATTTCCTTTTCCTATTCTTAAGTTTATCAATTTTCAATTTTTCATTCCATCGATTTTCCAGTTTTTAATTATTCCAATTATGGACCGTTATTTTGAATTTCTCAGTGTTACACTTTTTAGATTTGTAATTTTTCGAGTTTTCAGTTTTCCGATTTTTCAACTATTCCAATTTTTGTATTTTTTTTTGAATTTTCAATTTTACACTTACCATTTGCAATTTTTTGGGTTTTCATTTTTTCGATTTTTCAACTTCTGAATTTTTCAATTTTTTCCATTTTCAGGTTTTTGTTTCTTTTATTTTTTGATCTTTCAACTTTGGAATTTTTAAATTTTTCTACCTTTTAATATTTTGATTTTTCAACTTTTTGATTTTTAATGTTTCAATTTTCGAATTTTCCAATGTTTCAGTTATTCTATTTTTCAATTTGCAATTTTGGAGTTTTTGAGTTTTAAAGTTTTTTCCATTTTTTGTTTTTTATTTTTTTAATTTTAGATTTTTCAACCTTTAAATTCTTCAGTTCTTCGATTTTCCTCTTCGTTTCTTCAATTTCTCAACATTCGTTTATCAATTTTTCGATTTTTCAATTTTCCAATTTTGATTTTTATTTTGGACTTTTCAAATATTTGTTTGTTTGATTTATTTCTTTCAGCTTTAGAATTTTTCGGTATTTTCATTTTTAATTTTCCAATTTTTCGATTTTTTAATTTTTCGTTTCATCAATTTTCCGATTTTTTAGTTATTTTTCAATTTTTCGATTTTTTAACTTTTGGAACATTCAATCTTGCAACTTTTTAATTTTTCAACTTCTCGACTTTTAATTTTTCAATTTTTCAACTTTATGATTTTTAATGTACCAATTTTGCAGTTTTCTGATGATCCAGTTATTCAATTTCTCGATGTGCAATTTTAGAGTTTTCAAATTTATCAATTGTTTTTTCTTAATTTCTTTGTTTCTTTCATATTTCAATTTTTCAACTTTTGTGTTTTTCAGTTCTTCAGTTTTCATTCCATCAATTTTCCAGTTTTTCAATTATTCCAATTTTTTATTATTTCGAATTTTTCAGTTTTTTCATTTTACACGTTTTTGTTTCTTTCAACTTTTGAATTTTAGATTTTTGAACTGTAAGCTTTTTTGTTTCTTTTATTTTTCGATCATTCAACTATTGAAATTTTCAATTTTTCGATTTTTGGTTTATTATTTCTTAGTTTTTCTTTCTTCAATTTTTTTTTTACTTTTCAGTCCCAAATTTTTCAATTTCTCGATTTTGAATATTTTAATTTTCGAATTTTACCAGTTTCAGTTATTCCATTTTTCGACTTTACACTTTTTCAATTTTCTCATTCTTTTAATTTTTGTTTCTTTAATTTTTCAATGTTTCAACTTCTGGTTTTTTTAAATTTCGCTATTTCATCAATTTTCCAATTTTTAAATTATTCGTTTTTTAATTTTTCGTCCCTCAATTTATTTAGTTTTCAATATTAAATTTTTCGACTTTCCGATTTTCTATATTATGGATTTTTGAATCTTTCAGTTTTTTGATGTTTCAATATTACAATTTTAGGTTTTAGAGTTTTCCAGTTTAACTATAACTTTTCGATTTCTCGATAGTACGATTTTTCATTTTTTCCATCTTTAATTGTTCACGTTTTCGATTTTTAATTTTTCAATTTTTCAACTTTGTCAAATTTTCAATTCAACTGAAATTTTGAAAAATTGCAAATTAGAAGGTTTTGGATTATTTTTCTTGATAGACGTTACATTTCACAGAAAGAGTAAAAATCGAAAATTTGCAAAATTGTAAAACTGAAAAACTAAAAATCGAAAAATTGAAAAATTAAAAACCGAGAAACGAAAAATCTAAAAATCAAAAGCGTGTCAAAAAAATCCAAAATTTAATCATACAAAAAGTGAAACATGAAACAATGCAAAAGAAAAAAATACACACATATTCTATAAAAATATTTCGTTTATTTCATTTGCCAGTTAATTTTTTTCATTTAAAACTTTTTCAGTATTTTTTTTATTTAAATGTAGCGCGCTTATGTGCCTTTTTAAATGACTATTCCTCTTAGCTTTATATGGACAACTTTGGCATTCAAACCATTTAATGTCCCTTTTATCCAAATGAAGCGCATTTACGTGTTCATCTAAATGACACTTCCTTTTAGCTTTATACGAACACTTCTGGCATTTAAACCATTTAATATCGTCTTCACTCAAATGCCGCACATAAATGTGTTTTTGTAAAGCCGACTTGTGTTTAGTTCTGTGTGGACACTCTTCACATTCGTACCATTTAATTTGCGACTCGTCTAAATGGTGCGCATTTACGTGCCTGTTTAAATTGGAGTGACATAACGATTTGTACGGACAATTTGCACACATATGCCATTTAACGTTCTGGTTATCTAAATGGTGCACACTTACGTGCATATTTAAACACGATTTGTATTTGGTTTTAAACCGGCATTTTTCGCACCGATGCCATTCAATCTCGTGTTCGTCCAAGTGTCTTTTCGAGTGCACTTTCAAGTGAGAGTTGTACTTAGTTTTGTATGGGCAACTGGTGCATTGGTACCATTTAGCCACACTTTCGTTCCAATGTTGGGTTATGTGTCTTCTTATGTATCTTTTTCGTTGACATTTGTAGGAACATTTCAAACAGTGGTACCAACATACTTTGCTATCGCGCACGTGTTCCAAACATCGACGTCCACCCGAACTATATTTACACTTGCATTTATCGTTATCCTCATTTTTTGCTTGACTCATTTGAGGATTTTTACTTCCTAGACAAGTTTTGGAATGTTGGAACCATTTCAGTGAGAAATGTGTTTCAAAGGGGCAACGTTCACAAAAATACTTTTGAATGATGTATTGGTCTTTTTTTTGTCGACTGTGTTCTTCCATGTGTTGTTTAAAAAAGCGCGTCAGTCCGGTTTGGAAATTGCAGTCTTTACACAAATAAATTTCTACGTTGCTGTTTGCACAATTGAAGTGTTGCGAGGGTGAGCTGTGGCGTCTGATGTGGTTCACCATCAGGAAAAACGATGTGGTGAAAAAGGGGCAAGTCTTGCAAAAATGGGCACCTTTGGGGGAAGGTTTCTTGTTTGTGGAACATTCTGCAGATGACTCCAGAGTTAACATTGTGGATTGCTTAAATTCAGTTATTGTAGATTTATGTACCAGGAATTAGGTCTGTACTCACCTGATGAAATAATAATGAAACTAAACCAGTAACTTGTTTCAAAATCTAAAACATTTTTAGGTTATATAACCTCAAAACGTCAACAATGAAGGTAGACAACCAACAATTACTCACTGTGATAACTGATGAAGCTTATTGGAAAATATACCGAAATAAAAAAAACAAAAACACGTTTTCATTCAATATCGGTACTCACGTAATGCTATAATCATGAAACTAAACCTCCAAAATTGTTTCAAAATCTAAAACATTTTTAACTTTCATAACCTCAAAACGTGAACAATGAAGGTAGGCAACCAACAATTACTTACTTTTGTGATGACAAAAACCTACGTTTAGAAAGTAAACCGAAATAAAAAAAACACGTTTTCATACATATATAGCATTTAATGTATTATTTTTTTAAATGAACGTTTCTTTTAGCTCTGTAATTCATACCATCTGATATCATTTTCATCCATTTATGTGTTTTCTTAGAGAATAACTGTCCTTAGCTTTATGGGGCAACGGTTACATTCGATTTTTCAGTTTTTCAATTTTTGATTTTTTAGATTTTTCAGCTTTTGGATTTTTCAATTTTCCATTTTTGGTTTTTTATTCTGAATTTCTCAATTTTACGTTTTTCCCAAATTTTCAATTTTTCAAGTTTTTGTTTGTTTGATTTTTCCCTTTCAACTTTAGAATTTCTCAATTTTTTGGCATTTTAATTCATCAACAATTTTCAGATTTTTTAGTTATTCGAATTTTCGATTTTTATTTTAAATTTTTCAATTTTATAGTTTTTCGATTTTCCCACTTTCTAATTTTTTTATTTCTCCATTTTCAGCTTTTCTGTTAGTTTCTTGTTTTTTTAATTTTTCGTTCTTTTTATTGTAACTAGCAATTTTATGAATTTCCAATTTTAGTTTTTAGATCTTGCAATCTTGCGATTTTTTATTTTTCAATTTTTCGACTCTTAATTTTTCAATTTTTCAATATTTTGATTTTTAATGTATCAACTTTCGAATTTTTCGATGGTTCAATTATTTATTCAATTTCCCGATTTGCAATTTTCAATTTTCAAGTTTTTCAATTGTTCCATTTTTTAGATTTTTATTTCTTTAATATTTCTATTTTTCAAATTTTGCATTTTTTCAGTTTCTCAATTTTTCTTTCCTATTCTTCAGTTTATGAATTTTTAATTTTTCATTGCATAAATTTTTCAGTTTTTCAGTTATTCCAATCTTGGATTGTTATTTTGAATTTTCAGTTTTACACTTTCTGGATTGGTAATTTTTCGAGTTTTCAATTTTTCGATTTTGTGATTTCCGAATTTTTCAGTTTTTCCATTTTACAAGTTTTTGTTTCTCCTTTTTTAATTTTGGTTTCTTCAATTTTTTTTTCTTCTCAGTCCCAATTTTTTTAATTTTTCGATTTTTGATTACAAATTTTTAATTTTTTAATTTCTCGATTTTTAAGATTTCAATTTTCAAATGTTCCAATTAATCAATGATTCCATTTTTCCATTTACAATTTTTCGAGTTTTCACTTTTAAAGTTTTTTCCATTTTCTAGTTTTTTTATTTTTTTAATTTTTCGATTTTTCAACTTTTGGAGTTTTCAGTTCTTAGATTTTCCCCTTTGTTTCTTTAATTTCTAAATTTTTGATTTTTCAGCTTTTCCAATTTTCGATTTCTTAATTTTGTTTTGACCATTTTCCGATTTTTCAATTATTCCAATTTTGGTTTTTTATTTTGAATTCCTCAATTTTACACTTTTCCGAGGTTTCAATTTTTCAATTTTTTGACTTTCGAATTTGTCACTTTTTCCATTTTTTTCCAAGTTTTTGTTTGTTTGATTTTTCTCTTCCAACCTTAGAATTGTTCAATTTTTCGGTATTTTAATTTTAGATTTTTCAATTTTTCGATTTTTTAATATGACGTTTCATCAATTTTCCGATTTCTTAGTTATTCCAATTTTCGATTTTTATGTTGAATTTCTCAATTTTACAATTCTTGTTTTTTTAATTTTTCGTTTTTAAATTTTAATTAGCAATTTTATTTTTACAGTTTTTCGATTTTTTAATTTTTGAATATTGCAATCCTGCGATTTTTTAATTTTTCAATTTTTCGACTCTTAATTTTTCAATTTTTCAATTTTATGATTTTTATTGTATCAATTTTCGAATTTTTCGATGTTTCAGTTATTCAATTTCTCGATTTGCAATTTTCGAATTTTCAGTTTTAAAATTTAAAAATTTATGAATTTTTCCATTTTTTAGTTTTTTGTTTCTTTAATTTTTCGTTTTTTCAATTTCGGCATTTTTTCAGTACGTCAATTTTCCTTTCCTATTCTGCAGTTTATCAATTTTTAATTTTTCATTCCATCAATTTTCCAGTTTTTCAATTTTTTCAATCTTGGATTGTTATTCAGAATTTCGCATTTTGCATTTTTGGATTTGTAACTTTTCGAGTTTTCAATTTTTCGATTTTTCAACTTTGGGGTTTTTCAGTTTTTCGAATTTTGGTTTTTTATTTCGAATTTCTTTGACACTTTTCCAAATTTTCAAAGTTTTTGTTTGTTCAACTTTGGAATTTTTCAATTTTTCGATATTTTAATTTTAGATTTTTCAATTTTTTAATTTTACGTTTCATGAATTTTCTGATTTTTTAGTTATTCCAATTTTAAGATTTTTATTTTGAATTTTTCAATTTTATAGTTTTTCGTTTTCTTTTTCTTTCGAATTTTTTAATTTTTCTATTTTTCAATATTTTAATTACTCCGATTTTCGATTTTTATTTTGAATTTTTCAATTTTACAATTTTTGAATTTTCCCCGCTGTCGAGTTTTTTAATTTTTCCATTTCTCAGCTTTTCTGTTAGTTTTCAGATTTTTTAATTTTTGGATCTTGTAATTTTAAAGTTTATCAATTTTTTAGATTTTTAGTTTTTTATTTCTTTAATTTTTCGATTTTTCAATTTCCACATTTTTTCAGTTCTTCAATTTCCCTTTCCTATTCTTCAGTTTATCAATTTTTTATTTTTCATTCCATCAAATTTCCTGTTGTTCAATTTTTCCAATCTTGGAATGTTATTCCGAATTTCTCAGTTTTACACTTTTGGATGTGTAACTTTTTGAGTTTTCAATTTTTCGATTTTGCGACTTTCGAATTTTTCAGTTTTTCCGTTTTACAAGTTTTTCTTTCTTTCATTTTTCGATCTTTCAACTTTGAAATTTTTAAATTTGACGATTTTTGAACTTTTGGAATTTTCAATTTTTCGATTTTTGGTTTCTTGTTTTTTAATTCTCAATCTCTCTAATTTTTAATTTTTCAATTTCTGGATTTTTAATGTTTCAATTTTCGAATTTTCCGATGTTCAATGATTCCATTTTTCCATTTGCAACTTTTTCATTTTTCAGTTTTTTTATTCCGATTTTTCAGCTTTTGAATTTTTGAGTTTTTCGATTTTCCTCTTTAATAATAATAATAATAATAATGTTTATTAACGGATATACCTTTACATAGAATTATAAACATACATTGTTTCATTAGTTTCTAAATTTTTGAATTTTCGATTTTTCAGCTTTTGGATTTTCCAATTTTCGATTTCTTAATTTTGTTTTATCAATTCTCCCATCTTTCAATTATTCCAATTTTGGTTTTTTATTTTGAATTTCTCAATTTTATACTTTTCCAAGTTTTCAATTTTTTTGTTTTTCGACTTTCGAATTTGTCATTTTTTCCAAGTTTTTGTTTGTATGATTTTTCTATTTCAACTTTAGAATTTATTCAATTTTTCGATATTTTAATTTTAGATTTTTCAATTTTTCGAATTTTTAATTTTACGTTTCATCAATTTTCCGATTTCTTACTTATTCCAATTTTTATTTTGAATTTTTCAATTTAGCAGTTTTTCGGTTTTTCACTTTCGAATTTTTTAATTTTTCCATTTTTCGAATTTTCTGATGTTGAATGACTCCATTTTTCCATTTCCAATTTTTCGAGTTTTCAGTTTTACAGTTTTTTCCATTTTTAAGTTCTTTTTATTTCTTCATTGTTTCGATTTTTCAACTTTTGTATTTTTCAGTTCTTCGATTTTTCTCTTTGTTTCTTTAATTTCAAAATTTTTGATTTTTCGATTTCTCAGCTTTTGGATTTTCCAATTTCCAATTTCTTAACTTTGTTTTATCAATTTTCCAGTTTTCCATTTATGTATTCCAATCTTGAATTGTTATTTTGAATTTCTCAGTTTTCCATTTTTTGGATTTATAATTATTATCCATTTTACAAGTTTTTGTTTCTTTCATTTTTCGATCTTTCAACTTTGGAATTTTTCAATTTTACGATTTTTGAACTTTTGCAATTTTCAGTTGTTCGAATTTATAATTTTTCAATTTTTCAGCTTTTTTGTTTCTTTTATTTTTCGATCATTCAACTTTTGAAATTTTCAATTTTTCGAATTTTGGTTTTTCGTTTTATAATTTTTCTTTCTTCAATTTTTTTAGTTTTCGGTCTCAATTTTTTCAGTTTTTCGATTTTTGATTTTTCAATTTCTTGAATTCTTAATTTTTCAATTTCTCGATTTTTAATATTTCAATTTTCGAATTTTCCAATGTTTCAGTTTGGAAATTGCAGTCTTCACACAAATAAATTTCTACGTTGCTCGAAACACTGAAACAAAAATTTGAGAAAATATAGAAATTGAAAAATCAAAAAACTGAGAAAACAGAAAATTGCAAAATTGTAAAAGTGACGAAAAGAAAAATTGAAACATTGAAAAATTTGGAGTAGAAAATTGCAACTCGAAAAATTGAAGAATTCAGAAACTGAAAAAACAGCGTATTAAAAATCCGGAAACTAAAACCAGAAAAATTGAAAAAACGAAATATTAAAACATTGTAAATCAAAAAATCGCGAAACTATACAATCAAAAAGTCAAAAAATTGAAAAAAAAATGTCAACATTGCAAAATTTAAAAAATCGAAAAAATTGAAAAATCGTAAAACTAAAGAAACAAAAATTTAAAAAATTGTCAAACTGAGACAGTAAACTGGAAAATCGAAAAATTGAAAAATTTGAAATTGCAAATCGATAATTTAAAACATAAAATTGAAAAATGGAAAATACGCCAAGTTCAAAACAACTCGAAAAAATGAAAAAATTAAACATTTAAACAAAAATTTGAAAATCAAAAAATTGTTTAACACTGAAACACTAAAAAAAAAAAATTTTAGAGAAATCTAAAAATTGCAAATCGAAAAATAGAAGAAACCAAAAGCTGAGAAATCGAAATATTAAAATATGCATCTAAAACTAAAAATTGTAAAATCGAAAAACTGCAAAATTGTAAGTTTAAGAAGTCAAAAATCTGAAAATGGCAAAATCGGAGAATTAAAAAAATGCAAAACTGAAGTTATGGAAAATTGACAAATTTGAAATTAAAAACTAGAAAATTGCAAATAGAAAAAATGTAAACTGAAACATTGAAACAAAAATTTGACATAACAAAAAAAATTGAAAAATGAAAAAATGAAAATTGGAAAATTTAACTAGAAAATTGCCAATCAAGAAACGAAAAATTAAAAAATTGTAAGCCAAAAAAAAAAATCGCGAAACTACAATTAAAAAGTAAAAAATTTTAAAAAATGTAAACACTAAAATTAGAGGACAAAATCGAATAATTGGAAAATTGTGAAATTGAAGAAACAAAAAATTAAAAAATCGTAAAACTGAGAAGACAATAAATTGGAAAGTCGAAAAAATTGAAAAATTTGAAACTGAAAACCAGAAAATTGCAAATCTATAATTTAAAGAAACAAAAAATTGAAAAATGGAAATACGTAAAATTGAAAACCATAAAAACGCAACTGGAAAAATTGAAAAAACGAAAAAATGTACAATGAAACATTGAAACAAAAATTTGACAAAATGGAAAAATTGAAAAAGAGAAAACTTGGAAAATCTTAAAACACTTAAGCATTGAACATTTAAAAACGAAAAACCGGGAAATCGAAAAATTGAACAAGCAAAAAATTGAAAACGAAAAACTGAAAAATCAAAAATATTAAAAATCCAAAAAATAAAAAAATTGAAAAAACGAAAAATTATAATATTTAAAAATTAAAAAAAAAATGTAAAATCGAAAAATCAGAAAACCGTAAAATTAAAAAGTCAAAAAACTGAAAAAATAAAAAATGGAAAAACTAAAATTAGGGATTTAAAACTCGAAAAATTACAAAATCGTAAAATTGAAGCAACAAAAATTTAAAGAATCGTTAGACTGAAGAGACGTGAAATTGAAAAATTTGTAATTGAAAACCAGAAAATTTCAAATCGAAAATTTGAAGAAACGAAAAATTGAAAAATGAAAATATGCAAATATTAAGAAAAAACAAACCAAAAATTAAGCCCCACCCATATCCATCCCAAGCTCAATTGCGATGAATTTTTCATTCGTTGTCAGACCAAGGGGCGGAGCCTAATTGCAAAATCGTTATTTCTCTTTATCTTGCAGTATTTAAATCGAGCTTAACCATTTTATATGTAGTTTTTATTGCAAAGATAAAACAAATAATTTATGAATTTAAAAAAAAACACAAAATTTATAATGAAAATAACATTTATTATTCAACTACCTAACATCTTCACTGTCTACATGCGCCTTCTTTATATGTCTGTTCAAATGCGACTGTTGTTTAGTCTTAAACGTACAACTTCTGCATTCGTACCATTTCACATCTTCTTCACCCAAATGACGTGCATTTATATGCTGCCTTAAATTCGAATTTTGCTTGGCTTTATATGAACACTTTTCACATTCAAACCATTTAATATTCTCCTCGTCCAAATGATACGCATTCACGTGGCTTTTTAAAGTCGAATTATACTTGCTTTTATAAGGGCACTCTTTACACTGATACCATTTAACATCCTGTTCATCCAAATGCTTCGCATTTATGTGCTGTTTTAAATTAGAATTATATTTAGTTCGGTACCTGCATTTTTCACAATCGTACCATTTAACATCCTCTTCTGCCAAATGGCACGTACTCACGTGCATTTTAACATAATGCTTGTGTTTACTTCTAAAAGAGCAATTTTTGCAGTCGTACCATTTAATATCTCGTTCGTCGAGATGGTGCGCCCTTATATGGGCTTGTAAATTACCTTTGTATTTACATTTCTGCGGACATTTTTCGCACTTGTACCATTTAATGTCCTTTTCGTCCAAATGGTACGCTCTTATGTGACTTTTTAAATATTTTTTCTGTTTAGCTTTGTATAGACACTGGGTGCATTCGTGCCACTGGATATCTCGCTCATCCAAATGTTGCGCATTTATGTGTTTTTTTAAATAATAGTTGTATTTGGCTCTGTATGAACACTTTGTGCAATGGTACCAACGGATTTTATTTTCATCTAAGTGTTTCACGGTCTTGTGCACACTCAAATTATATTTGTGTTTAGTTTTAAACTCACATTGATCACAGTTATACCACGTGGGAATATTTTTGTCGTCGTTATTTGTTACTAGACATTTCATCGCGTGATGCAGCCACTTAATCGGAAAATGTGTCCGAAAACAGCACTTTTTGCAGTCATACTTTTGAATTTCGAAGTCTGTGTGTTGTTTTTGAGTGGTGTGACGTTTTTTAATGTGCTGTTTAAACAGAACTGTTAATTCTGTTTGGAAATCACAGTCGGTGCAGTGGTAAAGTTCGAGTTTGCTGTTTTGGCAGTTGAAATGTCGCAGCGATGAACGGTGTCTTCGGATGTGGTTTGATAAGAGAAAAAATGATGTTGTAAAGTAGGGGCAAATTTGGCAGTGGTGAACACTCTCTGTCGTGGTTTTCGTACAATGAAACTGTTCAGAGAATTCCAAAATTGACATTTTGGTTATCCTAGAATCAGTGTTACAATTTTATTTAATTATAAAAGAATTGGTACGATTTTTTTACCTAAAACCTGAGGAAGATCGTCGAAATGGTCAAATAAATTTATTTGTCAAGGTTTTTGTTTCGTTCGCATAACCTCACAAATTTGTGTCTAGTTTGAAAGTAGGCAACCAACTGTACGACGTGATTCGTGTATATTATCCGTTCACGATCTTTACATAGTAGGGTTGGCCATGAAAATCTAGTGAGTTTGTTGGTTTTCGATGCAGAAGAATAAAAATTCCCTGAGCTTTTTTCGTTCGGTTCGTAGGGCTACAAATTAAAACTACATGTATTGTGGGTTGCATAATCTCACAAAATTTGAAATTTGAGGTTATGTGGACAAAATTATTCAAGGAGGATAAATATACCTAGTATTCTTTGAATAACACGATACTCAAAAATATGTCTTACATGGTAATTTGTTATAGAGAAATAGTAAGGATGTTGAAATTAAATTCCGCTCCTTTGGCTCTCGACGATTAAAGAAAATCATCACAATTGAGATATACTATATTTTGCTTGTTTTACTTAATATCTGTAGACTTATTTCGACAATAAGAAACTTAAACCATGTCTAAAATGGTAAATTTTTCTGGTAAACAAAGAATTTAAGTTTTTCGATTTTTCATTTTCTCGAATTTTCAGTTTTAACATTTTTTGATTTTCAGTGTTTCGAATTTTGGTGTTTTGATTATTTAAGTTTTTTATTTTAAATTCTTACGTTTTAAGTTTTTGGATTTTTCATTTTATCTTCAATTATCTTAAATTTTTTGACATTTAAATTTTACGTGTTTTCAGTATTTCGATTTTTCAGTTTTTCAGTTTTGCGTTGTTTTCAATTTTTCGATTCGGATTTTTTATTTTACAATTTTTCAGTTATCTGAGATTTTAATTTTTCGATTTTTCAATTTTACGCTTCTTTAACTTTTCGACTGGCAAATTTTTGATTTTATAGCTTTTCGACTTTACTTCTTTCGACTTTTAAGTTTCTCGATTTTTAATCTTTCAATTTTTAGATATTTCCGTTTGTCATGTTTTCAATTTTTCGACTTTTCATTTTCTCGATTTTTCAATTTTCGTGTTTCAAGTTTTTCCATTTTTCATCTTTTAAACTTTTCAATTTCTCATTTTTCAACCTTTTGATTTTTAAAATTTTTAGATTTTTCAGTTTTTTGATTTTTCTTTTTTAGGTTTTTCAGTTTTTTTATTTTTTTTCATTTTTTAGATTTTTAAGTTTCACGATTTCTAATTTTTCGGTTTTCCAATTTTCCAATTTTTCGCTTTTTAGTTATTTCAGGCCATCTGCTTTTAATTTTTCAATTGTTAATTTTTTCAATTTTTTAACTACAATTTTTCTATTTTTCAGTTTTTAGATGGTTCAATTTTCCGTGTTTTCAGTTTTTGATTTTTTCTTTTTCTTGGTTTTTCAGTTTCACGGATTGTATTTTTTCGGTTTTGCAATTGTTAGATTTTTCGTTTATGTATTGAGGTTCTGTTTTTAATTTTCTGTTTTTTAATTTTTAGTTTCTTCAATTTTTTCGAGTTTTCAGATTATTGATTTTTTTTATTTTTCGGTTTTTCAGTTTTCGAATATGTATTCCAATTTTTCAACTTTTCAGGTTTTCGTGTTTTCAATTTGCGGGTGTTTAATTTTTTTGATTTCTGAATTCCTAATATTTCGGCTTTTCAATTTTCCGATATTTCGCTTCTTCGAATTTAAATTTTTTCATTTTTCTAATCTTAAACGTTCAAATTTTCCGACTTTTCATTTTCTCGAATTTTCAGTTTTAACATTTTTTGATTTTCAGTTTTTTGAAATTTGGTTTTTGAGTTTTTAAGTTTTTTAATTTAACTTCTTATGTTTTCAGTTTTTGGATTTTTCATTGTATCTTTAATTATCTTATATTTTTATTAGCATTTCAATTTTTCATGTTTTCAGTATCTCGATTTTCCCGTTTTGCGTTGTTTTCAATTTTTCAATTCGGATTTTTTATTTTACAACTTTTCAGTTATTTGAAATTTTAATTTTTCGATTTTTCAATTTTACGCTTCTTTAACTTTTCGACTGGCAAATTTTTGATTTTATAGTTTTTCGATTTCACTTCTTTCGAGTTTTTAGTTTCTCGATTTTTAATTTTTCAATTTTTAAATATTTCCGTTTGTCGTGTTTTCAGTTTTTTTGGTTATTTCAGAATATCTGTTTTTAATTTTTCGATCTTCCAATTTTTAATTTCTTAAATTTTTGGATTCTGCAATTTTTCGTTTTTTCAATTTTTAGTTGTTTCAATTGTCGGAGTTTTCATTTTCTCGATTTTTCAATCTTCGTTGTTTTCAGTTGTCGATTCGTACTTTTATTTTACAATTGTTCAGTTTTTTGAGATTTTAGTTTTCGATTTTTCAATTTTTCAATTTAACTTTTCGACTGACAAATGTTTGAGTTTATAGTTTTTCGATTTTTCAGTCTTTCGACTTTTAAGTTTCTCGATTTTTAATCTTTCAATTTTTAGATATTTCCGTTTGTCATGTTTTCAATTTTTCGAGTTTTCATTTTCTCGATTTTTCAATTTTCGTGTTTCAAGTTTTTCCATTTTTCATCTTTTAAACTTTTCATTTTCTCATTTTTCAACCTTTTGATTTTTAAAATTTTTAGATATTTCAGTTTTTTGATTTTTCATTTTTAGGTTTTTCAGTTTTTTGATTTTTTTCATTTTTTAGATTTTTAAGTTTCACGATTTCTAATTTTTCGGTTTTCCAATTTTCCAATTTTTCGGTTTTTAGTTATTTCAGGCCATCTGCTTTTAATTTTTCAATTGTTAATTTTTTCAATTTTTTAACTCCAATTTTTCTATTTTTCAGTTTTTAGATGGTTCAATTTTCCGTGTTTTCAGTTTTTGATTTTTTCTTTTTCTTGGTTTTTCAGTTTCACGGATTGTATTTTTTCGGTTTTGCAATTGTTAGATTTTTCGTTTATGTATTGAGGTTCTGTTTTTAATTTTCTGTTTTTTATTTTTTAGTTTCTTCAATTTTTTCGAGTTTTCAGATTATTGATTTTTTTTATTTTTCGGTTTTTCAGTTTTTGAATATGTATTCCAATTTTTCAACTTTTCAGGTTTTCGTGTTTTCAATTTGCGGATGTTTAATTTTTTTGATTTTTGAATTCCTAATTTTTCGGCTTTTCAATTTTCCGATATTTCGCTTCTTCGAATTTAAATTTTTTCATTTTTCTAATAACGTTCAAATTTTCCGACTTTTCATTTTCTCAAATTTTCAGTTTTAACATTTTTTGATTTTCAGTTTTTTGAATTTGGGTTTTTGATTTTTTAAGTTTTTTAATTTAACTTCTTATGTTTTCAGTTTTTGGGTTTTTCATTGTATCTTCAATTATCTTAAATTTTTATTAGACATTTCAATTTTTCACGTTTTCAGTATCTCGATTTTTCCGTTTTGCGTTGTTTTCAATTTTTCAATTCGGATTTTTTATTTTACAACTTTTCAGTTATTTGAAATTTTAATTTTTCGATTTTTCAATTTTTTGTTTCTTTAACTTTTAGACTGGCAAATTTTTGATTTTATAGTTTTTCGATTTTACTTCTTTCGAGTTTTTAGTTTCTCGATTTTTAATTTTTCAATTTTTAAATATTTCCGTTTGTCGTGTTTTCAGTTTTTTTGGTTATTTCAGAATATCTGTTTTTAATTTTTCGATCTTTCACTTTTTAATTCCCTAAATTTTTGGATTCTGCAATTTTTCGTTTTTTCAATTTTTAGTTGTTTCAATTGTCGGAGTTTTCATTTTCCCGATTTTTCAATTTTCGTTGTTTTCAGTTGTCGATTCGTACTTTTATTTTACAATTGTTCAGTTTTTTGAGATTTTAGTTTTCGATTTTTCAATGTTTCAATTTAACTTTTCGACTGACAAATGTTTGAGTTTACAGTTTTTCGATTTTTCAGCCTTTCGACTTTACTTCTTTCGACTTTTGAGTTTCTCGATTTTTAATCTTTCAATTTTTAGATATTTCCGTTTGTCATGTTTTCAATTTTTCGAGTTTTCATTTTCTCGATTTTTCAATTTTCGTGTTTCAAGTTTTTCCATTTTTCATCTTTTAAACTTTTCAATTTCTCATTTTTCAACCTTTTGATTTTTAAAATTTTTAGATTTTTCAGTTTTTTGAATTTTCTTTTTTAGGTTTTTCAGTTTTTTGATTTTTTTCATTTTTTAGATTTTTAAGTTTCACGATTTCTAATTTTTCGGTTTTCCAATTTTCCAATTTTTCGCTTTTTAGTTATTTCAGGACATCTGCTTTTAATTTTTCAATTGTTAATTTTTTCAATTTTTCAACTACAATTTTTCTATTTTTCAGTTTTTAGATGGTTCAATTTTCCGTGTTTTCAGTTTTTGATTTTTTCTTTTTCTTGGTTTTTCAGTTTCACGGATTGCATTTTTTCGGTTTTGCAATTGTTAGATTTTTCGTTTATGTATTGAGGTTCTGTTTTTAATTTTCTGTTTTTTAATTTTTAGTTTCTTCAATTTTTTCGAGTTTTCAGATTATTGATTTTTTTTATTTTTCGGTTTTTCAGTTTTCGAATATGGATTCCAAGTTTTCAACTTTTCAGGTTTTCGTGTTTTCAATTTGCGGATGTTTAATTTTTTTGATTTTTGAATTCCTAATTTTTCGGCTTTTCAATTTTCCGATATTTCGCTTCTTCGAATTTAAATTTTTTGATTTTTCTAATCTTAAACGTTCAAATTTTCCGATTTTTCATTTTCTCGAATTTTCAGTTTTGACATTTTTTGATTTTCAGTTTTTTGAATGTTGGTTTTTGATTTTTTAAGTTTTTTAATTTAACTTCTTATGTTTTCAGTTTTTCGATTTTTCATTGTATCTTTAATTATCTGAAATTTTTCTGTTTTCAGTATCTCGATTTTTTCGTTTTGCGTTGTTTTCAATTTTTCAATTTTTAAATATTTCCGTTTGTCGTGTTTCAATTTTTTTTGGTTATTTCCGAATATCTGTTTTTAATTTTTCGATCTTCCAATTTTTAATTTCTTAAATTTTTGGATTCTGCAATTTTTCGTTTTTTCAATTTTTAGTTGTTTCCATTGTCGGAGTTTTCATTTTCCCGATTTTTCAATTTTCGTGTTTTCAATTTTTCGTTTTTCCATCGTTTCGACTTTTCAATTTCTCAAATTGTAGTTTTTGGTTTTTTAAAT